GAAGGTTCCTTCAAAAGCCGCTTCCCAAAAACCAGGCCCTTGTCCATCCGCCCCTCCCCAGGGACCGGACATCGCCAAGAACCTTGCCCCAACCCAAAGGCCCACATCCCAAGTCGCAGGACCAAATCCCCTGCACCTCAACACATCAGAGCCTGCCACAAAGCCCGCTGCGAGAGTCGCAAGGACAACCAACCCCAAGCAAAGGCCATCACTTCCACTCTCCTCCCTGTCCAAACCCACAGAAATACTCCGCATCGCCCTTTTCCGTCTTGATCGGCTGCCTCCACCGCCGCACAGCCTCTCTATCCCAATCGCCGGGCCCTCCCATCAGCCATCAAGAATCTCACCCACCTCAAGCTCCTTGCCAGGAAGGACATACCTGCACACCCCGCAGTCTCCAGCCATTCCGACAGAGAGACACCTAACCTCACCAACCAATTCTATCCATAGACGCAATTAAGACCTCGCTTCCATTGGAAACACACCTCATCCATCATCCGGGACCCCACCGAGAGTCCAAAGCCCGCCCCTGCCACTCTCTGGATAGACAGCACTGCACCGCCTGCCCTACTTCCCGAGGTCCCGCCCCACGCCCTTGCAAAGCACAGGAAGCCCCCCACGCCCTACTCCCAGCTCCCGAGATGCATTTGCGCCCTTCACCACAATCTCCACAAAGCGCCTGCTGCAATCCAGAGCTTCCAGCAACAGAGCCGCCGACCCCTGCCGAACATCCGACAGCCTTCCGCAGATCCCAAGCGCCTTCCCGCACACCTCGCACCTTCTCCCGAGAAACCCTGCACATCCTCCGCGAGAACCGTTGTCTTGCAGTTTCCAAAGTCGTCCACACACCAGACATACCGCCCAAGACCCCCGCCTCCCAGGCAGCGAGTAACCGGGCACATCGCACCGCAAAGCACCCAGCACGCCGCCAGAGCTGCAAACTCAAAGCTCCTAACCCGTGTGTTGGCCATCCGCTCCGCATCCCCTCTCCGAAGCACTCCCCACGGCACTGCACTCTCCACGACATCCGCCACCGAAAGAAGCTCCACCCTCTCAACAATCCCAAGGGAGCGAACAAGAGAAAGACACCGCCCCTCATACAACCCACAGTCCTAGAGCCTCTGCCTCATCCAGTCCTCTCTCCCCATAACATTTCCAGCTCTACAGACCACCCAGACCCTAGCCCCGCCATCAAACCCAGTCCCCCCAACAATACACGCCATATCCTACTCACAACGAAGTCCCTACTACTAATTCTCACACACCCAATCATATCAGCATATCCATTTCATCCATACTTTTCTTTTACCCCACATGAACATCACATACGTTCCAGAGATACACAGAACTGACAAGCAACACACCGAAAACCTGCGACACTGGAGGAAGATCCTCGGCATTGCTCCATTCGTCTCAATTGTATTCCCTGCCATCATGTGCCTCATCTTCACCAAAGATCGCTTTGAAAAGAGTCCTTTCCTCAAATTCATTATACTACTCCTCCCCTTTTCATACTCAGCGGTACAGTATGCCTTACTCCGCACCAACTGGAAGTCAGATAACAAACCAGAAGGCATCCTGCAAAGCATACTCTACCACACCCTCAGTCTCCTGCTTCTTGCATTCGCCGCCATCTCCATCCTTTCAATCACTGCATTCACCCTCGATAAATGGGAAAGTAGTGAATCAATCTTCTTTTCTATCGTCCTTCCCTCTTTCTTCATCCCACCCACCTATCTCCTCTCCACCTCCTGCCGCCTTGTTCCAGGACAGATTGGATTCACAGACACCGGTATCAACGTCCTTATCGACATCCCGATCCTACTATGCCCTCTAGTAAGTTTAGTACTTATCATTGCCCTCGAAGAAACCGAGTGTTGTTATTACTCTGCAATCATATCTTCTGTATTCATCCTGATACGATTGCTCAGGGAGAAGTACAGCCCATCCGAAAAGAGTACTCTGCCTACTGCACCATGGAGAGTGGCCATCCTTGTCCTCATCCTTACCCTTGCTGCTCTTATCTACGCATTCATGATGTGGGGATCTATGGACATCCTAAATGATCACTTTGGTCTACTTAATAAGCTAAAGAGAGTCTTTCCTTTCACCAACGCCTGATTAATAAACAACCCTCATTCTATCACATGTTCTAACGCCAACACAGACCATTCATTTCACCCCTCATCACAATCAGCATGCATAAACGCACATATGTCTACTAAACAACCTGAGGAACTCCACAGGTCAAAGAGGCCGTAGTGAAGAACAGAACACAAGCATAATACCATTTGTTTTATTCATCATCACATTACATCACACCACTCAGATCACACATGGCCTGCGATGAATCGTGAGACGACGGAGAATCTCAGAGGTGTCAGAGGGATTCCTCCACACTACTTGGAATACATCAGCTGCCTTCACTGTTTCAAATGTTACTCCTGGAGGATACACAAACTTACTCTCATCTTGGTATTCCTTATCCTCATCTATCTTCTCAATATCATTAGCCTTGACAAACTCTGGGCTCATAACACCCCCTAACTCCTCGAGATCTGTGGGACGAAACATCAGGTGGTACACAACTGGGCATCCACCAGGGTCCTTGAACGTCCCAACCTCCACCACTCCTGACACCTTCCTTCCTCCGCACTCAAGAACTCCAATCGCCACCAGACGGCCTCGAGAACTCCCGCCCTTGGTGTGCTCTCCTGCATCCATGAAGAACTTGTTCGCATCTGGGCTCTTGAGGAGTGAGACGACACCCACTATATCATGCAGCATCTTCTGCTCCTTGATCTCCTCCACACTCTTACCCCTCCACTTCTTCTCATAGCCCTCATCCAACTCATACTTGATCCTTTCAGTACTCTTCCACCGGAGAACCCGATGATGCACCCCATAACAGTATCCATTCCCTTTACCCTTTTCTTTCGATCTCTTCTGCTTGCATCGGATCCCTCTAACTGCCATCTCTTCCAGCAGAACTTCTACCTCCACACAGTCTCCTGCTCCTCCAGGACCTTTCTTCTCCTCTCTCTCCTCCTTAACCTCTCCTGCACCCTTCTTACCTCCCTTCTTCTTGCCTTTCCCTTCAAGGCCTTTTTCTTTATTCTTACTCCTCCTTCTTTCTGTTCCTCCCACAATCCCTCACCAGTTCCCAAAATTCGCCTATCGGTCCACGGCAATCACACAAACTCTTCCCTTTCTCCACAAATGCAATTCCCAGCACTCACAGTCAGTGAATCGATAACTTCTGTTCTCTCTGATAAATAAACTCCTACTAATTCCACCAATCAGACAGATGTCAATGAATGTGTGCAATCTCAACAGCATATACCATATCACGCCATAGCAAAAATCCATTAAACGCCCTCATATCCTATCATCTGTCTATCGAGTCAATTACGCTGATACATCGGTTTTATACACATTTTTTCTTTGCCCCATATGAACGCAACACACATTTTAGAATCACACGAGGCTAATGAACAGCACCATGCTACGAATCGGTCATACTGGGAGGTAACTTACAACATCCTCGTCATTATGTCAATTGTATTCTCGATGGCCACGTACCTCATCCTTGACAAAGATCGTTTCGAAAAGAATCCTTTACTCAGATTTGCCATTATACTCCTTCCGCTTTCATGCTCAGCAATCCAATATCTTTTTCTTCTCTACACCAACTGGAAGTCAAATTACGAGCCTGAGGGCACATTGCACAAGGCACTCTACTACTTTTTCAACGTTCTCCTCATCGCATTTGCTATTATCTCCATTCTTTCGATTATTGTACTTCCTATCAATGGATGGGGAAATGAAAGCGACATAGCTATCTACTCGGTGATCCTTCCTTTTTTCGTTGTATGGTCTGTTGACTTGGTATCTACAATCAATGACCTCACAATGGAAACAGTCCATCTCATAGACACCCATTACACCATGCTTTTTGACCTAATGATGATAATAACGATCATAGTAAATCCAAAATACTCAAGTCAAGGGTACAGATATAGACAAAGTCCAACGCCCTCCTCATCTAGAAGTACTTCTTCGCGTACCACAAAGATGAGGATAGTTCTCCTTATCATCATGCTCATCCTTGCTATATCTATGTATGCGTTTATAGCATGGAAATGTCTGACCTTCCTTAGAAATATGCAGGGAAAAAAGTGGTGCAATTAATAACCATCTGCTATCCAAGTGCTCGACTTTAACTTGCCTATCCATCACAATAAAATATCAGGTATATTAAATCTTCATCTTGTTTATTTGCAGCAACTCATGTCAGCTCATCTTTGGTTTCTGCATAACGGTAGGGGCTTTTATCACCTTATTGGTGTTGTTGAGATCTCCCCACACTATCTTAACACGTTCGAGTCCCCTACTATTTCAAACTTTATGTTTTTTGGATATAAAAATCTAGGTATATGCGACGAATCATTTGCACTATCTGTTATGCCTTAATTGTCTGATCCTTCCATTCCTTAGTCTGCTGAGTCTTCCCATGCTCTTTATTTCATTCAATGCTTTCCTCTGTTTCTCTCTTTCTTTCTCAGGCACCTCACTTGATATATTTTCTATTCTTCTGCCTGATAGATAGGACATCTCCCAAGCTCATCCATATGCTAGTATTACTATCAAAGTTTCCTGGAAAAGTCCCTTCAAAGACCATATTGATTAGTTCTGCAATCCGATTGCTATTTCCGAGTATCTCGTAGTTGGCGGTAAAACTGGTTTATCACCATGAAAGATCAATGGAAACATCTAATTTGTACGAAAGCTGGTAGCCTCACCAATTTTTTTCTTCATTTTCTTCATTTCTGAACTATTCGGCTTACGAAACACAGCTTTTTCAAATAGCTTCTGCACTGTATTTTCCACCTGAGAGCCGTAAAACACATCAAACAAAGCAAATATGTGTACGTTAACCTCATTGTTCGAAGGCAGGCTCGCTTACACATAATGGCGTTCCTTTTCACTTTTTTCTTAGAATGGTTTGATATTAATGGAATCCATTTCACCATATTTATAATAGTGTGTCCCAAAAAAGCCTGAATGCCTAAAAAGGTAAATTATCCAATCAACCAACAGAACTCAGGTAGAGAGAAGTCTTCATCCTCTGTCTTACAACAATTTCGATATGTATCCATTATTCATTGATCTTTTGTATAGATAAGTGAAAGACTCTCTATGATGATCTACTCCGTGTTGGGAGGTCTCAAGTCTACATCATTCAGTCCTTTCAGTAATGGACTGGACTTTCAGGATTTTTTATGTTTTCTGCCATGGCCCATTACAAGAGGTTTACTTTCTCGTATGGTACAGCATTTATTACTTTCCCGGTATTCTTTTCTTTTATTATGGACCTACCCTGAGCATTCTTTGCGACACGTCTTCTATCAATATGCACTTATTTTACAGAACTTCATACCGTAAAGAATGCATCTGTTTTCTCGGCTCATCCCCTTTGGAAGGCGGTAAATCCCTAAAGATAAAATTTATGTAAAGAATATAGATTACAAAAGAAAACAAGAGTAGTCTTCCAGAGCGTAGCTTCGAATTCAACACGTGGTTTTAGTTCTGAAACATCAAAGTTTAAAGTCATGCAGCCGATGTAAATAAATGGAAGAAGGTGGCTTTGCATATGATCCAAAGATTCTTTCTTATACAAATGAAGCAGTATTTTCCTTGCTACTTCTAATGTTTGCAGTCTGGAGAACAACGAGAAGTATCACGCCCAGCTACAATATATTTAAGGGAAAACTAAGGAGTCTTGGGTCTCTTTTTGCCCTGGCCTCAATATTTTTCTCTAGTGTTTATGTGTGTATTGTTGCATACCTCAGCACCAGACTCGAGATAGACAAGGCAATGATAGAGCTTGTTGGAGGACTGAGTGCAAGCCATTTCATGAGATACAAGGCCTTTAAGATCGACCTAGTATACATTCTGAACATTTCCCTCGTTGCATCGAGAGTTTTGAGGATGTCTTCGGTATTTCTTTTGATTGGACTATGGGGGCCTTGCGCATATTCAGTCTTCAACGGGGGAGATAGATCTTTTGACATATTTAAGACTAGTACAAGTGGCACCAGGACGTTTGTAGCCAAATCCATGTTTAACACATCTGTCGTTACGTTTTCCAAGATATATGCGGTCTTAAGAGCGCCTGCTCTTTTGTATTACTACTACAGTAGATCAAGGCTGATGGGAGAAAAGACGGCGGTCTTCATAGAATCATTTTTCCTTGGAAGTGAAGTATATCTCTCCGTGACGCTTCTTCTAATTCTTCGGACAAAGCACAGCTTTCTATCTGAGTACAAATCCCTTGATAGTACGAATCTACTGAGCTTTTGCCTTATGCTTCATGGGTTCCTTACTTATACCATAAACACGGTCGCGATTCCATTTGAGATGACCGACCTGCACTATCAGATTCAGCAGAGCCTGAGCCTGGGTACCAGACTAATACTTGATATGCTTCTGATATCTATGTTTTGCCCGATCAAGGGCCAGTTGTTTGACAACTCCTCAGATAAATATGAGAAGAGTCTTGAGATAACAAGAGTTGCACGGCTAGAAGAAGGTCCTATAGTTCAGGAAATTGAAAGTGTCATTGAGTTTGAGGAAAAAGAAATAGGCAAATAAATAAACAGTTTTACTTCATTGAAGCTTCCGATGACTTGCCATTTGCATGATCTTGTGTGCAGCATTCGAGCTTCCCCAATGCTCTTACAAACACGGTCTCTTCTTTGCTGATTGCACTGAAACACAACTGCTTCTTGAAGTTCTGTCGTATCCTATACTTGTGAAGTATTATCAACTTCTGTAACCTACATTTATGTACATTTCCTATCTCTTCTAGGGCATGATATACTTGTACTGCATCCCTAAAGCATTCTATACAAACTCCACAGTCCTGTCGGACGGCACTTCTAGAAACCTCATTGTCGAACGGCGACTCTACCTCTGTTGCCTCTATTGTTTCGCCATCGCTTTCGGATGAAACAGATTCTCCCCTGGAATTCTTACACTCGCTGGTGTCCAAGTCACTGGTTACAACTAGAAAGCGATTGGCTGTTTGGGAATCGCGGACATCCATTTCGTCTCTTAAATCAGATATATGGTCGAATCTTCCTATGTCTCCATGGACAAGTTTGCCAGCAGCCTTTTCCTCTTTGCTCTCTTTTATACCACCATCATGCTCTTTGGCGGAAATGTTGTTTGACAGAAGAAAGAAACTTGTTACGCCATTTTTGTTCTCCTGGTATTTTTGATGGAGTATTCTTTGCCTGGGCGTAAGCCTCGAAAGGTCAGTTTCTTCGTAGATGGATTTTGATAAGCGGCATTTGGAAGGACGCTCTTTTCTCCTGACTCTTTTCTTAGCCGGCGCTACCGATTCCAGTGACCTAGGAGACGGAAGAAATGCTTTTACTTTGTCGACCATGCCTCCCTTTTCAGACTCCTAGATTATATTCGATGTTGGAGGGAACTCTTGATATTTGGCGGTATATTCTGGAGTGCATCCGAGCTTTCCACTCCTACTGTTTTATTCCTGATCAAGTTGAAACTGGTAGTTTTGCAATTACTATTGAAAACGGCAGAGTTTGAAAAAACTAAGATGATCTCTGAAAGCAGCGGTAACGTACTAGCAAGTATCCAGAGCAGATACAAGTTTAGATCAAAGACTCTTGAGTATTCTACATCCTTTTATCCCGATAGATTCGTGATTTTCTATAAAGACAGGAAAGCCGGAGAAATTCCTTATGAAAGCATCTTGAGAGTAGAGAAAAATAGAGAAGGCCTGAAGTTCGGGCTGAAAAACGGGTCAAGAGTGAAAATACCATGTACATCAGACGAGAGAAGAAAGGTGTTCCGTATCTTCAAGGCCAAGAGACTGGGAAGCATCCTGAATGAAAACGATGTAATAGGCTTAGCACTTGTGGAGTTTGCTGATCTGAAGTTTCTTGTTCCTCTTGTAAGCACATCCTTTACAGACCTTAAAAAAAATGTGATTAGGAGGATAGGAGGGCACTTTCTTCCGTCTCAGAATCTCGACTTCATAAGCTTAGATCACTATGACGAGTTTTCTCTCTACATCAAGGATAAGGATTCGCTCGTAACATTTGAGAATGATGATGACTTATTGTGCAGTCTTTTGTACTTTGAAAAGAAGTTGACAGTGGTGGTCAAACATGTTCCCAAAGTGCCTTGATGGAGTCAAGCGATTTGCTTGTTGGTTACTGCTGCCACCCTATTAAATGGTTTAGAGCTGAGTTATATTTTACTGGTTCTCGAATGACTTGAGGTATGCGTCTTGAATCACTGCCTTTCTCAAGATAATTGGTTCCTTGGAAAACAAAAGAAGAGGCCTCTACAGCCCAGGATGGAGAATGATGATCTGTGCGAGCTGAGTAATCTGAATGAGAACGCTGTTGTTGACATACTTGAGAAGAGATACGCCTCAGGGAAGATTTATACCAAATCTGGTCTGGTGTTTTTGGCTCTTAATCCATATGAAAATATAGGTTCCTGCGGCGGAGAGACTATGCAGTCATGCTCTTCCTACAGCCATCCTCATGTTTACGACGTGGCAGAAGCATCGCACCAGGACCTACTTGTGCATGGAAATCAAACCATTGTAATAAGCGGAGAGTCAGGGTCTGGAAAAACCGAAAATGCGAAACTAGTTATAAAGTATCTGCTGGAGGGAACTGCAAGCAGTACTTCCATTGAAAAGGGCATAACAGCAGCAAATACCATTTTAGAAGCCTTTGGAAATGCCCAGACGGCCCTTAATGATAACAGCTCAAGGTTTGGAAAGAGGATTAAGCTGATGTTTGACGGAAAGATAACGGGAGCTAAGTTTGAAACCTATCTTCTTGAAAAGAGCAGAGTAACACATCATGAGCTTGGAGAGAAAAATTTCCACATATTTTACCAATTCTGTGCTTCCAAGGGCCTGAGCCTAAAGAATGACTTCATTGACACCTCAAGTCTTGCAGGAAACAAAGAAGGCCTCATACGACTATCCGAAGAATATGAAACAACATGTTCTGCAATGAAAAGCATAGGAATATGCAGTCTAAAGGCGATTGAGGATTGCCTCTTAGGAATTTTGTATCTGGGGTCTATCCAGTTCAATAGCGATGGAATTCTGAAAGCTGTGAGAAACGAGTACTTTACGGAGTTTTGCAAGCTCCATGGTATTCAAGAGGATACATTTGAAGAGTCTCTTGTCAAATTTTCCATTCAGGTCAAGGGAGAAACGATCGAGGTCTTCAACACTTTGAAGCAAGCCATCACAATAAGGAACTCTATGGCCAGGCTGCTGTACTCAAACGTGTTCAACTACATTACGGCATCTATAAACAACTGCCTGGGCGGAAGCGGAGAACACTCTATCTCGGTCCTTGATATATTTGGGTTTGAAATCTTCGAGAGCAATGGACTTGACCAGCTTTGCATAAACTGGACCAATGAGAAAATACAGAACGACTTCATCAAGAAGATTTTCAGAGACAAGCAAAAAATGTACAAAGAAGAAGGGATTGAGTGGAGCGATGTTGAGTGTTTCGACAACAACCAATGTATCCTCGACTTTGAAAAGCCTTGCGGGCTTATGGACCTGATAAGCGAAGAGAGCTTCAACGCATGGGGGAATGTCAAGAACCTGAGTGTGAAGATAAAAAACTACTTAAACGGGAGGATTAGAACTAAGGCTGGCGACAAGATAGTTGTGTCTCACTATGCAGGAGATGTGGAGTATGACCTTAGGTCATTTTTAGACAAGAATAGGGAGAAAGGAAACCTGAGGATATTCAAGAACCCCCTTATTGCTGATGAGGAAAGCAAGGAGGATCTGGTGAAATACTTCAAAGACTCTATGAACAAGCTGCTCAGCTCCATAAACGAGACACAGGCAAAGTACATTAAGTGCATAAGGCCCAACTCCCATAGGAGGCCAAGAATATTCGATAGACAGCTTGTATCAAAGCAGCTTGCTGAATGTGGGATTCTGGAAACGATAAGAATAAGCAAGCAGTGTTTTCCGCAAGAGATAGCAAAGGACGAGTTCGAAAGCCGATACAGAATTCTTGGACCCACTTTATTTGAGGTTGTTAGCATAGAAAAGGGAGAAACTAGATACTTCATGAATAACGAGAGTCTGAAAATTTTAGAGATGCGTAGACTTATGTTCTACGACGAGTGTTTTAGAAACATCAGGCGTGCATTGAGAAGCTATCTAGATGGGCGTGTTCTTAGCAAGAAGCAAAGCATCACGTTTGTAACCAAGCCCATGGACTCTGGACCTGCCCTGATAGACAACAGCTCTATGGAGCTCCCGATACAACGGGATTTTAGTACCGAGGAGTCACACAGCTTGGCAGAAAGTCGTGAAGAGCAGAGAAGTTATGCCGAAATCATACGAGACTTAGAGCTAAAGATCGAGCAGTACAAGAAATTCTGTGAGGCACCCTGTAGAAATTGCAGATCTCTCGAACTAAAGTATAGATTTCAGAGCGAGGCTTTAAAGAAAAAGAACATGGTTGAGCTAGAGCTTGAGAAGTACAAGGCAAAGGTCGAAGACCTGGAGAGGCGCCTCTCTGAAAAGGATGATGACGACTCGCACATAAGCATATCGTTTACAAACTCATACAATGTGTTTAGCTGCTTAGTCCAGCTATATCTGGAATTTGTTCCCACGTTTTCTAGTGATGAGGTGCCAAAGTCTGAGATCCTGAGCCTTGCCCATTCTGCATTCTACGCTGTAAATAAGCTTGGAAGAGATGTTGTGGAAAGTTCTATTTGCATGGTAGGCGAAGTTAGTCTCAAACTGCACATGTTTGAAAGGAACATACACAAGGTTTCCTTTATATTGTCCAATCTGATTGAATATGAAGGTATCCTCCGTAGGCAAGGAATCGGGAGCATAGACGAAGTCAAAGGCCTTGTATCCATCCTGTTCAAGCATCTTTGCGAACTTCAGAGAAGTTCCCTCCTCGAGGTTCTACCGCATGCAGTATTGGAGCATCAGCAGCTATCAAAATTCAAGTGTAGCGAGGGATACTTCAAAAGAATATTCAAACCTCCCCACATCTCAAAACTTATACGCCTTCTGGAATACTTCTACCATCAGATGTCTTACTACTACATTCCAGACCCATATGTTATGGAGTCTGTCAACTACCTTCTGAAGACCATCAACGTCTCTGTTTTCAACGAGATCCTGGTTAAAAGGAATTTTCTTTCTTTTAACAGGGGCGTTCAGATAAATTATAACATAAACGAGATAGATAAGTTCTGCAGAAGCATAAATTATCTGGAAGGGATGTTTAATCTGTCGCATACCACGTCGATAATAAGGCTTATTAATCTCGTTGAGTCTCGTGCAACAGCAGACTCGATTCTGGACGAGTGCTCTATCTTGAACTGCGTTCAGATAAACGAAATTGTATCGAAACTTGATGCGGAGGCTTCCTACTTCTTTGGAGACGACAACAGGAGCGACAAGTTCATCTCTGATCCGACCGTAACCTTACCCTCATACACAGAGGCTTCCTCAGACTCGTTCATATGTCCCAGGTATCTACCGTCAGAAAGCTTACTATCCATACTAAAGTCAATAAGATAGGCGGTATATAAATTTTCCTTATCACTGGTGGTTCTTTAGCTTCCGCCTCTCGTCGGGAGCAAATACGTTTTCTCTGGTATAGAACCTTTGGAGTATCTCAAAGCACCGACTGTCTGGCAGATATGTACTTTTTATCCCAATCCCACATACTGTTTCGCTTCCAAAGACTTCATTCCTGCATCCATAGTACACCTCCACCCCCTTCAATCTTCCTAGTATTCCCATGCACATGATGCACGGTTCACAGGTCACGTAGAATGTGCTATTTGAGCAGTCTGCATCTCTAATAGAGATAACCTCAGCGTGATCTAGTGGTGATTTGTTGGCATTTGTCATGTTGTGAGATTTAGACACCACAATGCCATTCCTGACGACAACACATCCCACCGGGACTTCTAGTGCATCAAATGCCCTCATCGCTTCCTTGACAGCCATTTCCATAAAAAAGCTGTGTGTTGTGGAGTGAGCAGTCATTACCACTAGGCCTTAAGAAAAACGCTTAGTAATGTTTGTACCCAAACAGCAATAAACTTCAAAATCCCTATATGTTTGTTTGAAAATAGACCCCAAAATGGATTGTTTGCGGAAACAAGCCGAAAAGATTCCCATTCTGGATGCCATTGAGAAGCGCATGAACATCAGGAAGGAGTATGCTCTGCTTGGAATAAGCTTCTTCTGTTTGGTAATTATCATGGCAACATCTCTCGGTCCACTAATAACATCTACCGTCGGAATAATCGTTCCCCTTCAGGAGACCCTTGTTATATTGAGGCAGGTCAACCCAAAAAAGGACGAAGCGAAGCATATGCTGGTGTTTTGGATGGTCTTTGGGATTCTAACGTCTCTTGATGCCTATTCTGGCGCCATCATTAGCTTTATTCCGTTATGGTACACCATGAAGTTCTTCTTCCTACTGTGGGCAGGTCCCCTGAAATTTAGAGGCGGGATAATCATCTACGACAACATACTGGCACGCATTCCAGAGAAATGGTACAGGGAAGAGGGTGGGATTGAGCATGCTGTGAAGAAGGCAACAGACGCTGTGAAGACCGTGGCCGAAAGCGAATTCAACAAAAAAGATGTAATTGAAAGCAGCAAGAAGACTGATTAAAGTGGTTTCAATCAAATTCTTTCAATTCTCTAACACCGTAATGCTCCCCTGAAACAGTTTCTATCTTGGAATGCATAAGAAGTAAAAACTCGAATACAAGAGTCTTTTCGCAGAGGGTATGATTATCAACTGGACTAATGCATTCAGGACTCTAAGAAGCGCAAAAGTAAAAGAACAGCAGTTCCGAAATTCCCTAATTTTTGATTATATCAGTAGACAATCGAGATCAGCGAATTGCTCTCTGTGTTATGAAGCGATAGGTGCCAAGGACTTGTTGTGTGAGGCATGCTTCTATAAGCTTCATCCTCCTCCAATAGATTTCAAAATCTCCATTGTCGTCGAATACGCCGAAGCATGGAGGAGAATAAGAGACTCGAGAAAACTGGGGGATCTTGCTGAAGCCAGACGTCTTAGACTTCTTGGCATTCCTGCAGACTGCTCGTTAGAGAAACTGGTTAGAAGAATATTTTCTCTGAAGCCTACCCGTCGTGAAGAAAAGATCATGCTCAATAACATAAAACTGAAAATACGAATTAAAATGGCGAACGAATGGGCTGTTTTAAAGATAAAGTCAATGATGAATCTCATCGATGAACAATTGAACATTATAAGACTGAAATATCTCCTCTGCCTAAAAAACCTAAAAATTGATGACGTGCTCCTTCTGAAGAAGCATATGATCGAAGTTAGGAAGTACAGAAGCAGTCTGGCTGAAATGCTGAAAAATAAACCAAACACATGGTAGAGTTTGACAAAAAGCGGCCTATTGCCTTTTTTTAAGACCTGAAAGATTCCTGACAATTTCAAGGCCCTCAAGCGCTTCTAGGCTTTCTATTTTTTTGGGAGCATCGACTTCAAGTCCTAGATAGATCTTTTGAAACCCAATTATTTTCCACAGATAAACCTGGGCATATCCGTCCCATTCAGACGACTCTGCTATAATTCTATCGTACATCTCTTTTGGAATCACGGGTGTCCCCCACTTCTCCATTTCTTTGACCAACCCAAAATACCTATTGAAATTAAGATTGTGGATCGTCCTGGCTAGGTTCTCTACCGTCTGCTCCTGCTTCCTTTTAATACTTTCCACCGCCAGTCTCAGCGGCTCCCACTCCTCCTGCAAGAAGGTCAGTTTTGCCACAATCTTGTTGTTGTCTCCCCTAAGATATTCTATCAAATTTCCATTTAGCCTTTCCTTCTGGTTCCAGAACAGTATGTCGTACACCAACGCAACATACGATGCGGGATATCTATCCAAAAGCGAATTGACCACCCTTCCGATGTTCAAGGGACACGGAATGTTCACTATAAACCTTAGAACTCTGCATGCATCATCCTCATTCCTTATGTAGTTTTTGAAGAGAAGATCTAGATGAAAGCCAAAGTTCTCCTCATGCTCCAAAATGAACATAACATTCATCTCCAAGTCGGCAGAGAGCTGGGAAGACAGGATATTCAAAGGCGTAGGCGTAAACAGGGCTGTCAAAAGCTGCCTGGAGGAAAAATAGGACGCGAACGGAAATGCTGGATATTCCGGGCTTACATGGATGGCTTTTCTCTTCATTCTTTTTTCCTTGTACTCTTCGGAATTTGGGCTTTGGAGCATCTCCTTTACACGCATGAACATGAAGTCACGCGAGCTAAGACTCGAATCCCCAAAAACACCTCTCCTCGAACTGCTCTGGGCACAAAAGAACACCAGAAATACCAAGCTGTTTGAATGATTGCTGAAGTACTTTGGTTTGTCTTTGTACATAGAATACACCTCGTCCACTAAGTGGTGCCTTAAAAGATTTATGATCAGCGTGTCTATATTTTCTTCGTAGTCCAGCATCATCCTAACTATGAGCAGAATGTTTGCACAGACATTCTTGGTCAGCCTATCGAACTTAAACTTAATGAGATGCTTGAGGCCGTTTATAACATCCTGCAGTGTGTAGTTAGAAAGAAGACTCTCCAAAATCTCCAGAGACGGGTCGTGAATTAAAGTATAAAAGAGCCAGTAGAAACCGGTCTTGCAGTTTTCCTCCTTGGACATCCTCAGCTTTCTGCAGAAGTCATCTTCGTCGACAAGCTCTCTTAGCATTAGGGCCTAAACGATTTTGTGGAAAAGCATTCATACAGAAAAACATGGTTAAACATTTACTAGCTATTCACTGCTGGACATCAACGCAGTAATAAATTCCGTTATGCATTCTATGCATAGTTATTTTGTTGAAGTCCATGAATGTATCAATGGCCTCCGGGTTGAACACCAGAGAAACAAGTATTTCCTTGTCTACAGAAAGACAGTAAAGAAACTTTGAAAGCCTCCTTATTAGCCTTACTTGGGTTCTGTCTATGGTGAGCGGCTTTCCTAAGCATTCCAGAGACAAAAGCGTCTCCGAAGGATCATACACATTAGATCTCAGCCTCTTTGCCAAGTCAAGTGGAGAAACAAACTCCTTCCCATTTCCCATCTAGTTAAGGGAATGGCATTCCTTTCCAAGAAAAGAGCAGAGCTGAAGGAGCTTTTAGCTTTCGCCTGCATCCTCATCAAGAAACCTGTAAGCTGTAACCATTTCTATCTCCTTGACACGGCTTCTTTTTTCCTCAAACTCGACGCTGAGGTATTTGCTTCCGCAGCTCAGCAGTTCTTTTCTAAAGGTTGTTATTATAAACTGATTTCCGCAGCTCGTGCTCATCTCCTTTATCAGCATAGAAACCCTTTCTCTGCTCTGGACATCCAGATTGGCATCAATCTCGTCAAGTACGTACAATGGAGATGGACTTACCCTTTGCATACTAAATATCAGGCACAAAGCTACCACAGCCTTTTGACCGCCGCTGAGAAGATTTGCACTGATATTTTCTCCAATCTTGATCCCTATTCCATTCTCATATGAATAGAGCTCCGCCGTACCACCATCCGTAAGCCTTGAATAGAGCTCAGAAAACCCCTCTTTTACTAAGGATATGGCATTTTTCATTGTATCTTCTTTCTTAGAGTCTAGCTCTGCTATAAAATCAAGTATTCGTCTTTTATCGCACTTCAAATCCTCCAATCTCCTCTTCATGGAATCTCTTTGTTCCATATAGTTCTCCCACTGGGATATTGCCGCCCGATTAACCACCGAAAGCCCTCTGGTTCTTTCATTAATTCTGGCCATCTCGTTCATTATCTCCTCTTTCTTTTTGTCAGGATACAGTCTCTCTAGGTTTCTGAAATCCGAAACCCCTATTCTTTCGCAAAGCTCGCTTCTTTTGTTTATCAGCATATGCTTCCTTCTCACCAGCTTTTCCATCTCGATATTTATCTTCTTGGGCTTTGCAAATAATCCCGCGTTTTCCTCATTAAACATCATCTCCCTTGCAGCTCTTTTCTTATCCTTAAGCTCCAAAATCTTTGCCTCAATCTCCATCGCCTCCCCATACATTTTGGACTTTTCCAACTCCGACTCAAGGCGCCTGCTACTATCATTCAGCTTTTTAATTCCAATTTCTGCTTCTCCTACTCTTATCTCAACCTTCCTGATCTCGTTTCCAGTCCAGATGCTTTTGAGCCGGAGATCTTTCTCCTCTTCTCTTAATCTTCGGAGCTTTACACTAATTTTGTTAATGTCAAGGTTTCCCTTGCTAGCTTCCTCCAGTATCCTTATCTTCTCCTGAAGAAACAAAACAACCGACTTTAGACTTTCGTTATATCTGGATCCATCGCTTCCCTTCTCCCTGCTCATTTTCGCTTCTTCAATCTCCTTGCCTATTTTTCCAAGCTCATGCTGCACCCTACTTATCTCGCCTTTTACTTTCCTTGCCTCCCTACTGATCTTTTTATACTCCTGGAAAACCGCGTTTCTCTTCTCATATCCCCCAGAAATCGGCCCATCCCTAGTTACTATCTCTCCAGAAAGAGTAACTGTATTGATCTCATACTTCTTCGACGAATAAAGTGCCTGTTTCAGGTCAGAGCAAAGATAGAAATCCTTTACAACGCATCTGAGAAGAGCTTTATACTGTTGGCCACACCTTAGTTGTGATGTCAGCGAAATAACATCCGGATCCTTTACTTCCTCGGACTCCCTGTACTTGATTCTACTAAGTGGCATAAGTGTTATCCGGAACCTCAAATCCTTCATCTTCTTAAGTACCTTCGATGCCACCTCTTCATTCGAGACAACTATATTGAATAAGGCATTTCCCACAACCGCTTCAAATGCATTAACTAACTCATTAGGTACGCTTATCAGGTCATATACGTATCCTAGCACCCCCTCTTCGCATTTGATTTGGCTATGCACATCCAACCCAATATTCCCCATAGCCATCAATCTGTTTTCTTGAGACTTGACCATTTCTTCTATCGATGCATCTAAAAGCCTCAGTCTCTTCTCTTCTCTCCAGAGATGTTTTCTTCTTTCAATTAACTCTTCAAGATCTCTTGTTTCTTCGGCATTTTCGGCCTCATGTCTTCCAGAACTATTGAGCGCTCTCAGCTTTTCCAGTTTTTCCTTCAAAATGCTCTTTGCTGTTTCTATTTCTCCAGCCTTTATATTTCTACTCCCCAACGTCTCTAGGAATCCCGTTAGATACTTTATATAGCCGGATCTTACAAAATTCTCCCGCTCCTCATCCCTAAGCTTCACAAGACGCTCTCTCTCAACCTTCTGGGTATCCTGCAAATCACTTCTTTTCTTTTCAATCTTTTTCATCTCATCTTTAATTTCAGGCTCCTTATCTTTATACTTTTCATTGACATGCAGCTCCTTTCTTCTGTTAATAAGGTTTGTTAGTTTGTTCTCTATTTCGCCAATCTCACATCCGAAATCTCCACTCTCCTCTGAGACTTCCTCAGGGTCGCTAGATACAAGCTCCTCAATCCTAAAAATCTCCCCATTAATCTCCCTGACCTCCCTCTCAATATATCCATACTCAAGCCTCCGCTTCTCCTTTTCCAACTCCTCACACAATTCTGCTTCCTTCTTATCACTTTCAAGTCCTCTTAGCTTATCCTCAACCCTCTCCAATAGTAACTCGATCTTCTTTTCGCTCTGCTTAGTTTCCTCAAGTATAGACATACTACTTTCCCTATCCTTTTCATACCCAGACACACCGGCAACGTTCTTCATCAACTCGTATCTCCTCCTGTCATCAACAACAGCAAGCTCAGATACTTCTTCCTGCAAGACAACGAAGTATGGACTGCCAACTGCAAATCCATTGGTTTGAAGTAACCCTACTAGCTCGTCCCTCGATACAATTCTATTGTCCACCATGTACTCATCTTTCTTAACACTTACAGTCCTCTTGACAGAAAATTCTCTCCCGCTCCCAGCCTCCTGCAGTCCATCGCAAAACACTATCTCAACGCTGCCCTCTTCCTCCATAGCCCTACTTCCTTCGTGGATAAGTCCCGTCCTCGACTCACAACTGTGCTTTTCTCCACAGAGTACAAAGTGGACCGCAGAAACAATACTGCTTTTTCCACTCCCGTTCCGCCCGACAATGATATTGGTGTGCTCTGATAGTGGAACCACTACCTCATCTCTAAAGCTTCTGAAGTTTTTTAGCCTTATTTGCTTAATGTGCATCAAACCTAAGGGGAGTATTTTTGACAATATAAGTGGCTGTACTGTTTCAAATAAGCAAAGATAAAACAGGTGTCTCTATACAATTTAATCCTTGTGGCCAGTCATTTATACTCATTTTCATGCAGTCTTTCCTTAAGCTCAGTGTTTTCTCTCTCGTACTTCTTGCATCTATCTTCAGCGTCATGAAGCATAGTTTCGACCTTCTTAACATACTTTTCCTGGTACTCCTTGAGATCAGATTCCAAGGATGAGCATGCCTCCACAAGATTGGCTTTTTGCGCATATAGCTCGTCTCTTTCTTCTTGAAGAGAATTTAATCTCTCGCTAACCTCCATCCTCATCGTCTCCTGAGCTTTTATGGCTTCATTCTGGATAACTAGGAAATCAAAGTATGTTTCCTCTCTTCTGTCCACCTCAACAGGTCCTGATAACTTGTTGCTCTCGAAAACACTTCCTAGTCTTTCCAAATTAGATCTCATCGACATGAACCTAACCCACTCCTCAAGATTATCGCCTCCAGTTTGCTCACGGAGAAATAACGGAACAGATGCTATGTCAGCCCCTTCATAACAAAGCAGGAGGTCGATCATCTGGTCAAGTACAGAAGAGTGCTCGGATATAAGAGCTTTCCAGAACCCGGGATCTGCTTTATTTACGATGTCTCCATCAGTATCGTTGTCTTCTGCAGGCTCATCACTCTTTTTGCTCTCAGAAAATATACTGCAGAAGTTGTGGGATTTCATTAATGAGTAGATAAGGCAGTACACGGTCTGCGGTGAAGCATATGGAAGCTCCAAAACATGCATTATAAACAATGCAAGCAGCTCATGGTTGGATATTATGGGGAAATCTCTCTCTAGGTTTTTGAGGATGTTGAATATAGCTTCTTGACTGCAATCTTCTGTACTTCTGCACATGTCCAATATAAACCTCACTAGGTCCCTATCGTCTAATCTTCCATGATCATTTACCCCGTCCTTAGTGTCTGGAGCTTTAGCAGGATCATGAGGCCCTACTGGCTTTAGCTCCATATGTCTCTCTCTGGACCCGCTGCATTTGGCCCATATCGAGAACCTTAAGTCCTTACTTATTGTATGGATTTTCTTTCTTACCTCCCTTCTGTTAGGCTTCTTTTCTGAGAGAAAATAGGCCCAGAATTCAAACTCTGCAAGGGTTTTCGAGGCACACGTGGTATTGCAATGCTTCCTATTACATATCAGCTTTTTATAAGTTCTCGATGGAAAAAGCGCCTCGTCGGCATACCTAGGGGTGTTGGATCCGAGAATCAAACTGTCCAGGAATTCCATTCAGGTTCCCCTCTTCAAATTCATTGATATATCATTATTTTTATAAAAAGGAGCTACCTACATAAAAACTAGTTCTATTGGGTGTCGTGTGCTTGGATGGGGCCACAGGTACAATTGGCTCCAGAGGAACAAATAGATCCGTCGACGCTTGGCATGTAATATAATCATTTATTTCAAAAGTTCTCTCCTTCAAATATATTTCCATGAATGACCATCTTCTGTATCTCGTCCTTCCTATTGGCACTCTCCAGAACTTTTTCTTCAACCGTTCCCCTTGTGATGAGTCTATATACTGTTACATCTCTCGTCTGACCTAGCCTGTGTGCCCTATCCATTGCCTGCTGGTCTGCAGTAGGATTCCAGTCGCTGTCGTAGAAAACAACCGTATCTGCTGCAGTAAGGTTGATTCCTAGCCCCCCGGCACGTGTACTCAGCAGGAAGATAAACTTGTCGCTTGCTTGCCAATCTCTGATCACCTCTGCACGGGCAGAAGCCTTCAGACTTCCGTCGAGCCTTAGATATGTGTATCCTTTCCTCACAAGGTAATCCTCTATAAGATCTATCATTCTTGTCATCTGAAAGTACATCAGCAACCGGTGTCCCTCTGCTTTGAGTTTTGGTAGCAGCTCATCCAAAACGACCAGTTTTCCACTATCACTGATAAACGTATTTAATGGGGGAACATAAATGGTCGTATTTAGCGGAATGTGCCTATTCTCCAGATCTATCTCTGGAAGATCTGCTTCATTTGAAATCAGTCTAGGCGCCGTTGCTACAACCGGACTTATACAATAAACATGTCGTTGCAGACGATATGCTTCTTCGTCAATCACTCTTCTCATGCTTTCCAGCAGCGAGGACTCTGGATTCCCCATGTTTCTCAACACAGCCTTACCAGCCTCCTCAACACTTCTAAAGACATAGCCACCATACTTGAAGTCCAAGCTACCCCGAAGGTACCAGGCGTTTGGTCCTTCTCCATTAACAATCCTTCGCAATCCATTAATCCTCTCTATCATTTCATATTCTTTCTTACGGAACATCTCAAGTGCATCCTTAGCAACAAGGCTGGGAATCTTAATGTCCATCTTACTTCTTCCAAAAGAAACAACATCGCCTATCCCATCGCTGACTTCGAGGCTCAATCCGCATCTAGGCTCCAGCTTCTTGAACAAGTCCGGATGATTGCAGACCTTTTTCAGCTGCATGAGTAGGTTCTCCATTTCCATGCTTGAGCAGGATCTGGTGATCTCCTTGTACAACACTTTTTGTCTGTAGCTTAGATCGCAGTACAAATCAATCTGCGTCTTCTGGCCCAGCTCATGGATAACATCTGATTTGTGTCTTCTAAGCATAAATGGCTTTAGAATGGCATGAAGCCTCTGCAGAGACTTCTCATCAACCGTCTTCTTCATTATTGCCGATGTTTCTATCTCCTTACTGAACCAGTCGCTGAACTCATTGAGAGAGTCAAACAGAGTAGGCATTATAAAATGAAGGAGAGCCCATAGCTCTTGCATGGAGTTTTGTATCGGCGTTCCCGTCAGAAGAAGTCTGTTTCTTGCCTTAAAGCTCAGGAGAGTCTTCCATCTTCGCGACATGCTGCTCTTAATAGCCTGTGCTTCGTCGAGAATCATGTATTGCCATTTGATCTTTTTTAACATCTTCTCATCACTAACAGCAGTTTGATATGTCGTGATGACAACATCAGAATTTTTGAATCGCTTTTTCAGCTCCTTCCTTTCGCTTGGAGATCCAGAAAAGCGGCACACTCTGAAGCTAGGGAGAAACCTTGCAAACTCTTGAGCCCAGTTGTCTAGTGTCGATGAAATGGTTACAACAAGAAACGGCCCAGGGACCTCTTCCGTTTCATAAAGGTGGGCCAATAATGAAATCGACTGAACTGTTTTTCCTAATCCCATGTCGTCTGCAAGAATCCCATTGATTCCTTTATCATACAGACTGACAAGCCAGTTTAGTCCTCTCAGCTGGTACTCCTTCAAAGTGCACTTTAAGATACTCGGCTGGGGCACATATCGAGTCGTCGTCTCCCCTACCTCTCCCCCCTCCTTGAACTTCTTTGTCGACCTCTCTGCTCCAAACTCCCTCAACCTCTCTTTCTGGAGCATAGCCGCCTCATAACCCTTCATCCCGTTATATTCCCCCGCTCCTATTTCCTTTCTTTCAGCCTCCTCTGCAGAAGAAAGACCGCATCTATTCTTTTTCAATATGAAGTGAGAAAAGAGCTCTGTCTGACTCAGGAGATATTCAAACTTCCTCTTCTGTCTTAGTTCCTCCCTCTCCTCCATCTCCCTCTTCTTTCTTTCCATCTCCTCCTTTTCTGCCTTCTTGAACCTATCCTTCATGTTTCTTTCGGTCTTTTTTATATGTCCATACAGCTCTCTGTAGATCCTCTTCGACTTAAGTATAGGATTGGTTCTAGATGTTTTTGAAAGCCCTCTCCTCAACTCTCTGGCACAGATTATGCTGATTTTCTTAGAATATGCTATACGGGCAGACTCATATCCTACGATTGCAGAGTGAACCTTTCTGATATTCCTCATGACCGATATCCACTCTGCTGTCCTTTCAGAATCTGTATCTCCCTCGCCCCTCTGACTCCTCATTTCATTTATAATCTGGCTTATCTTTTCTTTTGCTAAAAAGCGAAGATGCCTTACCTCCGGATAGTTGAGCAAGGCTACAGGAACATCCATAACACATTTGGAAATATGCCTTGTTCCATTTGCCGCCTTTTCTATGTTCAGAGCCTCCCCACGCCTCTCGTATACTTTCAGAATGTCCTCTAGATCTACTCCTGTCATTTTGAGGGTTTTCCCAATACATCTTCATTTACCCACACTTAGATTTGGCCTCTTGCCTATCTAAAGCCCAAGGCCTTGAATCTTGTTATGAAACAAAGGAATTAAAACAACAAGACGGTACAAAGAAATAAACAAAGATGATAGCAATAATGGTTCTGATGCAGCTGTGTATCTCCAAAATAGTTGTCGTTGACGATCTTGGTGTTACCGATAAACAGAATCGAGATCCAGACATAGCTAGAAAGGTAATGAATGTTCTTGGAGGCACTATAAAGAACAGTAGGGATACAGTGCTACTCTCCAATAGCAAGGGGACAAAAAGAATTGTTGGAGATGATGAAAACGCTTCCTCGGCATACGACAGAGGAAGCCAAGGCGAAGCTAAACTGTTTGCGAAAACGAATGATGACAATAAGACAAATGGACGAGAGACCCACTTACGACCAAGTCCTTCCAAACCTGAATATACCGGAAGGCCGACACAGAATCTACAAGTGGAAGATCCAGTCCCAGAAATAGGAAGAGGCTACCAAGAGAGCTCCCTACTGAATCCCTTGCATACCAGGAGTCTATTTAATGGGGATGATCAGCAGATCCAAGGCAGGAACATGTACGAAAGGCCCTCCATGCAAAGCTATGACCCAGAGAACCTTTTAACGCCATATGACTCTAACCAAGGGAAGTATATTCCATTTTCATTTGGGGGTACTGGAGATTCTTTTACGGGAGCTCCTGGATACACAGAGGCTCCACTAGAAGACAGAATGGGGTTTGGTATGGGCGGGAATAGGAACCTGTCTGATGAGGCAAGGGCAAGGAAGTCATTTATTATCTTGAAGATGGCGCAGAGCAAGCAGAAGGAAAGCATGCTACAGAGCAGCATCGACAAACTTCTACAGGACATAGACCAAGTTGCTGAGAAGATCCAAGACACACAGAAGATGAAGGACGGGATGATGTCGAGGCTTCACACCAAGAAAAATCATCTGAGAAACCTGCAGATTAACATAAAGGAGGTTGAAGTCCAAAGAGGGAGGACCCTGGCCCTCATAAGGTTATCTAGGAACGAGCTTCTGAAGCTTTCAAAGATGATAGACGACCAAAGATCCAAACTGGCGCTTCTCGAAGATGAGGAGAAGATATTCTCTGACAGAATAAAGAAATATGATGAGGAGTATGATGTAGGTAACAGGGAGCTTCAGCTGGATGAAACGCGGACCGAAGAAATCAAAAGGAGTATAGAAGAGCTGGAGAGGATGTATAATGTTCTGAAGATCAGGAACAATGAGCTGTTGAATGAAAGAAACAAGGAAAGTGCCATCCGGAACAAGCTAGAAATGGAGGTAGAGAGGTTTGATAGAAGCGCAATAGACTTTATTTAAGGGTGATGGAAGGTTTTATGGCAAAATTGCTTTTTCACGACTCATTACTGGGGTTTCGAGCTATTAAAAAATTTTTAAATGATCCATTAAATGATAGAAGGTCTAAAAGTGAAAGCCCTAATATGTGTGGTGGAGATCATTGAAAACGGAATCAATAGCATACATGCCATGGGGATTCTACTCTTTGCATTGAATATTCTTAAAAAGGCCTCTGTCCTTGTAAGCAGAATTCTGTGTGCGTGGAATGGGAAACTATCTTCTGAGTATCCCAGGGACCCAAGAAGCAGGCTTGGTATTTTCAAAAACATGAACATTGCATTTATCTGCGATGGAAACAGAAGGTATGCAAGAAAGCTTGGGCTTGAAGATAGCTTCATCAAGGACAAGGGACTCCAGAAGATATATGAGTTCATCGAATTTGGATGTTTCTACGGCATTAAGGAGATCTCTTTTTTCTGCTTTGCACTGAGCAACTTCAAAAGAAGTCCGGAGGAGGTGAATAAACTGATGGGACTTGTCAAGCAGAAAATAGAAAGACCTAAGGAGATAGGCATCAGACCAAAGTTCCGGGTTTATGGAAGGCTGGATCTTCTCGAGGAAGATGTCAGGAAGAGACTCATGGATATTGAGGAGGAATCTAAGAACAACACAAGTATAATTGTGAACATATTTTTTGCATATTCTGCAGAGGATGAAATCACCAGGGGAATTCAATTCAACAGCCATGTTGACATACTCATAAGGACTAGTAACACAAAAAGACTCAGCAACTTCATGATCCGCCAAGTTGCAAAGGGGACATCTGTGTTCTTTGCAAAGGCACTCTGGCCTGAGCTGACAACAGCACATCTCTTCCTGATACTTCTGAAGCATCGACTGGAAAATAAATATTTATTGGGTTGATGCCATTTTGCATTGAAGTAGGCATGCCAGGGCAAGCACTCAAAGCCATTTGCTCAAGTCCGGCTTTTCTACAACCGGCCTGTTTGGGTCATAGAGAAGCCTTCTCTCAACCTCGAATATACTGTCAATCTCGGTCTTAATAGCCCTTCCTACCTCATCAAACGAAGTATTATGTGCTCTAGTGCACTCTTCCATTCCAAACTCCTTAAATATCCTCACTAAATCTTCTGTCTCGTTTCTCCACCCCACTAAACTTAGCGCAATATCTCGGATCCTACTAAGCACAAACTCCCTTTCGTATCTGCCCCCTGGCCTATTCTTAATCCTCGTGCTTCTACCCCCTCCCATGTTTTCTGTGTAGCTGAACGATGTCTCGCTCATACACTCGTCTTCTCTTTCCTCGAGAGCCTCCAACCTGTTCCTGTATTTCACAAACGATTCCTTTACATCATTGAGAGTCAGGAGTTTTTCTCTCAAAATCTCGCGGGCCTCCTGCATGAGGCACTCTGCATCTGAGCATACCCTAAGGGCATCTCCCATGCTTTTGGCTTTTACATACTCGGCAAAAGCTCTTTCTGGTTTTCCCAAAAACTCCTCAAGTAATTGGCCTGCCTCATAATGCTTTTCAGACTCGACAAGCCTGCTCACCATAAGCTCACAAAATTCCTCACGACCCTCCGAGCCATGGAGGTCCATGGCTTCCCTCCAGTATAGATTCTCCACGGCTGTTTCCAATGCCTTCTCTGTGTTTCCTGCTTTTCTGAAAAGAACCAACGCCTTGTCAGAAGGAAGGAGCTCTGCACATAAGTTAAAGTAGTACCCCTTTTCCCTGGTGCTCAAGCCACAGGCTTCATACATCAGCGCCTCATCGATAAGTCCATGCTTTTCGATGTATTTTTTTTCTACATCGGTCATCTTTGTCCTGCTTATGTGATAAAGCGCATCGACTCTATTCCCAAGAAAGTCGTTTATCTTGAATTTCTGCAGACTTCCCCGGTACCTGCGTACCAAAGAAAGAAAATCCGACGAGTCTTTCCGGCAGATCTTCATCACCTCGCGTATCAGATCTTCGTTGCATGTTCCCAAAGCTGAATTCATAATGCTGCTTGTATTGGTTATTGACAGCATATGTTCGACTCCTGCTTTTAGGTCATGCCTTGCCACCTGAAGCGCCAAATCTATTCTCTTTACTTTCACCAATAAGGAAATAATAAACTTGAAGTTGCTTTTTAAGTCCAGCGATAAAAGAAACTCGTTGAAAAAGTCCCTTGCCCTTCTCCCGCACAGGTTCTTTACGTCTTCTGGCAGGCTTTTTAAACACCTGCTGTAAGGCTTCCGGCGCATGAAGAGACCCTTCCCATTTCCCCATCCAATCAGATGTGCAAGGGAATTTGTGTCTATTGATTCGTCATTGCCTATCAACTCTTCAAAATGCTCTCTAGTGTCTTTGGGTTCGAGGACTGCAGTGAGATCGAAGACTTTCCTAAATCTTCTAGCCCTTTCACTCTCAAGAATAAAGTCAAAATCCCCAAGTCTTTGGAGAGCCTCACTGAAAAATGATACAAGGTGTGCATCCCTGCATTCAGTCACAAATTTCTCAAGTTCGATATCGTGGTCCAAAAAGACTCCGAACGGGACAATGTATCTCTGGCAACCGTCTATAGCGTCTTTGTATTTCTTGTCAGCCAGAAGCTTCTTTACAAATGCTAATGTATAGATCTTGGGGGTATATGTTTCGAGTGTGCCGTGCCTCGTTACTCCAATAACCCTGAAGTCTACCATGCACAAAAGCTCCAGCTTGTGATCAACCTGGCAAACGCTTTGTTTAGACTCAAAGAAAAACCTGCACGTCCCTTCCGAAATGGTAATCATCCCATGCTCCCCAACGAGGAACGAATTTATATTCTCTGTGGTATCCCCATCCACGAAAAGCTTGGTTCCGTTATGAACAAAAATGCTCTTTTTCACACATACCTCGAGTCTCTGGGCTATGTCAATCCCAGAATGCACTGGATCGCCACTATAGACAATGACCCCGTTGCCTAATAACAAGTATAGCTTTTCTTCGAAGTTATAGTGTTTTACAACACCGACACATCCGTATCTTTTCAGCGTTTGGCACAGTTGATGGACAACGGTGCTAGTTCTTCTTGTCCCTACAGTACCTCTCTTCTTTCTTTCATCCACATCTCCATTTCTAGTGATATAGGTATCCTCCTCTCCATTCACTTCTTTTACAAGAAACTCATGCCCGCTCTTTAAAACCAGAAAACCATCGAATAAGACAATCGAATCAAATTCGTCCTCCAAAAGGAATGTCCTTTCGTTAATAAAGTCTTCTCCATCCCATCGGAACATAATTGCTCTGTCCCTCAGAAGAATTGCTCCCTTCTTTTCTGCCGGGAAGACATCAACAATATTGGTATCAAACCCAACTCTTACGGAGAAGAGCGGGGGAGGAAGAATCTTCTCTGAGAAGTCTGTGTAAAGCATGTAGCTCCCATCAATAACATAGTACTCTGAGCCATGATGGGTCTTCTCTTCAGACAAAAAAACTCTTAATATCCTTTCCCCATCTCTGAACAGGACTGTGTTCTTTTCGGTGCATAGGAACTTTCCAGGTATTTGCCTTGAAACTTTCAGATACCAACGAAAATTCTTTGTGTAGAACACTTTAAGCAGGGAGCCCTCGGCATTGTGCTGGACAGTAATTAGTAAGTCCTCGTTTTCTAGAAAAGCCAGTTCGCTGCATCCCACGTTCAACGGATCTCCATGTTCAAGCCCATTGGGCTCAATAAACCTGACACTTTCGCTTGTTGAGCATCCAAATGTGTTGTACTTACTTCTCCAGGAAAGACTTGTATATTCTCTCTCCTCACTTCTCCCAACTAGATTAAGCTCTGTGTCATAAAAGAGGATTTTCTTGTTGGTTAGTACTGCAAAAAGCCCATAGTCGGCCCATTCAACCCGAATGGCCCTGCCAAATTCAACCTTGGCTGATTTCTTGAGATCAATGTATGTGTCGAAAAGAAGAATTTCTCTGGTGGAAATAACAACGCACCATTTTTCGTCCGCAGATATGCTGGCCAAAACCACTCCATCACTCACCTTTCCGACCTCTACCATCTCAAGTGTGCTCCTATTAACCAGATGTATTGTGTCCAGCTCGTCGATTAAAAAATACTCGAATGTTAAGACATGAAAGTGCTTTGGGACAAACGGAATCTCGAATCTTTTTGTCCCGGATTCATCGTATATACTGCTTTCCTTTGCAACATATCCCTTGCTATAAATCCAATCGCCTTTGCCTATCTCGACAGTGCTCATGTACCGAAAAAAAAAATTTTCCATTCCTTGTGGGGAATCCTGGAACCCAAAAATGTCTACCTCTGGATGGCTGGGAGGAATTCCAAGAGAAGAGCATAGCTACAAAGCCATATACCGCAATCTGGAGCTGTCCAGAATGCACCGTGTTGTCTCCGACCATGTCCCCATGTCTGAAGAGAAGCATGAAGGTAAGAAGACAATCGATGAAGAACAGCCTAGAGGTCTTTTTGAGTCTGTCATATACAGACTGGACGGATATGATCAGCGCTATTTGCGTGAATCTGCCATAGATGTTTCAGAGGACGCTTTTGAGTTAATTGTGGATAGGCTGGAGAAAGAATGGTTCTTTTTTGTGCACGGTTTAGTAGATAGACATGTCAAGCCCATTGAGCCTTCTTCTTTCTGCGATATTTGCACAAAACATACATCAACGCACAATGAGGCTCTTGTTGTATGCCAAGGATGTGAAATATGTGTGCATGAAAGTTGCTATGGAATCCAGGATTTGAGTAGTTTCTGGCTATGCAGGAAATGCATATACGGAGAATATCAGATAAGGTGCTCGTTTTGCATTTCATCGGATGGGATCTTCAAGCAGACATCAGACAATAGATGGGGCCACGTCCTGTGCGCTATGTTCAATAGGTTTCTTTCATTTGGCCATCTGCTATCAAAAGACCCTATTGACGTTAGCTCTTATCTCGAGGAGTCTGGATGCCTATTTTGTAACGAATTCGGGGGAACAGCGATACACTGTTCATATTTTATGTGCACCAGGAAGTACCATGTTGGATGTGCTCTTGATAAATGCTATTTCGACTTGAACAACGGGATATCTTACTGTATCGATCATGATCCCTTAAAAAGAAACCCATACGAGCTGGGATATGGAAGGATGAATGGACTAAGGTATTTTGGATATGAAAAGCTACGTAATCCTCCAGCAATTAGGAGAAAGGTCCGCATGGCACGTCCCAGGGCCACGCTGTTTATGAAGCTTTGCAAGTTACAGCCTGTGGCGACCCCATCCGTTCTCTCGAGGGTAGAGGCATGCGACCTGAAAGAAAAGGATTCTGTGAACATTTTCAAAGTGTCGAGGTACTGGGAACTGAAGAGAAAAGAAATAGGAGGCCCTTTGGTCATTCTTCCCGACATTGTGTATGGGAGAAAGACGAGAGAGGATTGGATGAGCAAAAGAAGAATGTAAACCTTGTGCTTTGCCACCAAAAGATGCTGAATGCGAGAATCGAACTCGCATCTTGGCGGCCACAACGCCATGCTCTACCACTAAGCTAATTCAGCCAATATGGCTCCCATCTGCAAACTTCAGTGGGAGATGGCGGCCTGCACAGGCGACGAGTCATCAGGGTGTTCGACTCTGACATCTATATCCATGATTGCATTCTCCGGGGCCTGTGATCCTTCTGCTCTTATAAAATCGATTTGTTTGTTGAATGAAAATCCAGTGATCACTTTAATCCCTTGTAGGATGGCGGAAGGGTTTTGCAAAAACTTCTACAGCAACAAGCTGGATCATCTGGAGGTGCAGATAGCAAAGAAGACCAAGATACTTCGTGTATTGGAACAAAAGCGTGCTGAGTTGAATAGAAGGGTTAGATTTCTTAGAGAAGAGATATCCATCGTTCAGGAGCCCAGCTCCAATGTTGGAGTGGTTGTGGAAAAAATGGGAAAGATGCAGGTTCTGGTGAAAACAAATCCTGATGGTAAGTATCTAGTGAAGGTGGAGCCTGGAGTAAACTATGATGAACTCAAGGCTGGCGTAAGGGTTGCTCTGCGTAGCGACTCATATGATGTCCACAGGATACTTCCCACAAAGGTGGATCCGCTTGTGTCACTTATGATGGTTGAAAAGGTTCCCGACTCGACGTATCAAATGATAGGAGGCCTTGACGAACAGATCAAAGAGATTAGGGAGGTCATCGAGCTTCCAATCAAGCATCCAGAGTTATTCGAGAATCTTGGGATAGCGCAGCCAAAGGGAGTACTTTTATATGGGCCTCCCGGAACTGGCAAGACTTTACTGGCAAGAGCCGTGGCTCATCATACACAATGCAAGTTCATAAGGGTCTCTGGATCTGAGCTGGTTCAAAAGTACATTGGAGAGGGGTCTAGGCTGGTGAGGGAGCTTTTTATCATGGCTAGAGAGCATGCACCGTCTATTATATTCATGGATGAGATCGACTCCATCGGGTCCACAAGGGGAGACTCCAACAAAGGGAGTGACAGTGAGGTCCAACGAACCATGCTTGAGCTACTCAATCAACTCGACGGATTCGAGTCGCACAACAACATCAAGGTTATCATGGCTACCAATAGAATCGACATTCTCGATCCTGCCCTGTTGAGGACTGGTAGAATTGATAGGAAGATTGAGTTCCCCCCGCCAAACGAATCTGCAAGACTTGAGATCCTGAAAATCCACTCGAGAAAGATGAATCTTACCAAGGGAATTGATCTTGAGACCATAGCAAGCAAGATGGTTGGATGTTCTGGGGCAGAAGTTAAGGCCGTATGTACAGAGGCTGGAATGTATGCTTTGAGGGAGAGAAGAGTTCATGTGACGCAGGAAGACTTTGAAATGGCAGTCCATAAGGTATTGAAGAAGACTGGGGATCTGAACTCTGACCTCAGAAAGCTTCTAAAATAAACGAGGATTTTGTCTAACTAACTGCAGCCTATCTTTTGCTGGATTGTCTCTATTTGTCTGCTTGGTATCGAAAGTCTTGGGTGTATTCTGGAAGTTGATTCGGAGGAGGCGCCTTCTGTAGTTTAAGATTGGAGAGGTATGCTACAAACAAATTTCATCAGGAACGCATTAATATAGCAGACGTGTCTCACCCTCTTAAATGAAGAGCTCCGCAGGGAGGACCATGAAGTATAGAAAGGAGATCATGGACACATGCATGAAGCTAAACCTGCCTCTTACTGTAAGGAGCACCTCCATACAAATATTTGACAAGACCGTCGGTAAGATGTTCCAAGAAGAAAAGGAAATGAGGAGCGTTGTATATGCAATAGTGATACTTGCTTCGAAGTGCGAAGAGATACATGGGAACATAGAGTCTCTTGTGAAGAGACTCCCGGAATCTGATAGGGAAAGCATTTTCAGCTATGAGTCTGAGATGTTTGAGGCTTTGGACTATAACTTCCACTTTCCCAGCCTGTATCTTAGAATGTATGGGGTGCTTGCAATGCTCCAAGAAAAAGGGCTTATCATGGCGGAAAAGGGAACTATGGAAGAGAAGATCTCGAAAGATGATGGCGATGAGATCTTCATTTACAATGGGAAGGAATGCATTGTTCCATCCATTGACAGGCTGTGGACATGTTCTGTGCAGAACATGGATAAGATACTTCTCTTGGACAAAGAGTCCTACAAAGAAATAGAACTGGTGTATGCAAGCTTACATTTTCCGTGCGAGATATTCGGCTCGCTTACCTTTCCCTTCAATCGAGATAATGTTGTGGAACTTCGAAATGTATGTGAAAACCCTCAATTCTCCAAATGAAATTCCAAGTCCGTTTGTGCCACGAAACGCAAAGTTAGAGTATCTAAAGATCTAGAAGAATAAGATCAATAAATTTAATTATGCTTTCAGAGCTCATCTTCTGCTAAGAAGTACTAGCTTGTTTGAGATTTCTTCAACACTATGGCTCGGGGGGATTTCCTTCCCGTTGCTAGACAGGACAAGACCGAAGTCATAGTATCTCTCGATGTAATCAAAGAAGTCTCCCACAGTCTGAGACCTGAGCATTCTGACCGTGACTCTCTTGCTCCCGATCATGACTTTGAATAATACATTACCATCCTTGGCTATTTCTAGCATGTCTGGTATGTTAACATGAGGAATTTCTCTGCTCGAATCTCCCAGACGCCTTCCTTCCCCCACAAACGAGGGCCTTGCCTTAGCCTCTGGAGCCTTCGAGTTCTCCCTGTATTCCTCATCCGGCTTTTCAGTATAGATGACCTCGGCAGTGTCTCCATGCAGTCCTAGTAGTGACGCATCGAAAGTTTTTTTTTCTAGCATTTCTCTAAGTCTAATGTTATCATCCACCGAGAAGTCGTAGAATTTATCTTCCACCAGGATCCCGTTCTTGTATTGAGTTATAGATTTTCTTGAAGGCCTTTCCTCGACGTATAGCCCACTTTTCCCCCCGGAGTACAGGACGTTTCCCTTCCTCCCAGCTATTTTTATGGCAAGATCCAAATTCCCCTGGGATTCATTTTCTGCTTTTCTTGCAACATCGTGTGAGCATCCCGTTGCCTCCATTATCTTCTTAATTCGAGCTTCCGAATCCATCACAATTCAAGGGACAAAACATTTTTATCAAATAGTTTCCATGCAGGCATTTGATATTTGAATCGTCCTGATTGGGCTTTTATGAAAAGAGAAATCCAATTAGCATTCGGTGGTGTGGTTTGCAAGGAAAGTCATGGTAAGTATCTTATGCTTTCTCCCTCGATGCTCAAGAATTCGCGCCCAGCCAAACTTTCAATCCTTTCGTCAAGTGCTTCCGATGAATATTCCCTGCCCATCAGCCTTCTGAGTTCATCTCTATCCAATACTCTCTTGTTCTTCATCTCCTTTATTATTCTACAGTCCAGAAGGTCTTTGCAGGATTCTGATTTGTCAAATCCCCTTGCGGCTTCTGATAGCCTCACCAATGGAAATGTGTCAGGAATCAACCGATTTCCAGAGCAATTCCCTTCCCAGTCCATGTTCAGGAAATATCTTCTTCCGTCAGCCCTCACCAGTCCATTCTTGACTAGTGCGCCAAGGTTTTCATCCCAACCCTTGTATATCTTTAAATCCTCGGCTGCTCTATCCTTCTCAGCTAGCTGCCTGATCATCAGGTACTGAGTCAGGGTAACTGTGGCTGCATGCCCCAGAATCTCAACCGAGCAGGATGACAAGAGGTCGTTCCATCTGATTCTTTTCTTCTTGTTTCTTAAGGCATCCTCATACTTCCCCTTGACCTCTTCTACATCCGGGATTCCAAGGCTAGTCCCTTCGTATCCAGGCCATTTGCATGCCCGGAGAAGTAGAACTTCGTGGCCCATAAATAACTCCCTTTCGGAAAAGTCCCTTATCATGCATCTCATCTTGCCTAGGCTGTTTCTACCAGGGTCAATCCCATCAATCAGTAGATTTTCCCAGTACATTGATACAGACGACTGGGAAATGAGCCGATTTCCCAGCCTGTTTTGTAGCGCCATTTCAAACGCTTTCTTGTCGTTGCATAGATCGAAAATCTCTCCAATTGCTCGGAAGATATTTGATAGGAGGTATTCTTTCCATACTCCTCCCTCAAGAAGAACTTCATCGATCCCCAATCTTTTCAAAACTCCTCTTGTCTCCAATACATCCTCTTCTCTGCTCCCTGGAATTTGAATTCTGTGGTCCATTCCCTCAATGGTAGTTTTCTCGATAGACATTCTTCCCCTCAGGAGGGAATCCGTCCACCCACAGATACACTCGACAACACGCTCCACATTGGAGTTTACAACATCCTTCTTACATCTTCTGATCCCTTCGCTGATTTCTTCATATCCATCATCTTTGCATTTCTCCACATCTCTAAACTTTAGATAGATCCAATAGTATCCTGTAATAAACCCATCGGCAGAGAGATTCTCGATTATTTCCCTACAATACTCCCCAAGGGCCTCCACAAGCCTTTTTTCTGAGTTGGAAATGCAGAAAAAGTCCATGCATAGTCTCATTTCATCCTCCCTGCACAGCATCCTAAAGATTTCCTCGTTTGTATATTTCATAACTACTCTTCTTATCAAACCAGACTCGACTGCATAAAAATAATCCTTCATATATTCAGCCTTCCTGTATTCATCAATAAGATCTTTTATGCCGAAAATCTCCACCTCTTTGTCCTCCACTCTTGAACTAAGGGCAGCAATCAAGCATTCGACGACCCTTTCCAGAAATATGCCAAAACATCCTCTGCTTTGGAGTATGTGAACTATTGCAGTGATCTGCTCTCTTCTGCAAAGGGATTCAAACCTTCTGGGGTCCTCCTCTCTGCCCGATGTTTTTTTCAGTATCGCAGGACTACTTTGACTTACTTTCTGCTTTTTATTTGGCGAAGATTCGTAATTTTCATAGCTGGACACGGCTGCTTCCCCGCCATCTCCTTTCCTTTCTATTTCCTCTTTCAGACTCCATGTCATAAAGGCGGTCAATCTACCCTCAACTCCCCGAACAAACCGCCTGAATAACCTTGAAAACAACCCTTCCATCAAATTTCTCCCAATCGGTGTAATTGGGCGAAACACCTTCTCAAAAAGATTCATAGTTCTGTCCCAATGACAATTAAACCCGTATAAGTACCTCCCCACATCTTCTAGTTCCATTTCGTTAGTTTTTTCTATGGATTCGTTCACAAAGGTCCTGGACACTTTCTTAACCTGCTTCAAACACTCCCTTGACACCCTAGTCCTAAGTGTGTGGTGCAGAAGCTGGTATATCTCTTCGCACGTAGATGCTGTGCTTCCATTCTTCAAGTACTCCATGACAAAGTTCTTAACTGCAGTCGATTCTCTTGACCGTCGAGTACAGCTCCCCATCGAGCAGATAAATGGGGCAGACCAGAATAAACAATAACAGATCTGGGAAACAGATGGTTTATTTCATTAACTCGTCTTCCAGGGAATCAATAGCATTTGTCAAGTATCATCCTGAGCCTACTTCCGGCATTTACTCCCTGCAATAGCTTAGCATCCTTATCAACAAGGATATATTTTATTGATGATCCTCGTATCGAACACACAGAAATACTGCTCAGTCCTGGATGGCTACTGAGTATCCTTACGTCCAGAAGACTTAAATTAAGATATGGATCTATTCCACCCAGCCTCCCGGATACATATACGCCGGCCTTCAGCATCACTGAAACCCGGCTTCCTATGCTGGATCTAAAAAACTCATAGAACAGCATCTTCCCCACCCAGGGGTGAAACTGCTCGAATGCCAAAAACAGAGTAAAAACCTAATGAGGACCGGGAACCCGTCTTTATAAGATGGACATCAGCCTCTTCAGTATTTCTATCTCCATCATCTTGGACCTACTACCCACAAGAACGAGATGTTTTCTAGCCCTAGTCAGCGCAACATTGAGTCTTTCGTTACTCTCCATCACCTCGCATTTGGAGACCGGGTCAAAGACAACTACAACCTTGTCGTCCTCGCTTCCCTGAAATCTATCAACTGTTTCTACAGCACAGCTTGTTTTTTCTCTTATCAGACCCACCTGCGCATTGAAGTAGCAGAGAATAGTACACTTCTCGAATGAAGAGACCAGTGACATAAAATCTATGCCTTCAGTGTCTATGAATTGAACCGTAGAAGGCTTCTTTTCGCCCCGCAGCTGATTCCCATAGAACAGGGTGTTTGACAGCCTCATTATCTCACTTCCCATTCTGTACTGCGTCCTAAGCTTAGAGTGGTCTTCCCCAAGAAGGTGCTCAAAAAGAGAGAGACTCAAATCCTTGGAGCTCCTAGAAAGAGGTTTTAGCTGAAGATGGTCTCCCACTATCACAAACTTTTTAGAAATGCTTACCGGTATCAGGGTTAGAAGCAAATGCATCTGGGAACCCTCGTCAATAACACAAAAGTCAAATTGCCTGTTTACGTAGATAGGGTCTGCAAACGAAAAGCATGTTCCGACTACCAATTCAATCCTATCAAAAAACAACCCGGCCTCTTCAACTGTTTTGAAAGAAACTTCTTCCTTGCCGGCCGCATATATTCTAATCCCATTCAACTTCTTTGTGATGTTTGCCAGAGCAAGATTCGTATAGCATATCAAGAGGACCTTTTTTTTGAGATATGCAAGGATCTTGATTAGTAAGCATATGAGGGTGCTCTTTCCTGTTCCTGGCATTCCATGTATGATTCTATAATTTCTGCAGTTTAGAGACAAGAACAATGCAGAACGTTGATCATCATTGAGTCTCAGAAACTCCTCCTTATAAACCTTGGGTATCGAAACTTTGTGTTCGTCAAGTACAGAGCTGGAGCATGAAGTCATCCCCTCCAGGTTAGAGAAAGTCGTGCCTCCTATATCGCCGCCTGCATTGTCTTCTTTCTTCCACCTCTTTTCTGCAGCACTGTGCAAAATGTCTTCATCACTATTAAGGCATTCGTTCAGCTCCTCAGTCAGCACCGAATCCTCATCTCCGGGGGTCTGCCTGTCGAGATCGCTTCTTACATCTAGCCCTGCCTTCTCCATAGGCAAGGTAAATCCTCCAACTCCCTCAGATGCACAGTATCTTGGATACGCAATATGAATAAGCGAGAATCGCATGAATCTGAAAAATATGTCAGAAGCCCCAAAAGATACGTACAGCCTCTCCTCGTGCTTGAAAGGAATCTCTTCACTCAGCCTCACCAGGACTCTGTCTCCATTGGCCTCCTCGATAATGCCCTTCGAAATTCTTACAAGGTCCGAGTTGAGTAGATTCAGATGTATGTTGTTGGAAGGAAGTCCACCTTGAAGCGTCAGCCCAATTAGGGTGCTACTTTGATATCTAAGTGTTGCCGGAATAAACGATTCTGCTGCCCTTGCTTCTTCCTCGTCGATTGCATCCAACTGCCTTCTTAGAAAGTGTGTCTTTTCTAGTGCCCTTATGCGGAGCAAGGCATTGCAGCTATAGTCTTCGCAGAAACATTCACAAGGTCCTTTTGATACAGCAATCCTGTTTCTAAGATTCAGTAGACTTCTGATTTCCTGATGTTTTAACTTGACTTCGACAAGCTCTCTAGCCGGAATATAGTACAGATACGGAAGAAAGTCTCTTCCAGTCTTTTCCTTCAGCATAAGGGCGTACAGCATCACCTGTGCACGATGCTCTGCCCTTCGCGACCTAGTACTTTTGATTTCAAGAACCGTGTCAGTTCCAACTGCATCTGCATTCCCCTTAATATTGAATAGAAGAGACATAAGTCTCTTCTCCGTTTCGACAACATCAAACCTCTGCTCCCGAAATAGATATATATTCTTTATCAGCTTCAGTGTTTCGTTGAGAGCCACCCTTTCATCAACCCCACACCTGTGCATTAAAATGACATTCCTGGAAATCTCTCTTTTTGCCTGCCCGATCAAGAAGTCAAGAGCAAAGCTTTTTTGGATCAGGGCCTTTTCCATGACCGAATGGACTATAACGCCAACAAGAATTCGGATGTCCGTGTGTGAAAACTTTATAGAGGCAATTCTGGAGTTCACGTAATGTCTATTTCTGCATGTTAGAGACTCACACAGCGTAGTGATTGCAATAGGGTCATCCTCAACCAGGAGATAGTTTTCTGTGTCAGTCACAAAAATCTTGCTCCTCTTGGCGCTTTGCATTAGGTTTTCTTTTTCATCTTCCATAGAATGTTCCTCCCGCTCAGATTCAAAAATTTCATCCAGGCATCCAATGTCAGATCCCTCCTCATCGCGCTCGTTGCAGCAGACACATCGGAGGACAGTAATCCTGTTATTTACATTGTACTCGACATCACACCATTCCCCAAACAGATGGCATTCGATTTTATCACCGATCAAAACAACAGAGTTCTCTGTTTTTCTGGTCTCACGCACAACGAACTTTGAATAGACAGAAAGCTCCCTTTCTCCTGCATCTTCCTTATGGTCTGTAGATGTAAAAAATGCATCCATGTCTGTTGATTCATCATGATCTCTATCCGAATGCAACGGATCTCCGGGTTCCTCGCTCCAAAAGTCCAGTGCCGAGACGTTCAGCCTTTCTATCTTTCTTGGGACCGTCCTTGGCTTGCCCTTGGGCTCCTCCCACTTTACTGAAGGTTTTCTTTCCATTTAGCGTAGCTGGGATTGGTATGGATGGGCTTGGTGAGCAATGGGCTATTCTTGGATGCGATCCAAGAGTGTGCCCCTATCTTACCCCTCATTCCAAAAATGGTAAAGGAAATACGTCCATGGCCATTTGTCCGATTTTTCTAGAGAGCAGAGACTCATAAATTTGAAACAAAGTAAATAAAAGCTCTTTCCTAATTATTGCCAGGGCAAGCAAAAACAAAGCAATCATGTTGAGGAGCGAAAAGATGTGTTTGGTGTCAATGTATTTTAGTAAGGATACGGCAAAGCAGACTATTGCGGAAATAGGAAGAAACGGGCTGCTCCACTTCAGGGATCTCAACAAGGGCATCAAGTCCGAGAATCTGCTGTACACCCGAGAGATAGCTCACATGGAGAAGCTCATTTCGAGGATGCAGTACCTAACAGGAGGCATTGGGGAGATTGAGGAGGGTGTTAAGCACAGCGACATAGACCAAGTTGAGGAGCAGGTCAACAAATTTTTCTCCAGACTGATCCAACTGAAGTCGATAAAGAAGGAGACCAATACGAACCAGGCCAGGCTAAAGGAGGACCTGTACATGCAGGAGGAAACAGAGAACTTTCTTGGGACAATTACCGAGGAGGCACATCTTGTCCAGTTTGACTTTATGACCGGGATAGTTGAAAAGGGAAAGAAGTTTCTGATAAGAAAGGTGCTCCACCAAGCGTTGAGAAGAAACCTGGTGATCAGGACAAAGGACGTGGAGGACGGGATAAAGACCGTATTTATAGTGTTTGCACATGGAAACGAGGCTTTGGAGAAGGTTAAGGACATCTTTTCTTCTTTGGGAGGAAGAATAATGGACCATAAGAAGTTCAGGGAATGCAAGCGAGGGCTACTGGAGCTAAGTGCGGCAATAAGCCAGATCCAGCAGATTGAGGATCACAACGACGAGGCAATAAGAAAAGAGCAGGAAAAGATCCGGCACTTTGCAAATACCTGGAGATACTATCTAAACAAGGAGATGAAGATATACCAGGCTCTTAACAAGCTCAACTTCGACTTTGACCGGGACTGCCTTGTCGGAGAGGCTTGGATTCTTGGAGATGAGATAGGCAAGCTGAAGCGGATCAACGAGCTTAAAGGAGACGGCACAAGCCTGTTTGCATTTGAGATTATGGAAAGCGATGAGATGCCCCCTACATACTTCAGAACAAACGCATTTACAGAGCCCTTCCAGGTTCTTACAAACACATATGCAGTCCCGTCGTACGGAGAGATCAATCCTGCAATATTTACACTATTTACATTTCCGATGCTCTTTGGATGTATGTTTGGGGACGTGTTCCACGGGCTACTGCTGCTCTTCTTGTCGATGTACATGATAAGGAACTCAAAGAAGTTCAAAAACTGCTCTGAGACTCTACGGATGGTTATCAGCGGGAAGTACATAATATTTGCATTTTCGCTTGGAGCCATGTTTTTTGGGCTTTTGTACTCCGACTTCGGTTCCCTTACCATTCCTCTGTTTTCCTCGAGCAAAGATAGCGGCAGGACCTACCCGTTTGGGGTCGACTACATGTGGCACCATTCTAAGAATGAGATGGTCTTCCTCAACTCAATGAAGATGAAGATGTCGATCATAATAGGGTTTTTCCACATGAGCCTCGGAATAGCCATTTCCTTCTTGAATGCCATATACTTCAACGAACCTCTGGAGATATACGGAGTGCTTATTCCGCAGACGATCATCTTCTGCTCCTTTGTTGGGTATATGGTGTTTCTGATAGTATACAAATGGCTTGTTACGTCTAACTACCCCTCGATAATCGGAGTTCTGGTGAACATGTTTACCAATCCGTTTATTGTTGCCGAGGAAATGTATCCTTACCAGCTGCAGGTGCAACTTTTCCTCCTTTTCCTGATACTTCTGTGTATTCCCTGGATGTTGTTTGGGAAGCCTGTCTATATGATGGCCAAGAACATGGTGAAGAAGGAGGAGATTTCGAGTCTGTGGATCAACCAGTTCATCCATGTTGTCGAGTTTGGCCTTGGCCTTATTTCCAACACTTCCTCGTATCTTAGATTGTGGGCTGTTTCTCTTGCCCATGCCCAGCTTACCAGGGTTCTACATGAGTTCACAATAGGAAAGGAGGGTTTTATTGCGCCTGTTGCACTTTCTGGGGTCTATGTTCTTGGAACTGTTGTTCTTCTTATTGGAATGGAGGGCCTTGGCTCGTGCCTTCATGCAATGAGGCTTAACTGGGTTGAGTTTCACTCTAAGTTCTTTAGAGGAAGGGGATACCTGTTTGAGCCACTTGGATTCAACTTACCACTTGATGATGAGTAAGAGCATAATACCCTGACACTTCTTAATTACTCCTGCAGGTATGAGGAGAGCCTTCTGATGGAAATAAATTGGATTTATATATGCCTGGGCGCCATGGCCTGATTCCTCACTCTGAAATTTCTTTTTGAAGGTCAAAAGAAATTCCCTACGGGGGAATCGAACCCCCACCTCCTGCTTGAAAGGCAGACATCCTAACCGCTAGACCAGTAGGAATTCTATCTATATAGAGACGCCCATCGTAGCCAATGGTTATTAGCATTGGCAATACAGAGCCCCATCCGAGATGGTATACTTGGCTAGATCTCCTTTGAAAGTAATACTCTTCGGCGAACACGGGGTTCTGTCTGGAGGAAGATGCCTTGCAGTTGCAATAGACGTATATGGGTATCTAGCAATGAAGTCTTCCTCAATAAACAAGGCCATCATTATCGATACGAATGGAAACTGTGTAGACTTAATCGAGAAATATAAGTATGCCATTCCTGGATTCGATGCAATTCTTTTCCTGGAAACGCCGCTGGGATGTGGACTGGGAACAAGCGCAGCCATATCCCTCTTGATGTCGTATGGCAAAGCTCGAGGCCCAAATATGCTCCGGGAGGCCTATGCAATGGAGAATACATTCCATGGAAAGTCCTCTGGCGTCGATGTGTCAACCTGCTATAGCGGAGGCCTAATTTCTTTCAAGGAGGGTGTGGTAGAGAAGCTTTCTGTCGATCATCTTTCTCAGTTCAAGATACTTATCTTTAATAGCCAAATATCCAAGAATACGGAGGCTGCTGTGAGGCTAGGAGAGCTCAACAGGGAGCTATATGATGAGATAGGGAAGGTTTCTGAAGAAGCATATTGGCTACTACAAAGAGAATTCACTCTGCCGGAGCTATACAAGCTCATTAGAAAGAGCCAGGATCTGCTGGATAGGCTGGGGGTTTGCCCAGATGAGATGAGGAAGGTGGTGAGTAAGATGAGGAAGCTTGGAATTGAGGCGAAGATAACGGGAGCTGGGTGTGGAGGGCATCTTGTAACAGTGGTAAAGAAAGGTCAGCAGATTCCTGGCTGGAGATCGGTATCCATTGACCATCAAGGATTTCACGTTTTCGGTACCGAACTCTGATGAGTCTTGAGTCTTGGGATCCAGCACCCCATGTCCCCAACAATCAAAATACCTGATGCACATCTCGAGTCGATGAGCATTTGTAATGAATGTGGGATAGTGTCGTTAAGCGGCAAAAGGACTTCGGTGATTGTGAAATATAATGGCGACCTTAGGATTGTACAGCGAATCCTTGACGAACATCCCGAGGAGAGCTTCGAATGCAGCGAGATCCTCAAGATGGAAGATGACGTCTTTCTGGTACTTGGTGGCCGACTCGGAGTCATAAAAATACTGAATCTATCTAAAGGCATGTTTACTGGCTATATCAGGGCCCATGGGGGATCCATATCTGCGATCAAAGGGTACAAAGACAGATATGTGCTTAGCTGCAGTGAAGATACAACAGTAAAGATGTGGGATATCTCCGAGATGAAATGTGTCTGTGTGTTTGGTGGTTACATGGGACACAGAGACCATGTCTTGTCAATAGATATAAGTGGCGACCTGAGATACCTAGCATCCGGTGGAACAGACTGCTCAATAATGGTGTGGAGAATCCCTTCGTTCCCAAATAAGCTAGAATGCGTAACCCCTGTTTATTCGTCCACAAGGAACCATAGGTTTCCCGTTCAATGTGTTAGGTTTTATGGAGAGCTCCTTGTGTCCTACTCAGGAGAAGGTAGGATTTGCGCTATTCTCCCGAAGTACGGAGAAGCGAGGCCCTCATTGGAGGAAACGATAGCTGGAGAGATCAAGCTGCAGAACAAATTACTACGAAAGTTTGATGTGTGCGGTGATATGCTGGTGGCTCTACTAGAGTCCCAGGACATAGTCACATTCAACCTGAGTAATATTGAATCCCCCTCGCAGTCAACGATATTGAAATCCATTAGGGGAAAAAGAGTGCAGGACTTCTGTGTGGCTGAGGACAAGATACTTGTCTTGCTTGAGAATTCTTGTCTTATGGTGATGGCCATTTCCTGGTGACTGGAGTACTATAGTTGACTAAACTTATATTTTGAAGTTTAATATCTTCTTTCGAACCTCCTCTGCAACTCTATTCTTATTTCTTGTATGATCGTTCCTAATTCTCCTGATCTCAGACGCAGCCTCCATTCCTTTGCCTCCATTAAGGATTTGGTTGATTTCAAGATGTATACTGCTGATTGTTTCTATTAGCTCTTCATGGCCGGGAGGGAATGATAGCAGCTCAACAAATGTGGAAAACGAGAGATTAACAAGCTCCCTGAGCTTACTCTTGTCAAACTCTGTGGATGAAAATGATGTGTTTACAGGTGTACCGCTAACCACCTCATATCTTGTACCGAAAGATGTATACGAAGATGGTATTTTTGGTGGCGCCTTCTTCTTGAATTTTGGAGGATTTGGCCAGGAGAATACCTGCATTTGGGGGAAAAAAATCCTCGTTATATCTCACTCCTGGTCTAGCCGGGTCCTGAGTATGTCATCAAGAAGAATTGGATCGAATCTCCAGTTGATGACTTCGTCACTTACAAACGAGTCAATAAACTCCTGCTCAAAGCTCTGGCGCCTTTTGTTTCCCATGGGTGAGAATGATGGCAGAAACAAATTGGGCAAGACACTGCTGGACCCAGCGTCAGGGATGCACAAAAGCACATCGCTCGAATTCAGAAAGGAGGCCGGCCAAGTCCTGATGATAGACGACAAGCACGCCAGTCCATCGGAAGAAAGGCGTTCTAAGGTAGGTGGTTTCCAGACTTTTGTGGTAAAGATAGTAATCCCCAGGATAGATCCAGGGCCTAGGGGTGCCTTCTTTACTTTTACCAATACAAGCATAAGAACAGAAGATGATCCTGCCTTAAGATTCATTCCATACATGCCAGGCACATCCGGGTTTATCAGCCTTTCGGAATTTAAGGAGATGGAGTTAGTGAAAGGCTTCTGTGACCCTGGTGAAGGAGATATAGGGCAGGTACTCCGAAAGGAGCATGATCTTGGACATGGAAAGGACCATCGAATGCCTGAGAAGTGTGGGTGGGATGATGAGCTTTTAATGATGAGGAAGCTATTTTGTAGTGTGTGCTTTATTTTTGGATGCAAGTGGCACTCTAGAACAGAAGGCATCTGCATCAAACCTGTAGGATTTGAGAAGGATATGCTGAATGCACATATTGAACCCTGGGGCGTCTGCGGGGATGTATGTAAGAAAATGAAAGGTCTGTGCTCAGATACCGCAAGAAACGGTCTGGAGCGGGATGCCTACGATGCCCTTTGTAGAGCCTGCGAGGAATCTCAGGGATATGAATGCATAGCCTCGCTACTTTTCTATTTCAGATTCAGGAGATATGTGTCGTGTAAGAAAATAAGAGAGGCCTCCATGGTTCTAATGGGACGTCACAGGTATGTGGTAGGGAATAAGAATAGGTCAAATGTGGATGTAGCCGCGTTCTTCACTCCCTGCGACCATCCTGGGAGCTGCACCGAAGGAAATGGATGCACATGTATTTCTAACAGGACCAACTGTGAAATGTCATGCCTCTGTACAGAATGCAGAAACTTTTTTATGGGATGCAGGTGTCCGGCAAAATGCAACAGTAAGTGTGCATGTAGGCAGGCATCCAGAGAATGCACGCAGGTATGTTTATGCAAGCAGTGTGGAAATAAGGATCTACAGATGGGCAAGGCAGCACCAACATTTGTGGCGCCCAGTAGAGTGGAGGGATATGGCTTGTTTGCTAAGGAAAAGATGTCGAAGGGTAGGTTTGTCATCGAGTATGTGGGAGAAATAATAAGCAATGAGGAGGCGGAAAGGAGAGGGACATTCTATGATTTAAGAGGGTGCTCGTATCTGTTTGACTTATACAGCAGGGAGGGGAAGGCGCTGTATGTCATTGATTCTAGATTCATAGGAAACAGGTCTAGATTTATCAACCATTCCCAGAGGAACTCCAACTTATATGCATTTGTTCTAATTGTAAACGGGGTCCGGCGGATTGGGTTTTATGCAAGCAGAGACATATGTGAGGGCGAGGAGTTGCTTTTCGACTATAAGTACAGTGAAGAGCATAAGAGAAAGCACAATATAGCCGATTGAGCACAAATGTGCAACTCTGCTCCTGGGCAGAGCAGATCCGGGTTAAATATGTCTTTTTATACCCTGACCTGATGATAGGGATAGAGAGAATCGAAGAGGTTGGCAATTCTGATGTGAAAACACTCCTTGTAAATGATGAAGTGGTTGTGGCAGCGGGGAGAGAAGGGAAGATAAGGATATACGACCACAGGCTTGAAGGACATGTGGAGATTGAGCCTGGACAAGGATACATCAACTGCATTGCGATTAGAAATGGGCTTCTGTTTGCTGGGTGCCAGAATGGAAGTATAGTTGTGTATTTGATGGATGAATGCCGGATTTCAAGCGGGGACAGAGAGAAAAGATCCCAGATTAATCCCTTTGGATTCCTAAGGAGGCACTCTTCCAATGTATGCTGTCTGGATACAATGGAAGATCTTGCTGTCTCCAGCTCGTGGGACTGCACAGTAATCATTTGGAGGCCGGAGGACATGAGCAATGAAAGGAATGGCCTAGTGCAGACGATTCCGCATCCTGCAGTTGTGTGGAGTGCTAAGTTTATCAACAAAAACACTATTGTAACTGGGTGTGGCGATAAGCTGATTAGGATTTTTAAGGATGGAGCTCTGGCCAACACATTTAACTACCATCTTTCGTATGTCCGAGGTGTGACATTTCTGGACAAAAGCATTGTTTCTGTTGACAACGAAGGGATAGTTCTCAAGACGTCGCTGGATGGAAGGATTTTGAGGCACCATTCTACAAGAAACTTTATGTACAGCATATCCTCCAATTCGAGCGGTGATGGAGATATAGTGATATGCACTGGGGAGAATGGAAAAGTCGTGATATTTGACAAAGACCTCGAGGTGGTTCAGGAGATTTCGGTGCCTACAACATCATGCTGGGCAGCCACCAGATGGAATGATAGAGTGTATGTGGGGGGAAGTGATGGAAGACTGTATGTGTACTCCTCAAGTGTCTCGGACGAAGTTAGCGAAGCTCTGGAAAGGATAAGAAGCGATCGAGCAGGGCTGCCGAAGGATGGAGAGTTTGTCTCTGACGGGGAGAAGTTTAAGGTCGCCGATGGGTCTGTATATCAGGAGGTCAATGGAGAGTGGGTTCTTCTTGGAAAAGGGGAAGAGGCCAAGCCCTATGACAATACATTCCAGGTTGAGCTTGAGAATAAGTACTATACCCTTTCATTCAACAACGATGAAAATGTCTATGAGGTCGCTGAGAAGTTTCTGAGAAAGAACAAGCTTCGGGATGAATTCCGAGACGACATTGTTGACTTTATCAAGAGGAACTTTGTCTCTCTTCGAGAGTTCCGGATGTATTCCAAAATCAATGTAAATGGCGTTAAGACCATGCTGAACAAGGTCAAGGAAGAGCATCAATGTGTATATCCATATATTTTCAGAAATCTTGAGAGCCCAAAGGTGGCAGACAATGCCGAAGTCGAGAAAGAGATAAAGAGACTGATTGAGAACGGGCCTATGTTCATGGCGCTGGATCTGATAAGATACTTTACAGCCCATAAGTATAGTTTTGACCTTTCTTTTCTGTCGACATTTGTTCCTCGGGATAAAAAAGAAGCGATTACGTTTGTAAGACTTCTCAACAACCTGTTTGCCGACCCTCCCTTTAATCTGGAGATATTCTACCACCGTGTTCTGGAACTGAAGGACCGTGGTGTTATTGAGGGTGAGGTTCTCGATGATTACTTTGTAAACAGGAGCCTGAGAAATGGAGCATAATACTTTCTGGAGACTGTATCCATTATCTGCTAATAAAAAGCCTTATCTTGATGATGAATTGGTTAGAGTGTTTGCACGGGTCTTGAATAAAAAGCTCGCCAAAAGTGCCCTTTTGAATGGACTTACTGAAGAAAGCGCTTAGGGATCCTGAGGCATGCCAAATGAGCCCAGAGGAGATAGTGGTTGGCGGGAAGAAGGTTCCTCCCAAGCAGATGGTCAAGTTTAAGGGAACCGAGACGAAGGAGTACACCTTTGAGCAAGTTCTATTCTACCTACTGAACAGGGACAAGAAGTATACGGTGTATATGACCTTGTGCAGAGAGAGCGGAATAGGAAAGATATACTACACGGACCAGAAGATTATTGTCGAGGAGATTGAAAACTTCAAGGAGACGTCTATTGCAGCCAGGATTGATGGGCCTGACTTCCGATACATTGGGCTCCGGGACTACAGCTACTTAGGCTACCTTTGTAGAAAGGAGGACGAAGGCAGGCCTACTATCTACTATGCTATAGTTCCCCAGTCTGTTTCTTCGCCCGTGAACCTGAGTAACATCAAGGAGTTCTTTGAGGAAGGGAAGTGCTCTGATGGAATCCGCATTAGCGAGGTCGAGAAGGTAGAGTTGGATCTTGATGGTTTCAAGCTTGTTGCAGTGGACGATGTAGGAGGATTTACATCGGAGGACTGGAAAAGAGTTGTATGCATATTCCTCGATGGGTCCAAGTGGCAGACGGGGAGGTGGAACATAAGGGATGTGGGGGAGATATTCAACACGATACCAACTTTCTATTTTGCCAGGAGAGGGACACAGAGCAACCTCTACATGAGGAATTACAATGCCACCGAGATTGGCGTCCATGACGGAAAGGTGGGCAGATCCAGCCTTAGTTCAATAAAAGAAAGAATTAAAGGTTGTATTTTAGGGATCTGATAGAGTTGGATTAAAGATGCTTTGTGGGTTTTTATTTGTCTTTTCCGAACCCATTGAAATGAGGGTTTCTTTTCCTGTCTTTACGCTGCAGGCGAAGGCTGGATTTGTCATAGTCGGAGGCGGAGGAGGAGAAAAGGAGTTTGGGAAGACAAACGGAATCAAGGTCCTGGATGCTCTGTGCAGCAAAGAACTGGCACACTACTCGACGGACGACATCATTGTAGATATAGGCGTCTTCAGCTCTGAGGACGAATTTCCTCAGGTGGGCGAGGATGACATGTCATGGGACGAATACGACGAGGAGAACCCAGATAGTCTACATGGTGGAAGTACCAGTGCAGACGGCCCACACCATAAGGACTCGTCTTCCAATGATAAGAATGCAAAAGATGTGGCGGAGACTAAGGACAGGCATCCAACATTGTATCTTGCTGCTTCGGGAGAGAGGTCTTTCTACCTGCTAAGGCTTTGTGACAATGATCTTGCCTTGATCAAGAAGGTGGACAAAAAGGTGTCTTCACAGTTATTTGTCAAGGATCTATATGCCGTCAGTGACAAAAAGCTGTATGGATTTCATGATGTTGTCAGCTCGCCTAACTCGCTAGACGATCTTCTGAAGCCCGAAAGAAGAAGGAAGAAAGCAAATGGTTCTCTACTCAGTGACGAGTCTTACGAGGAGTATACATACAGGCCCTTCAGAAAGGACAGGAGGATTGTATTCAAAAGGGAGGAGGGAAGATCCGATATAGTTGGAAACTGGGAGAGGTTCTTCGTAACCACAGGGCTGGTTCACAAAGTTGTTCATGAGGGTGAAAGATATAATTTTGTATATAATTCCAAGAAGTACTCCTACGAGAAGGAGATCGGGGGGATAGTCTACACCAATGGAATGCTAGTCTATTACCTCAAAGGAAAGGATTCCGTCTTGTATTTCCAAGGAGAGCACGAGAGGGTCTACAACATTCCAAAAATCACTGCAATGTCGTGCGAGGGCCGATACACAGTTGTTGGGACGGCAAGTGGCCATGCTTATCTCTTCGACAAATGTGCTCTGAGTGGAAAAAGAAAGGTTTACGATGTTCCGATAACAGCAGTAGGGTTTATGAATGGGCAGGTTTATTTTTCTTCTTTAGATGGCTTCGTTGGGATGCAAAGAGTATCCAGAGGGTACATCGCGCCCTGCCTGGTGCTATCCATCATCATCTTCATTCTCGCAGTGCTAATATCTGCGATTTCAAGGTCAACCGGACTCTCCTTTCTGGGCAAATAAACTCGATGCTTGAATCTCGGTTATGAGCAGTAGGGCGAGCATCAGCCCCACTGATCGAATACTAGCCGCTTGGTCTCCACGACATCTGGAAACTTTCTCTTGAATATTTCGAAGATCTGTCTCTGCATGCCCATCTTCCCACACACATAAGCAATGCATTCTCCATCAATGTATTCCCTGATTTCATCAGCCTTCATCATCAAGTAATCACCGACGTAAAGTCCACTGCTAGACTTAACCCTAGAGATCTTTACCTTTCTGCTAGAATCTATCAACCTAGAAATGTCATCTTCGTCGTTTCTGAATCCATATATAATCCAGATCGTCTGGTGTGTCTGGAGGTTGGACACAAACGACAGAAAGGGTGCTATTCCCGTTCCTGTGCATATGGCCAGTATTTTTCTGCTGCTGTAGTCCATTCGGAAAAGAAAGTTTGTCCTTAGACACACCCCAATCTCTTCAGTCTTAGACTTAATTACAAGGTCGGAAACATGCCCATACCTTACGAATCTATCAAAGATCTTACTTGTTATTCCAACAAGAATTTCGGATTCCCTCCCAACTTCATTTATCAGGGAAAAGTATCTGGGCTTTACTATCTCGCACTCTCCTATAACCTCTTCCAGCGCAGGCTTGCATTCAAAGGTTCTTATGATATCAATGGTGTTGTTCCATCCCCTTCCTATCCCAAGATAGTCCGCCGTTCCTTCTTTGGAGCATAGATATTCAATATACCTTCGATTTGTTTCAGTGCAGCTCCTGGCTAGATTGAACAGCAGCGACTTCTTCGGAAGGCTTGTGAAGTCGAAGTGATGCTTGAAAAAGTCTCTGATCATTCCTGTGTAGTTAAATGGGCTCCTGCCTGTTCTGTTAATCTGGCATCCAAAATCCTTCAACCCAAGTATTTCCATGATCTCGTCCACCAAAGCATCATTATTTGGGCATAGTATCCCAATGGAGTCTCCTGGTTTGAAGTCAAACTTCTTATCAAGCTTCATGCGGTAAACCTCCCTCCAGTCAGTTTTGAGCTTCTCAACCTCCACTATCCTAGCAGTATGGCACTCGACATTCTCAATGGATGGAAAGACAAACTTCCGAGGTAAACTGCCAGCATCAATAGGCGTTATTTCCACCTTATTGAAGGTGTTTGGCATGCTCTTTGTGTAGTTTTCGTTATACTCAAATCTGACAGGATTGAACTCCATGGCCCGGGGCTGTATAATGTCCTTTGAAATAGAAGCAATCAAAAACTCATTTATTCATCAGATAAATACACATCAACCCCACATCTTCCTGCCTGGCCTCTTGAGGTTCCGGACATTGACTTTTCTTATGTCATCGGGCATGGTCACAATAACATTGCTATCTTCTCCAAACTCAAAGTTATCTGCAACAACCAGATCACTGCACTTGGCAAGCTGGTACGAATACAGCTTGCCATTGAGCACGTCATCTAAGTTCCACTTGACCACATAGCTCCCGGTGCTTGTTATTATGCTGTTCTCAGAGGCATCGGTGCTGAACTTTGCAGGTGTGAAGTCTATCTCTTCGTTGATGTGCGCCAGATGCTCAGGCTTTAGCTGGAGTCTCTTTGGAACGGGTTTGTCCCTTCCAACAGGCTGCCTGTAGTCTCCTGGAACCGTCGTTAGCATCAGGTAGTTCTTGCATGTGCAAATAATGTGCTTTCCATTGCTTGTGACATCTATGTGCTTGATCTCGTCTCCAAATCCCGGAAGAAGGGATTTTGCTCTTTTATCAATTCTGTCGTAGAGCCTCAAGTCCCCTCCTCTACCTGCTGCAACAACATGCCCAGAGCTTGTGGCCATTCCACAGTTGAATTTGTTCTTCGTCTTGTAGTCCTTGGACTCGACAACTTTGCTTCTTGCCCGGGGATCAATCCTGAACACAGAGTAATCGGAAAGTCCAACAAGAGAGCCAGTATCAACCAGTTTCTGCGAGTCGAAATAGTCGTTCACGTCCCTCTTCAGATCCCACGTCTCAACAACCTCTCCTCTTTCTACATCTAGCTTATGCAGCTTGTCTCTTTCACCCCCGTCCAGATAAATCAGCGAGGAGGAATTGTCATGCGTGATTATCTTCTCGATATCGTCATCCAGCACATCCTTAATGTTTGCCTTGAATTCCAGCCCATCCTCTGTGTTCCTGAACACACCCACAGACTTCCCTCTTGTAATAAAGGCCATCTCATCCCCCACAACAAGATGCTTGTTCTTCTCGTCAGCTTCCCCAAAATGGTTCTCGAGCTCGTCATCATCGCAGCTCTCATACTCCTCAACCTCCTCTTCGTGCTCAGACTCATCGGGATTGTAGTTCTCTATCTCCATCTTTTCAAAGTACCGCTCAGCCTCTTCGTTTCCTTTTTTTTCGTTGTTGACATTTCTGTAAAGACACCCAATGTACTTGCTGAGAAACTCAAGAAAGTCGAGGTTGTCCAAAAACCTCAATGAAAACGTATGGAAAACCCCGTCCTCCATCACAGACCACACAAACGTTGTGTTTTTCTGGTCCATGTAGTACTGGGTCTCCGTCCTTATCTCCTCGAAATGAATGACATCGTCTCTTGTCTCTATTCTGATTAGAAACACTTCATCCTCAACAATAACCACTTTCACGTGCTCCTTAGCCTCTTCAAATCTCCCCGTCGCCGTGTTATACCTCGAGTACACGCCATTTTTGCTGTAAAGAGTTCTAGTCTTCCTTATAAAGGGAATCATGCTCTTGCAAAGAAGATCCAGAGGCTTGTTGCTTGTAAAGAGATATTTCTTCTGCTTGTGAACAAACCACAGGGCTTTGTTGTCGTGCTCGGCTGACACAATCTCGTGGAGCTTGAACGCCATCTTGCCCTTCTTCGACACAAACGAAAGCTCATCTTCAGATGCTGATGCCGAGCATCCGTCCATCAGAACCTCCCCTCCGCTCCAGAGATCTCCAACCAGGCTTTTCATTTTCACGCCGGAAAGCATCTTCTTTATTCTACCAAGAACCATGGGCTATAGGAATGTCTTTGATAAATATCCCGAACGGGAGAGGCATGAGAAAAGGATAGACTTTATTATCCAGGAAAACATGCCACAGTAATCGACTACAGCTATCTGATATGCAGTACTTTCTTTCTCCCGCCTGTAGCATATTCCACAGACCCCTGTTCTAAGGCATCGTCGTGTTTCAGCATCAGCATGTACGGGTTTTTAGCTGCACTCGCGCCAGCAGGAGTCATATCCAACTTGAGTCGTCATAAAACATATTGTAGATATCTGTTTGCCTTTTAAGCACATCCAGTAGCTTGCCCTGCTCCTCCAGATACCTCTCAATCGCCCTTTCGTCTTTCCCGTCGCAGGACTTGAGCTTGATATCCTTGAAATCGTCTTCAACCTTCCCGAGGAAATAACTCCCAAATGCTGGAGACTTAAACCGGCAGGCGACGGACCTGAGATCCTTGTAAAGGTTGCTGACAGATTCCGGAAGCATCCCGAGGGATCAAAATTCTCTTCAAATAAAACACTCCTCACTTCAATCAGACATGGTCTTGTCGATTATTCCCTTAGCTTCTGCGAAGTAGTTGAAGACGTCGTCCTTAAGCCTGCACAAGGCCGACTGAATCGCCGTTATATCGTTAGCATGCTCATTTCTTCTCTTCACAAGCTCGTATTCAATGCTTTTGGTCAGCCTTACGTTCTCTTCTATTTTCCCTCGAATGGAGTTTCTTTCGTCAGAAACAACTCCGTAGTTGCTCTTGAGCTTCTCGAGTTTCGCCGATATCTCCTCCGAGCATCTCTTGTCGTTGTCCTGGAGATTAAATATCTTGGACTCAATATGAGAAATCTGTCTGCTCACATGGTTCAGCCGGATCTTCAAGGCATTGATTCCAGAGTCAAGATTTTTCATCTGGACCTCTAGCTCAGATATCTCTCTGTTCGTTTTGTCAATCGTCTTGTCGGCCTCTCTGTTCGAAATGGCTAGCGTAATCGCCTTCATCGTGTCTTCCTTGAGCACCTGCATAAACTCAATCTTCTCTTTAAGCCCTACTCTCTTTACCTCCAGCCCCTTCATTATCTCACTTTCCTTGGCAATCAGGCATCTCATCTCGTCAAGTAGCTCCATAAGCTTCGTTGGATCACTCACAATCTGCGTCTTCAGACACGTTATCTCTTGGTTGAGATTGAGCACCATTAGCTTCAAAGAGCTTAATTTGTCACTGTACTCGTTCCTTTCAGTCTTGCTTCTTTCTGTCTCCTGCACCAGGGCCCTCTGATGCCTGTAGAAGTCCTTCAGCTCAGACTCGAGCAAGGAAATCTCTTCTTCAACCCCCTTTGCCTCTTCAATGCTCTTCCTTGCATCTCTTTCGCATCTCTCCAGCTCCTTCTTGGCATTGTGGACCTTTTCGTCAATCTCGTTCTTCAATAGCAGCTTTTCGTCGTTCATCTGACACACTCTCTCATATACATGCCTTTTGTTGTCCCTGAACATCGAAAAATTCACTACAACACTCAGGATCCCAATAAGCCTTCTCGAGTCGGGCACAAGGTCTCTAAGCCCAAAATTATCGATCCCTATCCTCTTAAGGAAGCCAGACATTCGTTTCTGGAGAAGAATGCACGACAGGGACTCCTCAAACGCCTCAATGCTCTCCCCGGAGTTTATTCTAGGCAACAGATCAGATGTTTTAACTCCGCAATACACCTCTAGCAATACCTCGTAGATTCTTTGGGTTGATTGGGGCGTTGGCTTAAGGATGTCACTTGCCTTGATGTTTATCTCCATCTCGCTGAAGTACTGCATTATTTCCTTAACCGGAAGATCCGGAACTGCATAAACATTCCTTTTCTGCATCTGATGGGGAAGGTTTCCAGGACTTTAGACCTTAAATTTTTTATCGTGTGTGCATGCTCCCAATATTGGAGTAAACGATACCTCCCTGGGATTGCAGATGGGTGGGTAGTGCCCACATGCATAGACTCGTTTAAAAGTTCTCAAAAGCAAGCCCCTATGTCTGAGAAGGTTGAAAAGGAGATTGGAGAGCAGATCACGAAGCTGGATCTTTCGGAATACAGGAGCATCGAGCTATCAAAGCTCAGCAAGGAAAACATTGGCCAAAAGATCCGGACATTTGGATGGGTTGCGAATGTAAGGTCCCAATCTACCATAACATTCATTGAGCTATATGCACATTACAGGACTGTGAAGTGTGTATATCAGAAGAAGATGCACCTGACGATGTGCACGTCCATGACTGTCTATGGGACTGTGTCGAAGAACTTCGGGAAGAAGGATGCCCATGAGTTTGAGATACAGGTCGAAGGAGTCGAAATATACAACGGGGCTATAGCCCCGTCCTTCCCACTGAACGAAGACTCATCTGTAAACGCCATACTTACCAATGGACATCTGGGGCTCCGAACAAAGAAGCGCCAGCTGTTCCTTAAGGCCAGAGGACACCTTCTGAAAATTATCCGAGACTTTTACTTTGAAGGGGAGTACACCGAGGTCACACCACCCACGATGGTCCAGACTCAGGTAGAGGGAGGAAGTACGCTTTTCAAGCTGGATTACTATGGCGAAGATGCCTACTTGACGCAGTCGTCTCAGCTTTACTTGGAAACGGTGGTGCCTGCTTCCCACCGCGCATACTGCATCATGCCGTCGTACCGAGCTGAGAAGAGCAGGACAAGAAGGCACTTGAGCGAGTACACTCATGTTGAGGCGGAAATGGCAGACATTGATCTAGACGGACTTATATCATCCATCGAGGCCTTAGTGTCGTACTCGATGAGGAGATTTTATGAGGAGATGAAAAGCGATATTTTGAGTGTGTTTCCTGAGTTTGAGTTTCACAAAGTTCCAAGGACCCCCTTCAAGAGAATCAAGTACTCAGAGGCAATTGAGCTCCTGAAAAGCAAGGGATACAAGAAGGAAGACAACACTGACTTCGAACTCGGAGACGATATCCCTGATGCTGCAGAGAGGTACCTTGTTGAGGTTGTGGGGGACGGATGTCCTGTATTCCTGACCCATTTCCTCGTAGGGCACAAGCCTTTCTACATGAGGAAGGACGAGAATGATAAGGGTTTGACAGAAAGCACTGATCTTCTGTTTCCAGGAATTGGAGAGATTCTTGGGGGCTCGATGAGGCAGGACACCTATGAAGATCTTATTGAAGGATTTAGGAGAGAAAACATAAATATCGATCCGTACTACTGGTATCTCGATATGGCGAGGTTTGGCCCGTGCAAGCATGGAGGATATGGCCTTGGGTTTGAGAGGTTCCTGATGGGCCTCATGAGGTACGAAAGCGTTGATGAGGCAACGCTCTATCCAAGAAAGGTTTCGAGATGCCAGCCCTAGATTGAGGCGGGCCTTTCCTGTGGCCACTACTCCACTAAATGGTATGTGGAAAAACGGTTTATATCAAATTCTCCTGGCCCCTATACATCTCCATGAGGGATATAGCGTGCTCCAAGTCAAAACGCTCGTTTGATGGCGAGTCCTTGAAAAAGCAGCTTAGGGACCTCTCGATATTTAGGCTGTACTCTCTGAGTCGCTGGGCCGCAGCTTCCTGGTATCCAATTCTACAAATTCTCCAGACGGTGTAATGCTTAAGATACTCTTCCGAGTACGATGACAGCCCATAAACATTTTCCATGTAAGATTCAGCCATCCCCCTTTCTTCTACATGCTCAGAGTCTAGGAGGATTAGTACCCTTAGAAGTACCTCCCCTTCACTCAATTTGGGATTAAACACCATCTTTACTCTTGGCTGGGCAGGCATTTTCCACTCTTTTTTGGTACAGATGTTTCTGGACTTAAGCCCCACTACCCCTCCTCTTTCCGAAAGCCTCCAAACTGCCTCTGTTTCCTCCCCGTTCAACTCCCTCATTCTTCCGTACAAATGAAGAATAAGAAGTGCCAGGACATCATCTCGCTTGTCTCTGCACAAGCTAAGCTCCTTACGTAGCAGGCTCCTAAGTCCTGCATGGGCCATCGATACAATGCCTTCTGGCCCCCTATCAAATGCCTTCTGGACCAGGTTGGAGAATATCTCTATCCCTATGTTCCTTATTGCCCAGAGGTTCGAACGACTGCATTTGAAGGCAATCCCAAACAACTCTTCTATCTGAAGAGGTAACTTTGAGTTCAGGCATCCATCCTCGATGATCCTACTGAGAATGTTCAGGCAATGGATTTTAGCACTACTCTCACCTGTTTCAACCAATTCAAGCAACCTTTTCAGGATACGCTCAAGAATAGATGGATAGCTCCTAAGGATCGATGCGAACAGAAGAGGAATTCCTCCGCTCCTCCTAACGATAGCTTTGCAGCTCTCGATTCTATTAAATGACACTTCAACTATCTCTAGTAGCTCGTCTTCTTCAAAAGCCATGTTCTTGAACACCATGTTTAAATACTGAGACACCTGTAGCACAACACCCAGATGGTTTATGTGCAGAAGTACCTGCACTAATCTAGCCGAGAGGGCTTTGTTTCCGCTCAGCACCATTCCACAGTAGTAGCTACAGCACTCTCGCATGTTCTTCCAGTAGACTATCAGGCTGTCGTCTTCCTGCCCATGAATAACATCAGAAAGTCTTTTGAAGCAACAATCATAAACTATGTCCACCCAGGTAATAATATCATGTTCCTTTGTTTCCGAAAGCATGTTTAGGAGCCCGTAAATAGAAATTTCCTCCATGCTTTTTTTTCCACTTACAAAATCCTTCATGTGACTATCAAAGACACTCTTCAGATGGCCGACAAACCATCTTGATTGGCAGCTCTTGATATACTCTACACATCCGTGCACATCATGGGACTGGTGGCTTTCTATTTTTACACTCATCTCCTCAAGGCCGAGGAGTATCTTGGTACTATGCTTACAGATGATCATCCGGACCTCGTGGTCAGAATCAAATAGCAGCTGGGCGCATCCCGGGAACTCTATGATGCCCTCGGCCACTAGAGAATCCATCAGATACACCCCAAGTACTCTTCTGGATGCATTGGTACTCCGGAGCATCGGCGATATAACCTCGAGGTACATAGTCCTAAGCTTATGCTTTTCTTCAACTTTCTCTTTAAGCCACAGGCGGAAATACTTGATAAGCAGCTTCAGCATACTTCTGCTGTAGATAAATTGATTGACTTCCAGAAATCTTCTCATCAACCCGACACCATCGATATGTCTAAGAGACTCAATCCTGACTTCCACGCTCCTATAAGTAAAGAATCTTTGTGGATCGTGCATCTTTAGAGGCAGAAACAACCTTGCCACAGACTCGTCGCCGACAATCTTGATAATGGAGCGTGCCCTGTCTGGAGAGAGCTTTCCAAGCAGCTCTCGAAGATGCGAATACCCTGTGCTGTTGAGTTTATCTGGGAGATACACAAAGAACCTCTCATCCATGCTCTTGAGTATTCTCTTGGAGTACCTGAACGAGGCCTTGTTCATGCTGGAAAATAGTCTTTTCACGGCTCTTATGGAGTCAGGATCTGCTGGGTTCAGGTCCTTAGGACAAAGCAAATTCATCTCCATAACTTCTTCACCCGTGAACTCATTAAAAACAAGATCCACCCTGTTCAGGGAGTATGCTATCAACGTCTTCAAGACGGCTCGCCTCAGATGGATTAGATGCAGGTGTGTCTTACATTTGTGGAGTACTCTTCCGTCATAAACCTTGTACTTTACGGCAAGCTTGTAAAACATTAGGAATATAGCGAGCTGACTTGCTTTATCCGCACCGCTCAGGAGCAGCAGCAGGTGGTCTACAGCCTCCTTAGGGCAACGCCCCAACTGCACTTCCACCAGACATAGTCTAAACCGCGTTTTTGCCTCTTCTTCCTTGTATCTCCATAGGTGTCCAAATCTGACTTCCTCTCCGCTCTCTCTGGTGCAGGATATCTCCATTCCACTTTCGAGGTCCATCGACATTATCTCTTTATAGCCGATGGTATGAAGATTGCCGACTTCTAATGCTAGCAAGAAAAGATCCTTGGCATTCCAGCAGGAATCCATTGGGGATCGGAGCATTGAATACTTCAATTCATAAGAAACGGACCAGACACCCTTGATGGACTACAGCAGTAAGCTAAAGGTTATTAGGGAAACTTCTGTCAGCCCGGAGGAGGCAAAGAGAATGATAGAAGAATTTGTGCTGAGCAGTGATGTCCTGGAAGGAATACAGGTCCTTCAGCTTGAGGAGTTCTTGAACAACGTGTGAGGTGCCAGCTGAAGAATTTGGCGCACAAAGATGAAATTTCTTGTTCTGCCTAAGAGCACGGAAGCAATGAAGTTCTTAACAAGCCATCTTCGCTAAAACTGAATGTCATTGAAAGTCTTACATTCATCAGGCTGAGTAAACAAATGTCACAGGAAGCTCGGGAGGTTTTCAATCTAGTTAGAAGCACACAGAAGGTATGTGACTTCGGGGTGACTTCGCAGCACTGGCAACTCAAGGACATGCTCAAAATCAAGGGCGAATCCCTGATTTTTCCGAGAACATGCAATGTGATGTCCCATGATCTCCACACAAATGCAACCAAGGCGATATACGAAGGAGTGGACTTTTTCCCTACATCCATATGCTTGAAAGATGACATTCTGGCGGTGGGCGGGTCCAGAGGACATCTCAAGATCAAAAACCTTGCCACCAACGAGGTTCTCTCTCAGATTGTGAGCTCATCCATCAATAACAACATATGCATAAACAGCAGCAGGATCTTCATATGCAACAACGACAGGACTCTGAAGATATTTACAATGGACCTTAGAAGCAGCGGCAGCATAAGCCATGTTGCGCAGGTCAACAGCTGTGCAATTAGTCCAGATAACAAACTTCTAGCCGTGGTGGGAGACTCGAACGATGTATTTCTGTATTCCATAGACAACGACAGCTACAAGTTGGTTAAAAGGTTGAAGAGCACGGAGGATGGAGGGTTCAGCGTATCATGGAATAGCACGTCCTCTTCATTTGCAGTTGGGACCCAGGATGGATACGTGTGCATATGGGATGTAAGAAGTGACGGCATCCTCCATAGGTTTGAGAGCAAGCAGAAAGATAGTCACAAAGGAGCAGTCCGGAATGTGAAATTTTCCCTAAAGAATTCGCTTGACCTGTTATTTTTTACGGAGCACTTTTCATTCCTGACTGTCTGCGATATGAGGGACCTTAGGAGATGCCAAAGGATCAGGATATTTCCCGACAAACAGATAACAGGGGCAGTCTTTTCTGAGGCGAACGACAAGATATTTGTCAGCACGGAAGACGAGGTGGCCGAGATAAATATAAACTCCAAGTCAAGACGCATGTTTGCAGGGATATGAGGGCTGCTAGTTCTTCTGATGCCCTGTCTTGGAATGTTAAGCTATGAAAAAATTATCCCAGGGAATGAGAGAGAACTACTACAACAAGAAGAAGCTGAAGTATCTTGAGATGCTGAGGTCTGGAAGGCCAAAGAAAAACTCCCGGGGAGAGATAGTCAAGGATGCACCCTTCCAAAGCTCCAAGGCAGAGGTTGGAAGGATCGAGCCAAGCAGGAAGTGGTTTACTGGGTCGAAGACTATATCTCCTACGGAGCTGGATGCATTCAGGTCGGAGATGAAGATAGAGACCCCATATAACGTGCTTCTGAGCACGGGAAAGGTTCCGTATTCTCTGCTGGATGATAGCACAAAGAGGAAACGGCTTAAGGATTTTGGAGAGGTCTTTGGAAAGAAATCTGTTCGGAAGAGGCCGAACCTTCGGTACAGCAGTCTGGAAGAGCTATCTCGGCAAGCCAGGGATGTAAAGGAGGAGAAGGTGGAAGCGAAGAAGGATCATGTCAAGGGACAGAGCCACAGAATATGGCTTGAGCTATACAAGGTCTTAGACAGCAGTGACGTGATTATCCATGTTCTCGATGCAAGGGATCCCATGGGAACCATGTGCGAGAAGATAGCCTCCTACATCAAGGAAGAGGCACCCCACAAGCATCTTATGTATGTGCTAAACAAAGTAGATCTCATTCCTACGGGGGTGACTGCGAAGTGGCTGAGACACTTCTCGAGGTTGCATCCCACGATAGCATACCATTCGAACTCGATAACGAACAACTACGGAAAGGCCAACCTGATAAGCCTGCTAAAGCAGCTTAGCAAGCTGTACAAAAAGAGTCATCTGAGCGTTGGGTTTGTAGGATATCCAAACACAGGCAAGAGCAGCATAATAAACACCTTGAGAAACAAGGAAGTATGCAAGGTTGCACCGATCCCGGGAGAAACAAAGGTTTGGCAGTACATAACACTTACAAGGGGGATCTACCTCATAGACTGCCCAGGAATCGTCCCCATCTCAAACTATGATCAGGCTGTCCTCAGAGGAGCAGTCAGGATCGAGAACATCGAGAATCCCGAGGACTATGTCGACATGATAGTTGAGAAGGCTAGAGACTCGATAGTAAAGACCTATAAGATCCGCTTTCTCGACTCTGCAGACCTGGTTGAGAGACTTGCAATCAAGTTTGGCAAACTGCAGAAGGGCGGAGAACCCAACACCAATGTGGTTTCGAAAATGATTCTCCATGACTGGGTCCGAGGGAAGATCCCTTACTTCGTTCCCCCGAAGGAAGAGGCAGGGGAAGTGTGATAGAAGAAGGCTTATTAGCAACGTAGTGCCTAGCAACATTAAACCTTATGGGATTTCCACAATACTCAACTCAAAAATGTTTATTTTATCCTTGATTCCTGTCTATGTTACTTTCATGTAAGCGGCTCAGACCCTTATCCGAAAGAGGAGATATTTCTTTCCCAAGCTTTGCCTCTATGTCCATCAGCATTTCCTTTTCTTCCGTGGTAACCAAACTTATTGCAACTCCAGGGGCTCCAAACCTTCCAGCCCGTCCAATCCTGTGAAGATAGGACTCGGGAGACTTAGAAATGTCGAAGTTGATTACGTAGTTTGTGTTTGGAGCATCCACTCCACGTGTGATGAGGTCAGTTGCAACCAGAATCTTACACTTCCCTTTCAGGAAGTTGTGAAACACTATATTCCTGTCTTCCTGAGCCATCTTCGAGTGGATGAAGTACGAAGGAAGCCCCATCTCGGTAATTTTCATGGCAAGAAGCTCCACAGTCTTGATGCTATTGCAGAAGATCACACACTGGTTGATGCTTAGTCTCAAGAGAAGGGACTTCAAGCATAGAAGCTTTTCAGAGGGCTTCACATATGTATAGAACTGCTTAACTCCTACGGGAGCGAGCTCCTTCATCAGATTAATGCATAGCGGGTTCTTCATGTATCTTCTGATAAACCCGGTAACAAAATAAGGAAAGGTTGCAGAGTACAGTAGCATCTGCTTTTCCCTTGGAAGCAGATCTAGAAGCTTTGTGACAGTCTCTCCAAATGTCACATCAAGCAGCTTGTCGGCCTCATCAAACACCAAGATCACTCTTTTCGAAAGCGTCCCAACCCTCTTCTCAACCAGGTCCACAATTCTTCCTGGCGTTCCCACCATCACGTGAACACCATTGGACACCCTTATGATGTCGTCCTGCATGCTAGTCCCTCCAACCACAGGCGCAGATATCACCCCAGTGCCCTCAGACATTCTTTTGACATTTCTTGATATCTGTAGAGCAAGCTCTCTGATGGGTACCAATATGATTCCCTGGATGCTCAGCTCTGAGGAATTTATCATGTTGAGCATGGGAACTATGTAAGATGCTGTCTTTCCGGTTCCATTCTTCGATCTGACCAACAGGTTCTTTCCTCCTAGGACATGTGGAATCGATGCCACCTGGACAGGCGATGGAAAGTCATAGCCAATATCGCGTATTCTTTTCAGCAGCACCGGCCCGAGTCCAAGTGACTCCCATCCTATGCCCTCTGTTTCTCTTACATCCTCCGACAGCAACCTCTTCATGCCACCTCCTCCCGGAGAAAGGTGCCTGCAGCGCATGATGTCCTTGCCATCTTCTGCCTCCTCCTTGTCCATCCCACAATCGAGACGATTGCCATCTCCCTTGTTTTTTCCTATTCCTATCTGACCCTGAATTCCTTGTATCTTAGCTAGATCAACAGGCTTCTTTTCTGCACGCCCTCTCTGTGTGAAGCCATCCTTGTCCCAAGAGTCTTTCCGATCATTCCTTCTCCCTTTTTTCCCATCCTTCTTCACGCCTTCGATCATGCTTTTCATGGGCATTTACAGCACGTATTTGTTTGAGCCTCAATTAAATTTGTGATTTCAAGTAGGTTCTGCGGCTCTTGCTTGCATATGCGATGTTCGATCTAGTCAAAAGAACTCCTAAAACGGGTGATGTCTAGGATGTCATACTTCCCTCTGCATTTCATACAGAACTCGTCGTTCGAGTATAGGAATGACTGCTTTAAGCATCTTCTGCATATAACATCGTTGCATATAAGCTTCTGCAGGCTGGCGCGGTCTTCTCCAGTGAACTCCCGATGACACACACTGCATGCATCCCACTCGGGTATCCCATCACTAAAGGCCCGGGTCCTCATGATCATCCCGCCAAGCTGGTTTATTTTATCGTTGGAAATGTTGTAGATCTTGTCGCATTTAAAGGCCTCTTCAATAGCGTCAAAGTCATCTACAATGATCTCCCGAATATTGAGGAGAACCAGCACCATGTATGTGTAGAAGGACACCTCAATCGTCGGGAACATCCTGTTTACCAGCCTGACCACCTCACTGCCATCTTCTCCCTTTGTCTGCTTTTTTACAAACGACTTGGCTCTCATGACATATTCCTTTGCTGTGCTGTTCTTCGCTGGATACCTGATCCTTCCATTATCTACTCTCCTGACAAAATCCTTGGCTAGCTCCTCAATGTAGTCTGCTCCAAGGCTGTGTCTCGCCCTCTCCCTCTCAAACCTTGGAAAAACCGTGCGGTTCAGTCCTCGAAGCCTTCTCGCGTCAATTAGCAGGATTTCCCTTATCTCGGTATTCACACGGCTTAGTATGGAATCCACAACACTCCCTTGGCCCGTGACGTCCGTGGAAATCACCTCTCCATCTGCAATTGCGCTCGAAAAACTCACATTCTGGAACATCTCCAATCCATTCACCACTATTGTGCCTGTTCCAAACCACTTCAGGCGGCCCATATCCACCTTGTTCACCACAGTCATTCTGTTCGTGTGGCTCGCAAACAAAATAAGCAGAAGATCAAACAAAAGAACCAGTAGAACTAGACATCTCTTTTTTATTCTTCTTGACCTCAGCTTCATATGGATATGCAATTTTATTCTCTTTTTCTTATGCCAGGCAGCCGATGCAGAATATTGCCTGGAGGGCTCGGAACGTCAAAGCTATCCAAGCCTCATCCTTTCGAGAAAAAATAGAATCCCATCCATCCTCCATCTGCTCAGTCCGTTCTTCTCATAGAACTCCCTTATGCTGTCTTTATTGACTACCGGCTCCGGAATGTCCATCACATCTACGGCAACGGGATTCAGGTACAATTCTAACAGCATGCTTGTTTCCTCTTCCCCTACAGATCCTTTTCTGATTGCCTCAAGAGCCTTAACAGGGCCTATTCCCTTGACCCCGTCTGTGTAGTCACTTCCCAGCAGATAAGAAAGTGTTATTAAGTTCTTTCTATCAAGCTGAAGCTCTCTTTCAATTCGATCCAGGCTGTACTTCTCTATCTCTCTGTCTTTTCTGAAGAAGTTTCTGTAGACTGTTCCTCCATATAGCAAGACATCGTTGTCTTCGGTTATTACTCCGTCCACAACATTGTTATGGCACATAAACCCGCATTGCCCGTCAGCCTCCATGGGCGCATCCACATAGGGGATGTTAAATACCTCCAGGACACTCTTCACCAGTCCCAGGACCCTGGAAATCTCACGGCTTTCTTGTCCCACATCCGAAGAGATCTTTCTGCTTCTGTAAAGAGAGTCGCTACCTCTTTCCTCGTACTCTATGGATGCTTCATCCGAGTATCCCGAATCTTCATCCAGGATAAAGAACCCTCCCATCATCTTCTCTTTTGGAGATGTTACAGGTGTAACGTCCTTAGACTCAACATCCCTCGCCGCTTCAGTGGGTTCGTCGCCTTCTGCCGATACTTCATCCAGACTTCTATATTTATCAACCAGCCCTCTAAGTATTGGATAAGATTCAAGATGTTCCGAGCATAGGCTGTTCCGAGTGTAGATTCCGTCACGCTCTTTGGGAGTGTCGAGATCCGCATCAGACTCAAGCGTCAAAAAAGATTCCTTGTTTTCAGGCTTGCTCATCACATTTGGATTGCTGTCTGCTTCATCCGATGCCTTCGTGAGCCTGTATGAAGCCCTACAATCCCCCAGAACCCTTCTGTATCCTCCTTTCTCCAGCGATTTTATGTTATGACTGATGAGATTCCGCATCCTCAGATTCTTTATCTGCAGGCGCGAGAAAACATCCGGATCATTGGAGCTGCATCTTGTTCTTATTTCCTTTCTTCGTCCTCTCAAATCAACCAGCCTTCTGAGCTTTTGAGTTCTGGACAAATCCTTGGACTCAACAAAGTCAAAACTTATCCTTGACCCCAGGCTATCCTGTTGGTCTTCTGGCCCATCGGAAGGAACATCCTCGTCAGAGCTTGTTGCCTCAGATAGATATGAGTCCTCGTCAGATTCAAAAAAGTCCCCCCAGTTGTATCTTCCGTCTCCAAATGTAACAGAGCCCTGCTCACCGTGTGGTTTTTCGGAGGCATCCAAACATCTAAGGTTTTTGTCTATTTTGTTTATAGAAGTCCTGTTACCCCGTCTTCTTCTCTGCAAGATTGCATGGCGCTTCATCTCCGGAGCTTTTCCGTCGAAAACAAAGATGGGGTGGATCCTGTGGTACAGCAGCTTGACGATTCTTTTGGAAAAAAAGTACACAATATCGTCGCTCCTCAAATGTCCGTACTGGCATATCCAGATGCTTGTGTCCACGGCAAGCTTTACTCCAGACGGTGTGACTTTCTCTGCAGAGGGTTTGAGGATCTTCCACAGCGACCGGACTCCCATAGGGGCTGCTGGAATCCGCCTATTATTCCTTCATTGCAGGAGAGAAGGCCTTTACTTCCCTGGGTTCCTTGCATTGCTCATTATAAGCTCAACCCTGTCCTTGATGTCTGAGGCTGCCTCCGGTGTGATGAAGACGCACGTATCGTTTATGTCCTCTATTACGAAGTTCTCCGTCTCCCCAAGCTTCAATATCACCTCTTTTACGCTAGGCTCTGTTCTTAGGAAATACCCTTTTGTCGCTTTCACCATCCGAGGGCCGGATTCCTAGAGTTTAACCGCAATTTCATCCGGCATCCAATGCCCTACCGGAATGAAGATAGTTTCGACGAAGGAGCTGGATGCAGACTTCGTCGTAAGGTTCTTTGACGACGTGGTGGCTGTCCCCACGGAAACGGTTTACGGACTGGCTGCAAGCATATACAATCCCCGTGCCGTAGAGAGACTACTCAAGCTCAAAAGGAGACCTGCTGACAATCCACTTCCGGTTGCCGTGTCTTCGTATCGGATGCTTAAGGAGATTGTTAAGGAGCCGATTCCTGAAGAATACAGGAGACTGATGGACATGTTTTGGCCTGGGCCCCTGACTCTTTTGTTCAGGTCGAAAGACTGTGTAAGCTCTGTTATTAGGAGCGGGCTTGAGAGTGTTGCTGTTAGAATGCCCAAGAGCAAGCACTTGCTGGAGATAATTGAAAGGCTTGGAGCGCCTGTGGTGCTGCCCTCTGCCAATATAAGTGGAAGGCCGAGTCCTACAACTGCTGGGCATGTGGTGGAAGACTTCGGAGATGAGGTCAAGCTGATAATCGACGGAGGCCCGTGTCCCATTGGACTGGAGTCCACTGTTGTGTCGTATGCAGATGGAGGATTACAAATCCTAAGGCCCGGAGGGATAACCGTAGAGGACATAGAGAGTGTTGCCAACTGCAAGGTGTTCGTAAGGAATAGAGCCAATGATGAGGAGACGGAGCTATCACCAGGGCAGAAGTATAAGCATTATTCTCCAAGGTCTCCGCTGATTTTATTCAAGGGACAACCCGAGGAGGTGAAGAGTGGAATCCTTGAGTACATCAGAGCAAACCCGGATGTCTCCAGAATAGGAGTTGCTTTGCACTCTGGGATAGATCTTGGGGTGCCCGTGGATGGGAGGATTAGTGTATTTAACATGGGAAGTGACAGAAGAGAAGTGTGTAGAAATCTTTTTGAGGGGCTTAGAAGCCTCGATAAGATCAGCAGTGTAATTTTGGCTGCTGGAGTAGATTACGGGGAAGAGGGAGATGCAATTATGAACAGGCTGGAAAAGGCGGCGGACAGCATTGTTGAGCCATAACTGATTAAATGGTCGTTATTCTTTTAGGGTTGGAGCGTACCGAAAGTTTAGAAAAACAGAAGTACCAGACCCCATGGAACACTTGCTATTTGAATATGCCGGGGGATACGGGCTGTTTGTACTCAGGGAGCACGAGGACATGTCAAGATCCACGTATGACGACTACACCAAGCTTACCCAAGTTTTGAGCTTTAAGTCTGGAATGAGATTTAGCGGTCTTTCCGATGCGCTGGAGCATCTTCGGTGTCTTTCCCGGGGAGAGATCCATGAGGATCTTCGGAAGTTTCTTGAGTTCAACTGTGTGAAGGTTTTGCACTGCGATGGATCACTAAGAAAAGGCCTGAGCATGCTTGGGATTGAGCAGAAGGAGAGCGAGAATGTGATGAGAGGAGTTAGAAAGGCCTTTGGAAAGCTTATGAAGCTTGACGAGTACGACGGAAAGCAGATGATACTTGGGCTGGCATATGGATACTCCCGGGAAAAGGTTGAATACAATGTGAAGAGGGAGGACTTTATTGTGATAAACACGGTCATGCTGCTGGAGCAGGTGGACAAAGACATAAATTCGTATTCGATGAGGATAAGGGAGATTTATGGATGGGTGTTCCCCGAGCTGAGCCGTGCACTGAAAGACAACCGTGAATACATTGAGGTTGTTCGGTGTTTTGTGAACGAGGAGGTGGGCAAAGAAGATGGGAAGTGGCTGGATTTAGGAGTAAGTGGGGAAAGGCTTACTGAAATCAAAGAGATGAAGAAGAACTCGATGGGAACGAAGCTTTCTCCGGCGGATATGACGAATTTGAGGAAGCTGATAGAGATAGTAAGCGACAAGGTTGAAGTCAGAGAGAATCTCAGTGGGTATCTGAAGGACAAGATGAGTTCGATTGCACCCAATCTTGCAACCATTCTAGGAGATGTCCTTGCAGCAAGGCTCATTTCGCAGGCGGGAGGGCTCCTCAACCTTGCAAAAGCCCCTGCATCTACATTCCAGCTTTTTGGTGCCGAGAAGTCACTGTTTAGATCGTTGAAGATGAAGAAGAAGACGCCCAAGTATGGGCTTATCTACACCTCTAGCTATCTATCCAGGGCCCGGGACGAGGACAAGGGAAGAATTAGCAGATACATTGCAACAAAGTGTTCGATTGCAGCTAAGATCGACTGTTTCAGCAAGGACAGAACACCACACTACGGGATTGAGCTCAAGCTGTTGATTGACAAGAAGATCCAGTCTCTCCATACTGACGAGGAGGTGGAGAGGACAAGTACTGTGGTCCAAAGGGTGTTTGATAGGATAAACGGGATATCCAGAGACAGCGCACCAGAGGACAATGCAGAGCCCAAGGAAAGGCCAAGAAAAGATGTAGAGCAGAGGAGGAGGCCGAACAGGCCGGGATCCAAGGAAGAGGTGTTCCGATTCCGAGAAAGAAAGGGCAAGGATGGGAACAACTCCCAGGAAAGAGATAAGCGGGTAAGCTTTGATTTGACAAGGAACGATGTGAAGGAAACCGAGAAGATGCCGAAGAGGTTCAAGAGAAGAAGACAAATTGACTAATAAACTATATCTTTTGAGGGTTTGTGGCGAGGGCTTTTTTGATGAACTTCTAAACCAAGATACCCATGGAAATAGAGATAGGAAAGGAGGCGATTCGGAAGAGCACGGAGTATGCCAGCAGGGGTCTTGGCGGGGTATCCCTGAAGCCCTTCCGCACTTACTTCGACATAGACAATACATTCGTCCTGAAGAAGCTTGTGCTGATTCTATTCCCATTCAACAACAAGGAGTGGACGGGCGACGACGAAGGAATGGCGAGGCCAGAGCTGTATGTCCCGGCAATGAGCTTTATCTCCTACATCCTCTTAAGGGCGCTATATCTTGGACTTGAAGGTATGTTTAGCCCGGAGAGGCTGGGAATTGTATTTACCAGACTGTTTTTCCTCGAGGCTGTGTGCATAGCACTCACAAGAATCTCCGGGTACTTTGTTGATGTAGGTCTGAGCACTCTCGATGTGGTAGCATACAGTGGGTACAAGTATGTCATTGTGTTGCTTCTGCAGCTGAACAAGATGCGGTATGTTCAGGTAATTGGAGGAATGTATCTCTATGTAAGCTTCTTTGTTTTTCTTAGCAGAAGCCTAAAGAGACGTGTGATGGACAAAGGAGCTGAAAGAATGAGGAGGGCATACTACTTGTTTGGAATAGTTATTGTCCAAGAGTTTATTGTGTTTTTACTGTCCTGATAATAAAGGCCTTTCTTCGTAACGCTCTTTGGGCGCCAACGCTGTCTCATACATATTTCATGAATCCATCTTCGCCAACAACAATCGTCTTTTTCTTCTTTTTAAGTCTTCTTTCTCCAGCCTCGTATTTCTCCATAAATAAGTCCATTTCCTTTTCCACCTTCTCCACATCCAGTAGTCTCTCTCCCACCACTGCCCTTGCACACCTACTCTCCATAAACTCTATTGCAGTGTCCAGGTCAACAAACCTATACACATACACAAACTCTCCTCTGACCTCTTCTTTCGACTTGAGTTCTGCATCATCTACCACGAGATCCATGTCATACTTCATGCTGAAGGACACCAGGTCTTCCTTTCTTTCCATTGCAACATCCATCTTAAGTTTTGGATGCGCCTTTCCAATCCTAAAAGGAAACTCCACCTCAAGGATAGCCATCTGGGGTTATCGGGGACTCCATATCAACCCTGTTTTCTCCGCCAGAATTTCTTTCATTTTCCAAAAGCATCGAGCAGAATCCATGGATCTCCCCTTCCTCGCTTAGAAATCCACACACATTGCAGACCACATATCTTCCTCCCAGCCCTAGAATAAAGTCCATGTGCTGTACCAGCGACTTTCTGCTCAGACGAAGCTCTCCTCCAACATTCTCAATCCATCTGTCCGCCATAAGCATGTCCACTACGTCTCCTGAGACTGGGATTCCAAACACAACGTTCCTGAATACCTCCTCTATCTCCATAGTCCTGGAGTCTGGTGGGTGCGAGCTCCGGTTATCCTTTAACACAATGCACGATCCGTCAGGCCACCTAACGGCTTCATACTCAACCGGCCTGAGAAGCTCGTTCAAGGAACTTAAGACATCCCGATGCTCGCCATCCACAATCCCATCTGTAAGTAGCTTGAGGACAATGCTTGAAACATCCATCTCCGGGACTTATTTTTGCCAAAAAAAGTATTACAAGAGGCCTGCGTTTAATATCATCAGAGCTCTGCTCTTACATCGTCCTCTCTTGGCCCTTTAGCATCATCACCTGCCTCAAATCTTCTTTGCTCAGGCTCAGCTGGTACAAACTTAGATAGATCAATCCCCAGTCCTCCAGATTCGCGGATGAAGCTAATCAGGTTTTGAAGATTCCTTTCTCCGCCAGAGTACTGGACACTTTCCTTTCCTCCAGCCTTGAAAAGTAAAAGAGTCGGAACAAAGCGGATCTCAAGGTCGGTGATGTCATTTAAGTCAACATCGCAGTATCCAACAAGTACCTTTCCATCCGCATTGTCTTTTGCAATCTCCCCCAGTTTCTCCACTATGGGCTTGACCCGGATGCAGTGTGGACATCTCTCCGTTCCGAACACAATAAGCCGGTCTTTTCCAACATCCTCGAGATGCGACTTGATGTTGTTCCTGGTAACAACCTTCACATTCCTGCTACTGTTGTCTTCAGGCTCTTCCTGCGACTTGTAAAATATCTCGGCCTTCTTGTCTAGCACATCCCTAACAAACCCGACGAGGCTTTCTCTGTTCGCATTCTTCAGGACATACTTTCCTCCATCTTCGCTAATCGATACACACCCAGGGAGGTTCTCCTCTGCCAGCCCATACTCGCCAATATCAATATTACCCTTCAGACTCGGAATTAATATCACCCTTACATCGCTTCTGAAGCTGTCCAAAGACCCAGAATACTCTTTCATGATATCCTCCCCACGGTTAGTGTCGAAGAAAATGTAAAAGATGGTTCCATCAAACGACCTGTACAACGAGATGTTGGCTGCTGAGGTAAATCCAAAGACCGGAAGATTCGATAGAGAAAGAATTTTCTTGGTGCTTTCGTTACTGAAAGATAGCTTGTAGGACAGGTCATCGCTTGCATTATGCCCATATATCCCTGGAACCGGAACTTCCAACTCAGATGCAAGAGACAGGTCTGTAGATATAAAGGCACTAGAGCCCTCCATATTACTCCGGAGATCTGCCTTATATCCAGATCCGTCCAGAAAATATACGATGAAGTTCCCCTGCTTACTGTTCAGACCGCCACTACCAGACTTCATGACCTTAACTATCTCTTCGGTCGGTGCAGGATATTTCCTCAGAACATCCACTGCACCTTCAACATCCTCGGCCTTTGGAACCACAAACATTCGCCCGTCATGCTTTATCTCAACACCCTCTCCCTCAAACTTTTCATCTTCAGACACATACGAAAAAATGCTTTTCATGTCCTTCAGCATCCCGATCATAGACGGGCTTGGTACAATCTTAAGCCTGTCAAGTACCTGGATGTCTTGTCCATGGATACCTTCTCCCATTGTGTAGCCTGCAAAAAGAGCTATGGTAAACACACTTCCAAACATATTTCAGGGTTGCCTTGATTTAATATAAATAAGCAAGAACCTGGCAATCTTATGCTTCTCAAATAAAGCATGACCACAAATCCTTCTGGATGCTAGGAAATACTGATAATTCACGAGTTCCTTCAACTTGTTTGAGGAATTCTGAAACAGAAGAACTTAATGCTGCTTATTACCTTAGAAGTTTCTCTACCCATTCACATAGACAGATATCGGTTCTCCACACCTCAGAGAAAGAAACAATAACTCAAAGATAGCCATGCCGTCTTTATTCCATTCATCCACTATGTAGACCTCATCCAGCCCGAAGGTACTTTTCTGGCACCCCCCCCCCCATACACCATGTCGTAGTCCCGTCCACACACATGCGACACACACACACACACAAGCATGCTCATCACAAACACCATACTCTCAATGCCCTCGCCAACACTCTTCTCTCCACCCCCGCCAACATTCAACACGAGAAGCAGAACAGATGCAAACGCAACAGCCGCAACACACAGATACAGGCTCCACTCCCCGTCTCCGCCAACACACAGAGCCCCGAGAACCAGGTTCCCACACACAACCACACACACCTGCATCAGCGACATCCCACACAGCACACCGCCCTGCACAGCCATCATAACGGCCCCAATGCCTGCCACCGTCATGCTGTACACACTGCTCCTGACCACGCCCCCGTGGAGAAGCCCGGCTGCCATCGGCACAATGCACCCAACTGCAGTCCACTCCTCCCTCAGCATCCCAATCACCCCGTCGTCACGGTACCTCGCTGCCAGTCTCCACACCTGGTATACAATGGTCCCTGCCACGGCCAGCGAGTACACCCCCGTGTTCCACGCCCTCCGAGTTGCACTGTCCTCCTCCTCAAGATACCAGAGGATGCACTGGACCACCAGAATGGCTGCAAACACAAGGCGTAAGTTCCTAAAAAGATTACTTATTCCATCGGATTGGATAGGAGGTTTTTCAGTTCTGTCCACTATGGGTTCCTGACCAAACATCCTCCCGTCGACTTCTTCTAGTTCTTCCTTCAATACAAAAAGCTCACTAGTTATGAATTCAGGGCCAAATGCTTGAGTGAGAGCCTTTTGAACCTCATCAACCACAGAGTCTAGATCAGCTGCTTTGCTACTAACTCCTTTTAGTTCCCCCTTAAGTTCAGAAAACTCTCTGGCAAAAGATCCTTCACCTTTCTTAAAGCTACTGATGGCTCTTTCATATTTCTTCTTGAAAATCGTAACCTTTGCAATGAGGACCTTAAGAATACCCTCAGCACGGGAAAGAATCCCTTCCAGCCTTTCCCTTTCTTCTTTTGAGGAAATCTCCGTGACACTTTTCCTCAGACCGTCTAGCCCATTCCGGATCCCTTCTTTCAAGTTCTTAGAAAAAAGCTCACAGGCGTCCTTAAAACACCCCTCGAAAACACTGACACAGAGCAGTCTTGCCTCTCGGGAAAGGCCCCTAATAATGTTGTTGGGAAACATACTAGATCCCTCTACTAAAAGATCAAGTATCAAATCTTCAGCAGGTATGGTGCCTTGGTCTGTATAAAACTTCCGTGCATCTTCTGGGATGTAATCCAGAGGGCAGGAGCAATAGATTCCTTCAGTAAATGGCAAGACCCCTTGGAGTGCATCCAGGAATGGCCCAAGTAGTTCGGAATAGATACTTTCAAGCTTATCGTTAAATTTGAAGAAAAAGTATATCCGACAAAGCGAAAGATTTGAATTATCAAGGCAATCTCCACAGACATTTCCTTCACTATCTACGAGAACGGGAGGAAAAACAATGCATCTGTTAGATGTCAGATCGCATATCAACTTTTTAGCCTTCTTAACTGTATTAATATTAGCCTTCCTCTTGAATAGGTTTTTTTGATCTTTCAGACCTTTTTTTTTCAAGTTTCTAATAACATCATCAAATAGCACCTTGTAAATGGTCCCTGCATAACTAAAAGCCCCCCACAACCCAGAACCCAGCCTAGTATGTTCGACGAGTTCTCTGTCTATTCTCTTTAGTATTTTTTCAATGGTTGCACTGAGTTGTTTCATTTACAGGGCCGTTATCTGCTTATATTATGTCCCAGATGTTTTCCTATATGCTGTTTTCCTTATACAGCTAATTACAGGCTTAAAAGTTGTAACAATATATATATTAATAGATTATCAGTATTGCAGATATGATATGTGAGAACATGTCTGACATCCAATGGGGCGTAGGGAGGTAGGAGGGAGAGATGGAACGAGCAGGATAGATGAGGACATGGTTGTCAGCTCCCAGAGTGCACATAGTAATGCAGTGCACCAGGAAATCGAGTGGAGTCCGGAGTCCAAGAAAGATATGATGGATGACCACCCACTCCACCACTCATCATACGGGCAGACCAACTTAGGTGTATCCAGAGGCACTAAGTAGCACATAGAAAATATCCTATCCACCATCCACACACACTCTAAAGCCTTTAATGATCAAGTCACATGAACTCTGCATCTTCTCCCTGCTGCTCTTCCTCTTCACACGAGCCGTCCACCAGGTGGCTCTTTATCGGGATCAACATGCAGACTCCTGCCATAACTCCAGGCCCTCGAGCACCACTGGGTAGTTGCTGCCCTCGACAACACCAATCACCAGAGCCTCACTTCAGAGGAGGGCCAGTCTGCTCTGTCAGACACAGAGACCCCGTTATGAACACGTTCCTCATCTTCTGTGACGTGTATACAGACAGCGGTGTTCTGTAGTAGCTGTAGATGTCCACCACCGTGATCCTGTTTGCCGGGTACCTCTTCTTGAGATTCCGAACCATCACTGCATGCCTCCCAAGCCTCATGCTGTGCTCGGGCGGCGGAGTGTCCCTGCTGCTCCTCAGCAGATTCGCAAACCTCCTCCTGTTCATCTGTGTAGTTGTTTACCCCAGAATACAAATCACTTCCTCCCGCACACAATAAACAAACACCCCTACATCTGCAGAGCCTCCACATGCTGCTCTATGTTCGCCATGGTGGCCTTCTCGCCCTTGCTCCGTCCACGGTATCTCTTGCACAGCCTCACCAGTGCATCCCTCCCCACCAGATAGTACTCCCCCTCCTTGGCTGCATAGATCCTCTTGCCAAGATTCAGAAACCTTATCCCGCCAATCTCCCCAAGAACAACCCTCGTGGGCAGCTTAAATATCTCGCGAGCTGCATACACCGCATCCCTCTCCGCCTCGCTCCTCGGCCTGCCACACTCACTCCCAGAGCCATCGCACCCTGTCTCCCCCGTCTTCCTGGCCCTCACACCCAGCTCCCTCCTCTTCCTCTCAAGCTCAAGAGACTCCTCCATCTTCTCAGACATCACCTCCCGGAACCAGGCCGTTGTAAAGAACATGTTCAGCAGTAGCTCAAGCAGAACAATCCTGCCCCGAGCCTCCCGGCGAGACAGTTCTCCGTCTCTTGCAGAAATGCACTCCACAATCTGCGAAATGTCCGTGTCCAGCCCCCTCGACACACATCCAATAAACTCCCTCAGATCGTCTTTCCACCCTTCCTTTCCACAGTCCTCCACAGGCCCTTGCTGCTGTCCGCCCTGCAACACATCCTGCGGCCCCTCGGCTGAACACATCGCCTCCACCGCTACCCCCACACAGGGCCTGACGTTCTCCACAAACCTGTCCATCCCGTTCTCCTCAATCTCTCTCCGAAGTGCCCCAACCAACTTCTCGTGCACAAGACGCATCATGTCAGACCCATACGCCGGATCACTAATAGCCGAGGCCAGCGACCAGGCATCCACGCTTCTGATCCTGAAGACAGACCCAAAGGTTGCCAGTGCCCCAAAGATCTTCATCACTGCCTCGACATCCCAGGGCCCAAGACCCTCAACACTCACAATCCTCTCCTCAGAGAGTCTCAGAATCGACTCCACATCTGCTGCCATGGAAGACAAGCCTTTCTGCCTCTCCGCCCCCCTGGACCCTGGCTGCCCTGGACCCCGTTCCTCTCCACCGCCTCTGCCTCCCGAAGAGCCCCCAGGAACAGGATTAGGTGCCTCACAGCACTGGCTCTGTGGAACCCTGCACCGCATCACCTCCTGCGAGTCTCTTATGCTCCGGAATGCATTCTCCTTCAAAACCCTCCCAAAGGGCGTCTCCATCGTTATTCCAAGCAGGTACCCCCGGATCCTGCCTCCAGACACCCCCTCTCGCCTTGCCAGCTCGGAAAGCTCGAAGTCCTCCTCACGCCATCCACAGGGAGACTGCACCATCACTGCATATCTGGGCCCCAGGACCCCAACAACCCGCCCACACTCCCCAGACTTAACGACACACACATCCTCGTTCACTACAAATCCCGACAGGAGACGCCGGTGTATGCTAGCCACCATCTCATCGATGTCCTCCTGGCTGTGCTCGATAAAGTAATCAACTACAAACCTCTTTATTGCTGGGCTTTCAATCATCAGGGGCTTCAGGATTTTGGCAGATTCCACCCATCTCGTGAGAGTGGGGATATCTACGAGCCCTGGCTGTTTCCATAACACTGCACATCTCTGGCTACCACACTGGAGGGCTGTTGTGCACTGATGTCGGGACATCGAGCACACATGTCATGTCACGCCCTTATTTATCCTGTCTGCCCATCTCTCCCTCCTACCTCCTTACACCCCATTGGCTGTCAGGCATGTTCTCACATGTGATATCTGCAATACTGATAATCTATTAGTCTACTACATGACTCCTATTCCCGGTTGGTTGTGTATGAAAGAACGGCTAATATATATATGGGATATATGGGAACCCCACTAATGGAGCAAATTAGGCGTATCAGAGACTTACTTAGCGGACTTGATTTCACTTTTCGTCCCAAGTCATATGTAATAAGGTGCTATGATTGTGTTATTGATGTATGGTTATCTTGTTCTAACTTCTATCGAGAAGTGCTCAACAAAGTCCGTAATGACTTAGAGAGCAAGGGAAACTCTGCAGGTATTGCTGCTGTTGATGCAGCCCTCGAAGCGTTGGAAGCCCTATCGAATTCTGTAGGGAGGCAATCCGTTTGTCATGATGAGAATAGAACACATGATATCAACTGTTGTTTTGATAGCTTCTTCGGATCCTTTTCCAACTACTTCCAAAGAGTTGATGACATAAAAGAAAACTTTCCAAGACTATTCGACAGATTTAAAGATACAGTTGAGAAAATGTTGCAATATGTTGATAAGGACCTAAAGTTTCAAGAAACTGAATCACCTGGTTCGGAGGCATCTCTGAAATCAATCTTCCTTGATCTCTTAGAAATGGAAGGGGGGTGCGGTCATACCTTCTTTGTTACAAGAGGTCACAGGAGGCTATCCACTTTCCTTCGGCATCTGAATGATAACCTAGGCCTTCATGTTTTTGGAAAATATTTTGGTTATGCTGTTGATGATGCTTCTCTCGGATGTTTAGGGGAAGTTGGACGAGAACTGGATGCTTTGGAAAAGGAGATTAGCAGATACATGCTTCCTAAGGCCCAAGGAGCACGGGTGCAAGGGGCTCTTCGTGATGTCAGGGAGTCCATTAGATCCCTTATCCAGAAGCTACAGGCCCTTAGAGCAGCATATGACCAGGCCGTTGCTGATCTTAAGCAAACTACCAGACAAAATCGTGCATCATTTGCCCCTAAGTTCAATGAACTAGATCAAATGCTAGGTGAGGCCAGCAGTGGCCTGGATGACCTAAGGCAGAAGATCGATGAGCTTGAGAAGGCTCTTCCTCCTCCTTTGCGACTCTACGGGCGCCTGGGCCTTGTGTTTGCAGCCATTCTGGTGGTCCAGTGCATCCTCTGGTATCTTGAGGAGGAGGACAGTGCAACTCGGAGGGCGTGGAACACGGGGGTGTACTCGCTGGCCGTGGCAGGGACCATTGTATACCAGGTGTGGAGACTGGCAGCGAGGTACCGTGACGACGGGGTGATTGGGATGCTGAGGGAGGAGTGGACTGCAGTTGGGTGCATTGTGCCGATGGCAGCCGGGCTTCTCCACGGGGGCGTGGTCAGGAGCAGTGTGTACAGCATGACGGTGGCAGGCATTGGGGCCGTTATGATGGCTGTGCAGGGCGGTGTGCTGTGTGGGATGTCGCTGATGCAGGTGTGTGTGGTTGTGTGTGGGAACCTGGTGCTCGGGGCTCTGTGTGTTGGCGGAGACGGGGAGTGGAGCCTGTATCTGTGTGCTGCGGCTGTTGCGTTTGCATCTGTTCTGCTTCTCGTGTTGAATGTTGGCGGGGGTGGAGAGAAGAGTGTTGGCGAGGGCATTGAGAGTATGGTGTTTGTGATGAGCATGCTTGTGTGTGTGTGTGTGTCGCATGTGTGTGGACGGGACTACGACATGGCGTATGGGGGGGGGGGGTGCCAGAAAAGTACCTTCGGGCTGGATGAGGTCTACATAGTGGATGAATGGAATAAAGACGGTATGATTATCTTTGAGTTATCATTTCTTTCTCTGAGGCATAGATAGAGTATCGCCTTTGGACACAGCAACAGGCTGGTGTTGGATAAGCAAGCCTCTATCCACCCATGACATCTCTCTTTGTGGATTCCCCATCCCTGGCATCACGAAGACCCCCTTGCACCCGTGCTCCTTGGGCCTTAGGAAGCATGTATCTGCTAATCTCCTTTTCCAAAGCATCCAGTTCTTTTCTAATTTGATTTAAACGTCTGGGAAAAGCATCATTAACAGTGTTACGAAAATATTGTCTAAAAATATCAAAGCCTAGGGTATTCAGACGTTTATGAATGATACGCAGCTTCTCATTAGCTATAGCACCGTAACCCCTTCCATGTCTAAGAGATCAAGGAAGATTGCCTTCAAAGGCACTTCTAGGGATATTGCTTCGGCCTCCATCTCTTGCCCCACTTCAATATTCAAATTCCCACTAACGTATGGTAGCATTCTCCTAAGTGCATCTTTAAATGTATTAAACAGTTCTTAGTAGTTTCCTTTCAGATCATCAACTTTCTGGAAGTAGTTAGGAAGGGTTCTGGAGATGTATTCAAAATCCCAGCGCTCATCACCTTTTTCAGTGAGACAAGGAATTTGGTGCTTTATATGATCCAATAGGACCTCCAGTGCTTTCTTAGCTTCATCAACAGCAGCAATGCCTTGGGAGTCTCTCTTGCTCTCTAGATCATTGCGAGTTCTATCAAGTGCTCTGATGTAGAAGGGAAAGGCCCATGGTATTGTGTTGTTGAGGCGATCCAATGCGCATCCTTGTATTATACTTAGCTTACCCGCACGAACCAACGAATCATCGCTGAAGTTAACTCTGTTGAGTGTGGCTCTGATACACTCAATCTGTTCCATCAGCAGGGTTGCTAATACATTGATGTATATCAGCTATCACCATGCACAGCTAATTGCAGAGTAGGAGTCATGCCATAGACTTTTGGAATGGACCAAACTCTCAGTGATGAGAGCATACTGAACAGCGATTCCTGTGAAGAGAAGAGGAATGACAGAGGGAATAAGAGGATTTGAACACCCCACGCACACGCCCCACGAGAGATGGATTCCCGGCGATGTCTTCATCGAGAAAGAATTTTCAACCTCGTTGTAACACCCTACCCTTACAGAGCTATACAGAGTACTAGATACATTCAAGTAGGTACTAGCACTACTAATGGAGCAGGCCATGAATCTCCAGTCAATCCTTGCCAGAACTGATCCTGGAGTTACCGTTGAGGTGCCACTATTGAAAAATGCAATGATCTTCCATAATACAGCATACCATCTTTCTTTTCATGAGCTTCCGACGTTTAAGAGGCAGCTAGGGAGGCCTTGCCATACATCAATAAAGATCTGAGAGTTGAGGTGAACATTGGCCTGGTAGGCCAGGAGATACAAAAGAAAGTCGTGTCTCTGAGGGAAGTCTTCCTCGATCTTTAAATGCGAGTAAGGACTATTGTGTTAGACCCAGCCACAGGCTACACAGCTATTCTTTTGCCTTGCGTTTGATGAGCTAAAGCAAGGGCCAGTGGGGGTAATGATAGTCTGTTGCATTTCAAAGGAGCTGCTACCGGCCCTGGAGTGTCTTTTCATCCGCCTACCGTCTTTGTGCCCGGGCTTCTACTCCTTGCACTCCACAGAGAGCCCTATGAAAGATTACAGTTCTTTATATCCATGATTCTCTTGGTCATCCTTCTTCTATAAAACAGAACAGGAGACGGGCTGCTGTGAGCGCTATGTCTATAGCGGCCTGGATAACTAGTATATCGCACGCAGGATATTTCCTGCTATGGAGCAGGACAACTAAACACTAGTAAATGTCCCGAGCATTAGGCCTACCCTTTCCCTGGCTCTCCAGAAACCTGTTCTGCACTTCTACCACCTCGGCGCTCGAGGCGCATTTCGAATACTCGTCGAGGATGTCTCCATTCAATCTGTAAAACTCGTCACCATAGTTGAATCCATCGAGGATCTCGTGTGCCTCCTCCTCAAAGCCACAGATGTACAGAGAAGCACTCAATGCCTCTGCACAGTTCAGCTTGAAAGGCTTGCCGTAGTTGACCGGGTTGGCAGCCACCATGAACGGAAGAAGGCGGTTGTGTCTCCTTGGGAGTTTTCTGAAATCCACAGAGTCGAGCTGTGCCCAGGAGCAATCTATAAGTCCTATTCCAAACCTCTCTATAACATCCCTGTCGGCAGGTGAGATGGATTGGTCTGCATCTGGAGACAGAACCACGCCCCCAAAGCTTCTGTTCTTCTTGACCGCCTGGACCTTGTTCTGCTTGATGAGCTTCTTTCCCGAGCATTTCTTTGGGTCGCACTGTTCAAACTCGTAGATTATCTTTCTCATTTCGGGACCACCGGTGAAAAAGTTATAACGTATGGAATGCAATTAACGACTTTATTCTATGCTGAGGGGATGCTAGCATCCTCAGGGTCAGCTCCCATGCCGCCCCTCAATTGGAATGTCCTGTCGACCATTCTTCTGAACCTCTCATATCCTATCCGATATATGTTTTCTTTTTCTTGGGAAACGGCCGAGTCATTCCCAACAGCAACGACCCTTGCATCCTCCTTCCTCTGGATTTCCTTATAGACATCAAAGGGGGCATTCGTCATCGAAACCACTGCTCTTATGTCCAGGCTCGAGTACTCGAAGAATAGAAGCTCCGCCAGGATCTGTGGGAGCGGGCGTGTGGAGACAAAGTAGACCACCTGCTTCGCTCTGTGGAGTTTCACAATGGAATCGTAGAGACGCGTTATTCTATTCTTTAGCAGCCTGTCCATCGTATAGAACAGAGGCGTGCATGTAAACTTGAACTTTTCAGGTCCGTTGAAGATCCTCTCGAATTTGTGGTACTTGTCTTTCTTCAGATTCTCAAGCAGAGTCGCGTCATGGCCTCCATCCTTGTTTCCCTCTCCTATGGCTCCAAGCGTGTTGATTCTAGGATGGATGCTGCCAATGCAAAAGAGAACATCTCTGATCTCCGATATCCTTCTGGATGCCTCCTCCTTTGCCTGGCATCGAAGCGTGCTTATGTCAAAGACGGGGTCGAGATCAACCACAAACACACTTCTGACGCTGCAGAGTCCATCCTTGATCCTGCAGACCTCATCGCTGGTGACCTCAGGAAGCTCTATGAGCAGCGACCTCAGCTCCTCCTTGGAATCCATGACCCTGTTGAACTCTCTCTTGACCATCTTGTCCTTCCTTCGATCCGCCTCAATTCTTGAGATAATAAACGAGTTCTCAGTGTCTACAAACATCTTCTCGTAGTTCTTCATGCATCGGAAGTGGTCTCTTGCCCTCTCAAACCTGTCCCTTCCAATGAGCCTCATCTTGTAAAGACAGTAGTATGTCGAATACACATATTGATTGATATTCTTTCTGTCATCAAGGGAAGGAACAAGCTCGTCTGCAGGGACGTCCAGCGCCTCAATCAGCTTTATCCCAAAGACATTCTTCTTCGTTCCCAGCAGAGACCTCATCTGATCTCGCAGAGGCGGCCTCCCCATCTTTTCTTTTATCCACTCCTTGTTGTCGTTTACAAATCCTTTGTCCTTGCACTTCTCCAGGAGATCAGAGATGTCTGTTATCCTTTCCATTCAAAGGGCTCCGTAATTCCAGATTTGTTGTCAACCTTTGCCTCCTACCGCCCTAAGGCCAGCAGCCTACTTCTCCAGAACCGCAAACAGACTTTCTTCCTCGGTCCCATGGTCCAGGACCTTAAATCCAGAATCGGTGCAGAGCTCCAGTAGGCCCTCCATGCCGTAGAGATGGTAGTATCTCTTGGTATCGCTCCGGAGATTCCATGTTGCAAGATAGTCCTGCTCAGACCCACCAGCTGCCCTCGAGAACTTCCTTTTGCTCTTTGCCGAGCTCCCCCACACATACAGAAGCATCTTGCCTCCGTCCTTCAGGACTCTTCTCATCTCCTTCATTGCCCTCTCCCTTCTGCACCGTGTGCTGAGGTGGTGGATTACAGCAACGCTGAGTACGAGATCGAAGCTGCAGTCCACAAAAGGAAGCTCCAGGACATCTCCCCTTACCAGTCCTTGGCCGCCTGCTGCCCGGGCATCGTTTAGGAGGCCAAGGCAGTAGTCCATCCCAACCATACACGGCACCAGGAAGGACCTTCCATTTCCGCATCCTGCATCAAGCACAATGGACTCCCGAGTGTAATAGTTATCCAGGAATCTCCTTGTCATTCCCCAGTGCCTCCTTCTTGTTGCAGAAAACTCCCGAGAGTTCTCGTCATAGAATCTATGCACAAATCTTTCTTCAAACCCACTAGGGTCATCCATGCAGGCAGATCCGAAAGCACGAATATTTAAGGAATTCAAATACATATGCTTTAATAAAACCAAAAGACTCTATGTTATCTCAGGAGACTTTCTGCAGCCTTTCTAACTTCCCCATCCCTGCTGCTGCACAGGTCCAAAGCCATGTCCCTCGTGCTCTCGTCCGCCCCGTGCAGCCCAACCATCTCAAGTGCATACAGCTTCACATTGTCAATAGGATCAGACAGGAGTCTCTTCGCAAACTCCGTCCCGTGAGCCTTGTCAAAGGAGAGCGCTGCATCCACCGAAGTTATCCGGTGCAAATAGTTTCTAGACAACACGGCAGCCTCAATCTCGGGAAGCCACTCAATTGTCCAAGAGTACCTCGGAACTAGCTCTGCAACCACCCGGGATGCTCCAGCCCTCACCTCGTACACCCTGTCGTGGAGGTATCCAAGGAGATACTTTCCCAGAAACTCCCTGAGAAGCCTTTCGTCCTGTTTCGAAACACATGCGATCGACTCGAGAATCTCCTTCCTTATCCTCCAGTTCAGTGCGGAGTTGAGGGAGTTTATCAGCGGAATAACAACATTCTTGTATGTGTCAACTCTCTGAACACACAGGAGGGCCTTTTTGACCTCCCAGCTCCCGTCGGAAACAACTCCCCGCAGTATCTCCTGGAACTCTTCTCTGTTTCCTACCGTCTGGATAGTTATGGCCCGGACCGTGGGACTGCTGTCCTTCAGAAATAATGGGACAAGTCTATCCCAGTCTCCAACGTGCTCCATGTTGCTTGCAAGACATATCCTGATTTCCTCCTCCGGATCCTGCGACAGATGTGCATACACAGCAGCCCGGTCACTGCAATTGAGCTTTTGTATTTTCTTGGCAATTGCATACCTTCTTCTCCATGACTCCGACATGCATATCTCAGACACAAAGTGTGTTTGCCTCTTTATGAGGGGAATGACATCAGAGCCTGTGCACTGAATGCATTCCGAGTAGGAGGCGTGGAGATCCTCCACAATCTGGACAAGCTCATCATCTTCAAACGGGATCCTGCCATACTCCTCCAGTGACAGCGCTGCACATCTCGCCACTGCCACCACAGGATCTTGCAGGCACCTCCTCAATGCCTCTTTTGTCTCCTTGTATTCGATATTCACAATTAGCGATGGAACTGCCCGCCTCTGGATGTAAAATGGCGACTCGAGGAGCTTCTTGACAAACCCGTCCACCTCGTCTGGAAACGACCCGAGTATCCTCCGGGCAACAGGCACAATCTTCTCAGGTTCTTCAATCAGCATCAGCCCGCAAATGCCAAGATGCCCCCTATCCGGCGGCAGAGCAGCAAGGTGGGCAACCAGAAGGTCATTGAGCTTCTGGTCCATCCCAACAAGCAGCTCCAGCTTTTCAACCGCCAGGTGCTCACGGGCCCCCAGCTTCTCCGCAAGGCTCGACACTTCGTTGCTAATCATTTCAAAGGGCTCTGAAACAGGGGAATTTCAGATTGGGCCATTGAGGGGCTCCATCCTCTTTTGCCTAGCATGTACACTCTGCACCCGGCATTACTTTGGAATAATTTTGATCCATGCCATGAAATATAGAATAACGTCGAAGAAGCTTGGGGAAAAGATCCTGGCAGTTCATGCGGGCAAGAGCATCTACACAGGAGGGACGTCCAGGATGCTGGTCAACCAGGACACCGGAGAGGTGATGTGCAGATGCAAGAAGTCAGTAAGATCGATAGCAAGCCACGGAAGGTACGTGTGCTGCGGGAGCTACGACTGCACCGCAGTGCTGTTTCACGACGGGAAGGTTGTGGATGTCATCGAGGGCCCTGACACAGAGGTCAAGTGCGTTGCGTTTTCTGAGGATGGGCGGTATCTGGCAATGGCAACCAGGGGAAGGTCTGTTTGGGTTGTGAAAATAGATGGAGAGATAGAGATAGATGGGGTCATAGAAGACCATTTGCACGATGTGAAGGGATGCATATTCCACGGAGGACTTCTGTTCACATACGGCTACGATAACACGGTGAAGGTCTACGACAGATTTGACTATGACGACTCCTGGGAGCTGGTGCAGTCGATCGACGAGAGAAGCACTGTGTGGTGTGTTATCTTCCACAACGGTAGGATGGTGTGCACAACCGAGGAGGGGACTGTCAGCATCTATGCCCTGAGGAGCGGGTGGACCCTCGAGATGTCTAGGAAGCTATCTGTACTCCCGATCTACTCGATCTGCAGTGTTGGGGAAAACATGGCATATGTCCTGAACAGGAGCAGCATCGGGATTGTCGACTCGAACCTCAATCTTGTGATGTCCATCGAGAATGTGCATGAGGACTCGATAAATAGCATTGTGTATGATGAAGGAAGAAATCGGATAGTCAGTGGGGGAGATGACGGGATTCTGAACACAATTGAGCTGCTATGAAAACCTTTGGTTTAAAAAGTTGTGAAAAATTTGCCCCTACCCTAACGCAAGAATGCAATCGACAAGAAAGACTAACCAACTGGCCATCCCCGATCTCTCTGGGAAGGTGACGATAGGGGATTTACTGGAGGCCTTTTCCAGCTACGAGAAGGAAATGTAAGTGAAGAGAAAGCATCCTTGGTTCGTGAAACTGAGCCGTGATGAGGACTTTGAGACAGATACTAACTTCTAGAATAAGCATCAAGCTTAGCAAGCAAAGGAGGTCCAGGGATGAGGATCTTAAGGTGGGATATGTCGAGTTTGAGACAGTTGAGGACACCGAGAAGGCATATGGAGAGGGAAGCGTCAAGGTGGCTGGAGAGGCAAAGGCGCTGCACTATGCAAAGAGAAAGGACCAGAGGATGAAGGAAAGAGTCATTGTTTCGAGCAAGAAGGTGTATATTTCAGGGATTCCCGAGGACACCGACAAGGACGAGCTTTCTGCGCTTCTGGGGAACTGCAGGATATCTGGAGGAGACAAGGGCAAGAACTATCTTTTTGCTGAGTACGACAACAGCGAGGAGCAGGAAAGGGCACTGAGCAAAATCAACAACATGAAGATCAAGGGTTCGAAGCTGTTTGCAATGCCTGCCTACGAAAAGGCTAACATCGGAAGGATCGGGAGAAGAAAAGGTGACTTCAATTAAACGATCTTATTTTAGCATATGACTTCCAGGACTCTACTCCCTGATGCAGTCTTGCATTATATTTTTTTCTATCTACCACCGTGGTATGAGCGACTTCGACTCCACGCTAGTTGTGGAAACAGATGCAAAGAAGGACCTCAGGCTTCCCCACACACGCCAGATGATTCTTGTGGGTGCTGTCTCTGCCGTCCAATGCTCTCCATTTCCCAAGTATCTCTACGTGCGCGACAGGAGCCTCACGGTCTATCAACTTGCTCCGTTTAGGCAGATAAGGGCCCTTGAGTATGAGGGAGATGTAATGGATATGGCCATTGTCAAGGGCAGAATGGTCATTCTCTCGAGAGACTCCATAGTCACCACAGGCAGGGATGGAGACCTTGTTGTCACAGGAGACTTTGACGGAAGACTGTCTGCAATAGAAGAGAACCTTGGAGTACAGGAAAGAGGAAAGCTGTCTGTGTATTCGCTGGAAACTCTGTCGGTGCTGGATGTGTATGAGGCAAGCGCACACTACTCGATAAGGGATGTGCTGATAACGTCTCTCGACAACATTGTTTCTTTGTACCGAAAAGGCAGGAAAGTGCTTGAGATTTCTATGCCTGAGAGGATAGGCAGGCTATGCGCCGACCCGCTGCTGACGAGCATGTACTGTGGAGCCGATGACGGGACCATATTCTGCTGTGGCATGAGCTACTCGGAGCCCATGGCTATGAGATACCACAAGAGCAGAATCGTGGGCCTAGACATGAGCTTTTGCGGGAGGTATCTGTACTCTGCAGATGCAGAGGGAGTCATCTGCATCTGGGACACAAAGCTCAATGTGGTGATCGGAAAAGCGTCCATGGAGTCAGAGATAAGAGGAATGAAGGTGGTGTATGTTTCCGAGTGGAGAAGAGAGCCCGGTGCAGTCGATAACGAGCTGGTGATGCTGCACAGAACGGTGCAATAAAGGCGACGTGGAGTCAAAGGGATTTTATATTGTATCGAGTATTTAAAAAGTACAGGACGTGCTGCTATCCTGCATTACGTCAGCAGCACCTGCCATTGGTCTTTCTATTTGGCCCGCCTACCGACGGGTCGTACAGACTTCCCGCCTCCCACTTCTGCCCCAGGGTCTGCTTCTTGAGGAGGACCATTGCCATATCCTCGAAGATATTGTTTACATTCTCACCCGTCTTGGCGCTTGTCGTGTAATACCTGGCCCGCATTTCATCTGCCTTGTTCTTGAATCTGCCCTCCATCTCATGGTACATAGCGCTATCCACCTTATCCCTCTTGTTTCCAACAAGGAACAGAGGGACATTTCCTGTCTCTTCTCTTATGCGCCCAAACCATCTATCCACACATGAAAAGGTCCTCTCGTCGCTGATGTCGAAGATGAGGAGTATCCCGTCTGCATTTCTATAGTAGCTCTTTGTTATCGAAAAGAACCTTTCTTGACCTGCCGTGTCCCAGATGTTGAGCATGATATTCTTTCCGTTCAGAACTATGCTTTTTGAGACGGTGTCCACCCCGATCGTTGTCATCAGAGACTGCTTGAAGTCATCCTCCTTGTACTTGTGCAGAAGGCATGTCTTTCCCACGTCGCTCTCTCCAAGGACTATTATCTTGTAGCGATAGTCTATCCTCAGGGCAGCCATTTCCAATTAGGGGCTTTACTGTTATTTGCAATTGACTTCTATGCCCAGGAGCCAGCCGTGCGATTGAGGAATCTGTCCCCTCTAGGCTGCCAAAGATGAATCAAAACAAACCAATCTGTGATGTGATCTCCTTAAGAACAAATAAAAGAAATTGACATCGATATAATAGGAAGCCGTGTATAAGGGTATGACGGATTTGATGGGGAGATTTCGACATATATCGAAGGAGCGGAGGAGAAGGTATCCTCCCAACATCATAAGGAACCAGAAGTACAAGTGGTATACATTTATCTTTGCGGTGCTGAGGCTGCAGTTCAGCCACTTCTTCAACACCTTTCTGTTTCTTGTGTGCATGACGCAACTGAAAAAGGAGTATCTTGTGTCGTCTCTTGTGGCTTCTGTTGGGCCCTGGGCAATGGTCCTGCTATTTTCTCTTTTTAAGGAGGGAGTTGAGGACTACAAGAGGTACGAGAGGGACAAGATTACAAACAGTCAGCTGTACACAAAGCTCACCAGCCAGGGATTTGTGCGGGTGCCCAGCTCGAGGATAGAGGTTGGGGATCTCGTTCTGCTGGAAAAGAACGAGAGGGTTCCTGCAGACATGGCTCTTCTCAAGACCTCTGATGTGTCTGGACATGTGTTTGTAAGGACAGACCAGCTGGACGGGGAGACTGATTGGAAGCTGAAGCTGACCATTCCTCGAATGCAGTCTGCAACGTTTGACGAGCTCCGGAAGCTGAGCATCCTCGCAGAGCAGCCAAGCAAGGACATATATTCGTTTACTGGAAAGATCAAGATAGGAAAGTTTTCTCTGGACGAGCTGTCGGAGATTGAGGAGGAAGGGAACGAGGATGAGGGGATTGGCAGGCGAATCGAGAGGCTTCTGGAGTTTGACTTTGGACGAGAGGAGGGGAGCGTTGGTGCATCTGAGGGACCCAAAGATGTTTCATGGGTCTACTCCTCGTCCAGCCAGAGCACCGGAGAAAGCGGGTCCCTGGACGAAGACCTGGGCTTTGTGTCGGATGGCAGGGACTCTGCTGCAGCAGGATCCAGCGAAGGCCTTGAGGTGGGTAACGAGAGCAATGTGGGCAGAGAGACTGAGGAAGCAGATGTCTCCCTAAAGGACGAGGAGAAACCCGTGGCCGAGGCGCTTGGATGCGAGAATATGCTGTGGATGAACACGGTTGTGGCGACATGCTCCATCCTCGGATGTGTGGTTTACACGGGAAAAGATGCAAAGGCAATGCTGAACACTTCTCGGCCAAGGAACAAGATAGGGAAGATTGAGCTTGAGCTGAACGGATACATGAAGGTTCTGGGGGCAGGGTGTATGGTGCTTGCAGGGATATTTACATATATGCGGGGGGTTGGGTCGAGGCCCGACATTATATTTATCCGGTTTCTTGTTCTGTTTTCGTCTGTGATTCCGATTTCGCTGAGAATCACTGTTGACTGGGCAAGATACTGCTATGGAAAGTATATATCCGAAGACGAAAGGATAGAGGGTGCAATGATGCGGTCGAACAACCTACCCGAGGAGCTTGGAAGGGTGTCGTACTTCCTTACGGACAAGACGGGGACGCTGACCAAGAACGAGATGGAGATGAAGAAGATACATCTCGGGACGATCTGCTATACAAAGGAGCTGAACAGGGAGATCAGCAAGAACCTTGCGAAGGTTCTGAACGGCAGGAACGACGGAAAGGGTGTGTTTTTCCGGGGAAAGAAGGACATCAATGCAAGGGTGTACGATCTGGTGCAGGCCCTCAGTGTCTGCCACAATGTCACTCCTGTTATCTCTGAGAACGAGGTGAGCTACCAGGCGTCAAGCCCCGACGAGGTTGCGATTGTCCAGTGGACGGAGTGTGTTGGGATGAAGCTGTACAAGAGGGACCGCTCGATGATAGTAATAAGAGATCCCCTGAACGACGAGCAGGAGTACCAGATACTCTACACCTTTCCGTTTACCAGTGAAACGAAGAGGATGGGAATTATAGTGAGATACAACGAGGAGGTCATATTTTTCCTGAAAGGGGCTGATGTGGTTATGAGAGGGATAGTGAAGGTCAACGACTGGGTTGAGGAGGAAGCAGACAACATGGCCCGGGATGGGCTGAGAACGCTTGTCATAGCAAAGAAGGTCCTTAGCGGAAAGGAATTCGAGCTTTTTGAAGAGATGTACAACAAGGCATGGATGAGCCTGGTTGATCGTGCCGAGGCCATGAGCAAGGCAATGGAGATTATTGAGAAGGACATGAATGTCCTTGGCCTGACGGGTGTTGAAGACAAGCTCCAGGACGATGTCAAGGTTACGCTTGAGAACCTGAGAAATGCAGAAATGAAGATTTGGATGCTTACGGGCGACAAGATAGAGACGGCCATTTCGATTGCAAGATCGTCCAGAATCTTCCACAGAGGTACTGTGTATCTTGTGATCAGCGACGCAAGCTCTGTCGGAGATGTCAAGGCAAAGCTTGATCTTCTGCGTGGGTCTGGATACAACTCACTGGTGATTGACGGACAGAGCCTATCATTTGTAATCGAAAGCTGCATGGATGAGTTTATCGAGGTGGCCTCAGAGCTAGAGGCGGTTATAGGGTGCAGATACACACCCACCCAGAAGGCGGCTGTTGCGAGAGAGCTGAAGAACAAGACAAGAAAGTGTGTATGCTGCATCGGAGATGGAGGGAACGACGTCTCAATGATAACGGAGGCAAATGTAGGAATAGGAATAGTTGGGAAGGAAGGGAACCAGGCGTCTCTGGCTGCAGATTTCAGCATCAACAAGTTCTGCCATGTGTCTGATCTTCTCTTCTGGCATGGGAGGAACTCGTACCAGAGAACGGCAAAGGTGGCACACCTGATAATCCACAGAGGGCTTACCCTTACAGTGATCCAGGCGATCTTCTGCTCTCTCATCTACTTTGTGCCTGTGGGCCTGTTCAGGGGAGAGCTCCTCATGCTGTTTATAACTGTCTATACCTTCCTCCCGATATTCTCGATCATCTGCTCGAGCGACATAAGCCGAAGCGTTGTTGTCAAGTTTCCCGAGCTCTATAAGGAGCTTACTGAGAACAAGCTTCTGTCGTACAGGCACTTTTCTGTCTGGACCTTGATAGCATTCTACCAGGGAACAATCATGATGATAACATTCTACCTGCTGAAGCAGGAGTTCTTTATAATCTCTACCCTGACATTCACAAGCCTGGTACTCAACGAGCTTCTGATGGTGATACTGACAACCACGAGAATGACACCAATGGTGTTCATCTCCTCTGGCATGTCCCTTGCCATCTACATTGTCTACTTTGCCCTCAGGAGGGGACTCCTGAGATACCAGAGGCCCTTCTACCTCTTTCTGCTGAAGATAACGGTTGTAAACACCCTTGCAATACTAGTCAGCGTGTTCCAGAAGCTTTGGACCAAGTACATGAGCCCCCCAACCTATTCGAAGCTAGAGGTTCTGGTTTAGGATATTTGTTATGCACCACCAATAAATACAGCTAATTAGAAATGATTTATTAGGATCCTAAAAGACCCTGGAATCATTTACTTGCCCTGTCAGACATAGCCTGTCTTGACAAAGTCTCCGTAGAAGAGCTTCAGGAAAAATCTTGCCAGCGCTGTGTGAAAGATCCTGTAGAACGGGTTTGACCTAAGATCCAAATTCTTCAGCGCTCCGGTCTTCCCAAGCTTCAGGAGCTTCCATGGAAACGACCTCAGCTTGTTGTTCGATAGATCAAGGACCTCTAGACTTTTCAGATTCCCAATCTCCTGGGGGATGCTCTCCATCTCGTTACAGGAAAGATCAAGCTCCACAAGCTCGCTCAAGGTCCCAAACTCCGCAGGCAATGTCTTTAGCTTGTTGTTTGACAGGTTAAGTTTCTTGACCTCCTTGTTGCACTTCAGAGCTTCCATGATCTCCAGGGAAACCTCCTCAAGATCCATGTTGTGAAGATCGCAAACCTCGTGCTTCTCCACCTTTTCAATGATGCTTGCAGCCTCCAGTACATTGGATGGACAGGAAGCACCTGTCTCCAAAGTATAGATAGAAAAGAGAGATAGAAAGCTGACTCCAAGTCCAGTAATATTCATATGATAGGGTATACTTTTCGCAAATTTCTAAAACAGGAATATTCGGCTCTTTATTACATACAGTCTATGCTAGAAAATCTAGTCTCTTCTATACCAAGATCCATTCCCACCATCGCGGACATATCGCCTCTGACCTCCATTCCACACACCCCTGGGCCGCTTTGTCCATGATTCTTGGTCATTCAGCCTTCTTCGGTCCGTCCGATAGTTTCCATCGTGCGTGCCGTCTCCTAGAGATCTTCCTGGGCATTTTCCTCGGGGTATGGTATCTTTGGGACCAGGACCAATCCTGTTAGCATCACTTGTCCGTGGATATAGTAGGGCCTGGGAGGCAAGAAGTTCCTCGACAAGACTCCTAGACACCCTTGCTGCATGTATAAACCCGCATTTCTCTCCCTTCCCGCACAAACCCCTCTCGTGCTCGGTGCATGTCCCGTCATCTGTTCTGTAGCAGTTGCCGAGCTCTGCAACTATCCTCTTCCCACCGTAATATCTCCTTCCTATCTCTTCTGCACACCTCATTGCTGCCTCCTCCTCATGAAACTCAATGTAGATGTTCCCCAGAATCTGGATGCAACTATTCGAAGCAATCACAAGCTTTCTGATAGCTCCATACTTTACAGACAACTCGGTGAACCAATCCTCGTAGAAGAGGTCAAGGTGGATCTGGACCGACTCCTCACCCAGTGTGGATTCTGGGTCGTTCTTGGGATACAGATACATTGCCTTCACGACAACAACCCTGCTTCTTGTGGGGATTCTGTGGACCTTTGTGCACTCGTGTCCATATCTGCATCCGTTTGTTTTCGAATAGAAAAGACACGCCTCTCGTCCCTCGACCATTTTAGACACGGGGATTCTAAGTCGGTGAAATCAATTGAGGTTGATATGGCTTCCCAATTTCTTCCCTGCAAAGGCATTATGGAGAGCAGGGCAAGGATCTCGATCACAACCTTTACGGGAGAAAGATATGCCGGGGTTCTCTGTGGGTACACGCCCGGCAGATGCATTGTTCTGACAGATGTGGTCCGAAGACATGCAGGGCAGACCGATGACGAGATGAATGTCTTTGTATATCCTCGGATGAAATTCAGAGTGGAGAACATTGTGGAGATCGGGGTTGCAAGGGGTCTTGATGGGGCGGGAAGAGAGACAGACCACTTGGTGCTGGAGAGCTTAGGGCATGGGGATGCCGAAGCTAGGGATGGTGTCAAAGGAGAGCTCTCTGGCGTGGATGTAAGGCCTGTAATGCATGGAAGAGACAGGGTCGAGGCGGTGAGGAGGGCTCTATGTGTGAACAGAAGCCCCAGAGTAGAGCAGTTGTCCAAAAGGCTAGAGATTGAATCTGCGCCCAGAGTGGGGACCAGGCATGCAGAATGATCTGGCTGGAAGAAATAAATAGTTCTGGTATGGAAACTGAGTCCGTTTCTGGTTGAAGAATTCTCCAACTAACTCCTTTTACCGCGGAGTAGGCAAGCTGATTGATGAGTTCGGGGTTTAAAACAAATGAAGCCGCTGTATGGATGGTTGCAACAAATGACAGCGAAGCACCTCAGAAGATTCTCTATGAGTCTCTTTGCACGGTGGAGGCGGAAAACTTGAGCGAGGCATGCAACAACGCAATAGAAGGTCGGAGAGCACCTGCAGGGAGGAAGGCCCAGGTGATGCGGTTTATCGGGGAGATGTGCTGCTGCGGCGACATGTTCGGGACAGACACATCCATCAACGAGTCTGTCTTTTCTGCAATGACGTATATAGAGAAGAATGCTTGGAATGTCAAGGATGTGTTCATCAGCCCCGAGTCGGAAGAAAACGTGAGTAACTGCGTCAAGCTGCTTGAGTTGAACGAGAAGATAGACTACTCTGCTGTTCACTTGAAGGATATTGCAATGGGACTCAGGATCTATGTGGAGCAGAACATGAGGAATATCATTCCACTCAACGTCCGAAAAAGGGTCATCGAGGCCTATGGAAGCAACGATGGAGAGATGAAGGAAACAATAATCCCCAGGATTCCGTTTGTAGTTGGCGATCCCCACAGGCTGTTCCTCAAGTCGTTGAAGAACATCTTCCTTACGATTGAGATGAATGCAGAGGATAACGGAGTCAATGTTGAGGAGATATACAGGATATTTGGGCCCTTAGTGATAAGAAGGCCGGAAAACATGCTTGAGACGGACACTGAGGTATTGAGGCAAATACTGGTAGATCTGATGAAGGCCGACTTTGACGAGTTTCCCTCATCGTTCTACTTGTGAGGATGGGCCCTTAGCTTTAATAAATGGGTTTTGATGCTTACAGGCCGGAATAAAAAGACGTTCCAGGTGGGACTTGAACCCACGACCTCAGCTTTAGGAGAGCCGCGCTCTACCGACTGAGCTACAGGAACTGCAGCTTCCCCCACGCAGTTCCATCAGCCGGCCCATCCCAGTGCAGTAGTTTGGAGGGAACATTGCATTGCCAAACACCGATCCCCAGGATGGTCAAGAGCAGCAATATAGCAATCCACAGCCATGTGAGGTCTCTTGGGCTAGACGACTGTGGAAACCCTGTTGAAAAGCCAGATGCAGTGATTGGACAGGAGAATGCCAGGGAAGCAGCCGGCCTTATAGTAGAGATGGTTAGGACAAAGAGGATGTCTGGGAGGGCAGTGCTTATATCTGGGCCTGTGGGAAGTGGAAAGACAGCTCTTGCTGTAGGGATCAGTGAGGAGCTCGGTGCTGGAACGCCGTTTACCTCGATGAGCGGCAGCGAGGTGTACTCCAACGAGGTGAAGAAGACCGAGGTTCTTGAGGAAGCGCTGAGAAGATCGATTTTGGTGCGGATGAGGGAGTTGAAAGATGTCTATGAGGGGGAGGTTGTTGAGCTTCGGATTGTGGACGAAGAAAACCCGCTGAGCTCCTACCCGAAGAGGATCAAGGAGATGTTTGTTATCCTGAAGACAAGCAAGGAGTCGAAAAAGCTCAAGCTTGCACCGTCCCTGTACGAGCAGATAGACAAGCAGAGGATTGTCAACGGAGATGTTGTGTACATCGAGGTCAACTCCGGGGTTATCAAGAAGCTGGGCAGGAGCGAGGCTCATATGAACGATTTCGATCTTGAGGCTGACACATATGTCCCGATTCCTAAGGGAGAGGTTTTGAAGAGGAAGGAGGTGATGCAATCTGTAACATTGCATGACCTAGACATGGCAAATGCAAGGCCTTCTGGGCAGGACATGCTTTCCCTTGTTTTCCGAATACTGAGCCCCAGAAAGACGGAGATAACAGAAAGGTTGCGGGGTGATGTCAACAGGATGGTGAATGGATATCTGGAGAATGGCAATGCCGAGATTGTCCCTGGGGTTCTTTTCATCGACGAGGTCCATATGCTTGATGTTGAGTGCTTCACCTTTCTCCACAAGGTCATTGAATCTCCTCTCAGCCCGACGATAATATTTGCCTCCAACAAGGGAATGGCACCCATAAAGGGGAGCGACGGACTCCTCGGGCCCTTCGGAATCACTAAGGACCTTCTTGACAGGATTGTGATTATCAGTGTGAAGAGAAATCCGGATGAGGCCAACCGAGAAATTATCAGGAGGAGGATGAAGGAAGAGGGGTTGGAGATGGACGACGATGCATTTGGATTTTTTGTGGGCCTGAGCACCTCGAGGAGCCTACGATATTGCATAAGCCTTATTCCTCTCCTGAAGACATATGGGGGATGTGTCAGCGTCCGAAATGTAGAGGAGGTGGCAGAGCTATTCCACGACAGTTGATCCCGGTTGATTAAATCGTTTAATTTTCACCCTGTGATGATTCTGTGCTGTAAGTGTGGAATACCGATTGAGCCTCGGCTGATGAACATGTGCGACAGGTGTCTGGTCACCGAGGTTACAATATCCTCGAAGGTGAAGCGGAATCTTGCTGTGGAGCGCTGCAGAGGCTGCGAGCGGTATCTCCATCCTCCAAAGAGCTGGATGGAGTTTTCGTGGGGATCGAAGGAATTTCTGCTATTCTTGATTAGGCGGAACAAGACGCTTAATGGGCTCTGCATTGTCGACTCGAACTTTGTCTACACGGAGCCCAACTCAAAGAGGATTGTGGTGGCACTTGTGGTTCGGGAGTGCGGGGTGGAGCAGCCTCTGGAGATGAGGTATGTCATCAGAAACATGCAGTGTCCTGACTGTGCAAAGGTGGAGGCGAAGCAGTTTTGGAACAGCCTAGTCCAGGTGCGCCACAGGGCTGGGCACAGGAGGATGTTTATATATCTGGAGCATCTTGTACTGAAGAACAATGTGTACGGAGACACCAGCAATATAAAGCAGAGAAAGGAGGGATTGGACTTCTACTACATCGAGAGGAATGCAGCGGTGAGGATGGTGAGTTTCTTACAAAGTGTTCTGCCGGTCAGGGTCAAGGTGTCTGAGAGACTGATAAGTAAAGATGTTCATACCAGCAAGTGCAACTACAAGTTCAGCCACTCTGTTGAGATTGCACCATTGTGCAAGGACGACCTGGTTGTTGTTGGAAAGGATGTTAGGCGGAGTCTTGGGATTGGGAGCTTGGCCATCGTCCAGAAGATAGCCACGGGGATTGTTCTTCTTGATGCACGTCTTATGAAGAGTGTTAAGATTACAGGCTCTTTCTACTGGAATAACCAGGATGGACTCAAGGTGCTGATGAGCTCAAAGGATTTCACGAAGTACACTGTTGTGATGAAGTGCTGCAGAAGAAGAGCAGGGGGTGCCATGGATGGATACGATTTGACAGTGACGTCGGATGGGAGCGAGTTTTCTGAAGCCCGGTTCCATCTTGGGAATGTCGAGGAGGACGACGAGATACTGGGATATGATCTCCGGCATCTGAACTTGGCTGTTGAGTGTGAGGACAAGCCCGAGGTGGTTCTGGTGCGTAGAATGCCTAGGGACGACATTGTGTGGAAGATAGATGTGGCCAGTGAGAGCAGCATGGAGTACAGACTGTTTGTGGAGGATGTTGAGAACGATAGAGAGATGGTTTCGGGGCTCTGTACTATCAGGGAGAAAGAAGGGATTGATAAGGAGATGGAGACATTTAAGGTCAGCTGATGGCATGAAACCATCACTGAGTGTTTCATTAGGGATTGATCATGGAAATATAATGTTTACCTAGGGTGACCCAAATGAAGGGAGGAGAGTTGGAAAAGGCTTTGGACAGAAGCGAGAATCTGATGGTCTCCAAGGACGGATGTCCCTTCTGCAAGGATGCCAGCGAAATCCTCAAGAGCTGGAAGATTGAGTTTGCCTGCATCAAGAATACGGAGAACGAAAGGCTTTCGAAGGAGATAGAAAGGGAGTATGGGTTCTCCACATTTCCGAAGATCTTTCTCAAGAGGAAGTTTGTTGGGGGAGCAAGTGACTTGAAGGAGTATGTGAAGAAGAAAGAGTTCCTCGATGCCTTTGGATCTGGGAGGGAATAAAACTTTTCTGCGCCGCTTTCTTTTCTGTAGCCTTTGAGGTAAAAAAGAAAAATCAGATGACCCTGAATGGAGAAGCTGAGATTTGAGGAAACGCCTACTAGCCCTAAAGACATAAGGTCTGGAAACTACATAAAGATTGAGGTTAACGGGCAGATGAAGTCTGCGCAGGTTCTGGAAACATCTTCTGTGAAGAATGGGAAGCATGGGGCAGCTAAGACGACTATTTCGTCGAAGATTCTTAGCACTGGATCGAACCACAAGGGAATATACACTGCGAATGACTCTATTATTGTGTGCAGGCCTGAGAAGGTCCAGCTCAAGCTGATTGACATCAGTGGAACAAGCATAACGTTTACCGACAGCAGCGGATCGTTTGATTCTGTTGATGTTGCAGGAAGGATGAGCTCTGAGGATGTCAATAAGATTGTGCAGACTGTTGAGGGGTCTAATAGCGAGAGCTTTGATCTTTCGCTAAGGGTGCTGCCTGACTTCTACAAGCTCGAGTCTGTCAGGCCATCGTCGGGCGCGGGAGGCACAGCTGCAGGGGGATGAGGTCCAGTGCAGGACTGTCTTTTGTTGGTATCCTCTTGAGGATTTTCAATAAACATCTTCTGAAATACACGTCTGTCTCCAGTGATTTATCTTTTTCCCCATATCCCTGTGAATGAATCAAGTCAGCGAACTTCGGAGGTTTGAGACGCCGATCGACTACCAGGCGGATAAGGACAGGCTGAGTAAATTTTTGCTTTTCCACGAGGAGGACGGTGAGCTTACCTATGCGAACCGGCTGAGGGAGGCTGGAGGCAGTGTTGAGATTGACATGGAGGATATAGCAGTCTATGATGAGACTGGGCTTGTTGGCAGGATCGAGGGAAATGCAATGTCTTACATAAACCTGCTCTATACGGTGGTGGATGAGATTCTTCTTGAGGGCGGGGACGTTCCCATGGGCGAGGAGCCGGAGGACATCTTTTTCTACCACAGGGTGTCAAGGCTCAAGGAAAGGTTTCCAGAGAAGAGCGCCCTGGAGGTGTTTCCTTCGTTTCTGCTGAGGAGATACTCATTGGTGCTGAAGCCAAGGAGAAACTCACGGGTGTATTCTGTGCGAGGACTGAAATCGATGCACATTGGGTCGCTGGTTCGGGTAAGCGGGGTTGTTACAAAGGTTAGCCAGGTGAAGCCGAGCATCAGGGTTGCAACGTATGTCTGTGAGGGCTGTGGGGCAGAGACATACCAGGAAGTGGACGGGGATGTATTTGACCTTCTGGAGGAGTGTGGAAGCGAAAAGTGTAGGATCAGGAATGTCCGAGGAACTCTGGTCCTTGTGACTCGGGGATCGAAATTCATCAAGCACCAGACGGTCTACATGCAGGAGCTGACTGGGGACATTCCGCGTGGATGCATTCCGAGGACATTGGTTGCTGAGTGCTATTCCTCGATGGCAGAGAAGTGCAGGCCTGGAGACGTGGTTGTGGTTGGAGGGGTGTTTATGCCGAAGCCTTACCATGGAATAAAGAAACTAAAGGCCGGGCTACTTGCAGACATCTACCTGCATGCAACCAACATTGAAAAGATCGGGGCTGGTGCCCCCAAGGGCAATGAAGAGGTGAAGGCATACCCTGTGGAGCAGATGGTAAGGTCTATAGCACCCGAGATTTTTGGGATGGAGGACATAAAGAAGATACTGCTTCTGATGCTTATAGGGGCGCCTGGGAGAGTTCGGGAAGACGGAATGAAGATAAGAGGGGACATAAATGTGCTTCTTGTGGGAGATCCAGGGATTGCAAAGAGCCAGCTGCTGAAGACATGTGTGAAGATAGGTAGGAGAGGGGTGTATACGACAGGGAAAGGGTCGAGTGGCGTTGGCCTTACGGCAAGTGTCTCCAAAGACCCTATTACCGGAGAGATGGTTCTTGAGGGGGGAGCGCTTGTTCTTGCTGATGGAGGGATATGCTGCATTGACGAGCTGGATAAGATGAATGAGGTGGACAGGGTCAGCATCCACGAGGTGATGGAGCAGCAGAGTGTGTCCATTAGCAAGGCAGGAATCAACACAAGCCTGAATGCAAGGTGCTGTGTCCTTGGTGCAGCTAATCCCGTGAAGGGGAAGTACGACACAAGACAGAGTATCGAGCATAACATCGGGCTTCCGTGTGCCCTTCTTTCCAGGTTTGATGTTGTTGCCATCCTAAGAGATGAGCCGAACCTGGAGAAGGACGAAAGCCTGGCTAACCACATTACCTCGATCCATCTACATGAGGAGCCTGAATCGATTCCCTACGACAAGATCAGATTGATTATCGATGAAGCAAAGAGGATAAATCCTGTTCTTCCATCCCATCTCTCGGGCAAGCTGACGGATGCGTATGTGAAGGCCAGGAAGGAGAGCCCCTATGTAACGCCCAGATACCTTCTATCGCTCATAAGGCTAAGTCTTGCACACTGCAGACTCCGGCTTTCCACAGACGTGAATGAAGATGATGTCAACGAGGCGCTGAGGCTTATGGAAGTGACAAGGATTCCTGTTCCGAGGAAGAGGAGAGAAGAGGTGTCCAGCAAAAGAGCAATATATAATCTCATTCTTTCTCTTGCTGGGGAGGAAGGGGGCAGAAGATGTGTCAAGCTAGCGCACCTATGGGAAGCAACCAAGGACAAATACAGCGTCAGCGAGGTTGAAGACGTTATCTCCGACTTTGCTTCATGTGGAATCTGGATCAGAAATAACGAAGAGCTAGTTATTTTTAATTAAAGAGGACGATGAAAGGAAGTGGCTTTTAATAGAAGTATCCGAGGATTTTCCCACCGACGTTCTCTGTTAGGCACTCCTTGTGGTCGAGGATGCCCTTCGATGTATTGAACAGAACATGCCCAAACTGCCTGGCAGGCAGGAGCCTTGTTCTGAAGTCTTCAATTCCGTCTCTCTTGACTATGTAGTTGGGGGAAATAGCTCCGCATCTGTTGAGTCTGCCATTCAGGTCAATTATGCTCTTTCCACTCCTCTTGTCGTGTATGTACGAAAACCCCGAGATGTACCCATGCCTCAGCATTTGGAGAAGAAACATGCGCATCTCCTCTGTCGAAAACCTCAGGAGGAGCTGTCTCTTCCCTGCCCTACTGGCATTATTGATAGCCTTGCACATGTTGGCCAATGCTGCACTCATTTCGAAGGGTAAAATTTTCTCCCGATAATTGTTGCCATCCCATTCTCGTCAGGGTTGAGCCCAGAAATCTGTGAATAATCCAGGTGTACCACTACCCATGATCTCTCTTCTCTTCATCGTTGCACTGGCCATTCTTATTAGAGCTACAGTGTATCTCCTGGCAGCAAGGAAATCGAGGGTAATCAAGTTTGTCGGCCCGCGGGGAACAGGAAAGACAAGAACACTCAATGCACTGATGGGAATCAGTGCCAAGACGGTCCCGACTCTCGAGAGCTACAGGGTTGTGCACAAGGGCATAACCATCCACGACGTAATTCAGAAGGATGGAGACCTGCTCGAGAGATACGGAATCGACGATCCATCTGCAATCTACTTCTTCTTTCTGAGGAGCGTGGACGATTTGGACGGATTTCCAGAAGCAAAGGGATTTGACATAAAATTTGTCTGCTGCAGAGAGTGTGACAGCAGAAAGGCCGCAGAAAGAAACATCATCGTGCTAGACAAGAACTTGGCGGAAATAGAAAACCACTTTCCGTAGGAATAAACAAATCTCGGATAGGTTCACAATCTTTTACTTCCCATGTCGAGGATGTCCCAGAACATTCCATAGAACTGCAGCCTTGAGTTGACACCCTCAGATATCCTTAGGTTTGCCAGCCCAATCACCTTAAGCAACTCGTAGCTTTCCATGTTCTTTGCAGCCCTGAAAAACGAGTTTATGAGGTCGAGAGGATCAAATTTCTCCTCCCAGATCTCGTCAAACATCTCCAGGGCCTCCTCTACTTCCCTTTTCAGGAGCCTCTGGAGAACCTTTTCGATCCGCTTTGGAGATGGAAGGCCTATTATCTTGATGATATAGTCCTGGTCTACTGTGCCAGGAGAGTTGATGCACGCTTGAAGGATGTTCAGCGACTGTCTCATGTCCCCATCGCTAAGCTCGACAACAAGATCAAGAGCCTCGGCGGTTATCCTGATGCCTTCGCCTTCGCTGATTTCCTTTAGTCTTTTGAGGATCACGGACTGCTCTATCCTGTCAAACCTTAGTATTGCACATCTGCTCTGGATAGGCTCAAATATCTTTGTAAACACATTACAGATCAGAATAAACCTGCACTCCGAGCTGTGTATCTCCATCACCCTTCGCATTGCCTGCTGGGCTGTAGTGGTCATCGAGTCGGCCTCGTCCAGGATTATGATCTTGAACTCACAGTCCTTGACTCTTCTCTGTGCAAAGCTTTTAATGGTGGTCCTAACAGTGTCTATCCCTCTTTCGTCAGACGCATTCAGCTCCAGCAGCCCCTCCTTGTTGCCCAGGAGCCTCCTTGCAAGTATTTTTGCACAGGTTGTCTTTCCTGTCCCGGGAGGCCCCGTGAACAGCAGGTGGGGCATATCTCTGCTTTCGATCATCAAGGAAACGAGTTCCATCGTTGCTTCGTTTCCGACTATGTCCTGGATCTCGCTTGGCTGGTACTTGTTCACAAGCAGATCCATTGGGGGTGTACAATTGTCTCCTGAAGCTAGTTTCTGGAAGCCACGGATGTGTTGCAGATTGGAGGCAGGTATTACATTTAAAACAGGTGTGGTATGTGCCAGTGTTCAGAGGCCCATCGTGCTTGTGAAACTGCGTGTTTCGATGTCTTTGTGATAAATCTGCATCAGATGCACCCGATAGAATGCTGGTCTTCTTCTTGGGCCTGACATTTGCAAAGAACGCTTGCGTCTCTGGGTCTGCAGAATGTGTTGCAAACACCCTGCGAGTCTGTGGAATAAAGAACCAGTGGATATATGTTGACTGTCCCGCTGGAACAGAGTGTGCAGTCAAGGGCAACGAGATAGCCTGTGTTCCCCGCAGCAACAAAGGGAAGACAGGTTCGCGTGACGAGACAAGGCCAGGAAGGAAGGATGAGCCTTCTACTCCACAGGATCCTGGCGAAGAACAGGGATCTGAAGATAATGCGGCTGAAAGCGATAAGGATGATAGAAAGGAAGATGATGACAGGAATGATGATGACAGGAATGATGGTGACAGGCACGATGAAAAGAGAAGAAAGAGAAGCCGTCCAGAAAAAGAGAGTAGTGTAATGGCAGAGAAGATAAAGCCAAAGGTTGGGAAAAGTGGCATCGACAGGAGCAAACAGCATGGTTCAAAAGAGAAGGATGAGGAGAAGGACGCAGGGAAAGGCCGAAGGAAGGAAGTCAAGACAGTGACAAAAACCATCAGCACCTCGAAAAGGGAGAGCGGCACAACAGTTACTGTAACAAGAACGATTGTACAGAGGCAACCTCCGACGGAGATAAAGTTGGAGTACACGTCAAGTGATATTGAGCCAAAGGTCAAGCCTATAGGCTCATCATCGTCTGGGCAAGTACAAGCCTCACAGAGTCCAGGTAAGGGAGCCTCGGGATCTAACCAGTCTGTTTCTCCCTCTGCCCCGGGCGGGATGGGAGAAAGCAGTCCATCTGGAAAGGCCTCCTCCGGTCCAGGATCTCCATCATCTGGTGCTGCACCTAGCTCGAATGCATCACCAGGAAGCGGCTCTTCCTCACCCTCTTCCTCTCTGACCACCAATAAGCCGGCCACCATGCCATCATCTTCAAGCAGCCCGTCGGGATCACCATCACAGGGAAAGTCCCAGGGATCTGGAGTAGGCTCTGGAAAGAGTGAGCAGAAGCCTCAGCGGACGTCCTCTCCCCCATCCGGAGGAAGTAACCCCAGCGTCCAGCAGGGAGGAGGTACTAATGAGAAGGCAGGAGGCGCCGGTACGGGTGGATCTAGCTCTCCACCGGCAACACAACCTGGAAAGGATTCTGGAACCTCGGAAGGCAATAAGCCATCTGGAGGAACCTCGGGAGGAGCAAAAAAGGGATCTTCTGGAGGTGGAGTGAACATCTCCTCCGATCAGCTGACCCAGGCAATGACAAAGTTAGGCTTTTCCCCAAAGCCGGAGTACATCGAAGCAATCGTCTCCAGAGTAAACGAAAAGTTCAGCGACTTGAACGAGGCAACGATGTTTATAGCCCAATGCGCCCACGAGTCTGGAGGATATCAGTACATCGAAGAGGTAGCATGTGCAGGGGGAACAGGATGTGCCGGCCAGTATGGAACAGGAGCGCCTGGAAAGTCCTACCACGGGCGTGGGTTCATACAGCTGTCGTGGCCTGACAACTACAAGGCTGCAGGAGAAGCCCTGGGTCTAGGAGAGGAGCTCTACAACAACCCAGAGAAGGTTTCTGAGGATCCAAACCTCGGGGCTGATGTATCGATATTCTACTGGGAGTCGAGGGTTGCAAATGCCCCTGGGGTCAAGGAGAATCACTTCGGAGCCACCACAAAGGCAATCAACGGGGCGCTAGAGTGCACGGGCTCCAATACTGACAAGAGCAAGAAAAGATATGAGATATACATGGCTCTTGTTGAGGCATTTGGTGTCAACAATCCTGCAGATGAAAGTGGGTGCTACAGTTAGTGAGAAGGTATATCAAATCCAAAACTCGTGCGGATATCAAATCTCGATTTAAAAGATTAAACAGTTTTTCTTGCATTCTCTCAATGGCACAGGGACCTTACCGCTTACATCATAGATGTGGCTCTCTGGGTTTATGCCTAGAAGCTCTAGACCATGGATGGTGTCGTCTATAGAGAGGCCTGACTCTGCAGATATGCTGCATATAGACATCTCCTCCCCACCCATCTTTCGGAGTGTCTTCAGCACCATGTTTCTCCAGTACCGCTTGTAGACAGCCCGGCCTTCCTTGCTCAAAGGTTTCTCTGGAGTCCCTGGGCCTAGAATATAGCTCAGGTCTATCATCAGCGAGCCATATCCTCTGGACCTGTGAGGAGGTAGTACAAGAAGACAAGACAGATTGTGCTTCTCACTTTCTTTTTCCTTGCTGAAGAACCCGGCAACCCTTCCCCCAATGAGCAAGACATAGAAAAGATATCCATCGACATCGAGATGCAGGGTTTTTCTGTGTATGAAGGCCCTACCGATGGTGCAGATCCTCCTGCACAGAACACTCTCACACCCTCCATCAATCTCAATCACGGATATGCCTTCGTCCTTGTCTGTGTATACATGTCTTCCTGGTATACCTTGGGAGCACTCTTTTCTGTGACGGCCGAGCGACGTGGAATCCCAATACTGGTGCAGGCATCGATCACAGATGTAGACCACGTTCTTGTCAGAAAACAGCCAAACCCTATTACGGAAGCCCAGCAGCTCGTCCCCAAACACAGCCTGGGTCACCTCTACATTTCTCTTCACAAACTCCATCTGGGGAGTAGCGTCTGTAGCTTTGTGGTCCTTCTCCATGGCTCTGCGGTATTCCATGAACTCAGGATCGTTTCCCAGCAGATCCATCTCCTCGCTGTCGAAGTCCATGGGACACGGCAGGGTGACAACATAAACAAACGATGTGGAGTCCTTTCCATGGACGAATACATTGCAAGAAGAGCAGAGGCCTTGAAGGCTGCAAAGAACATCGTCATGAAGTCCCCTGACCCGGAGGAGGGGCTGGTTCGGAAGATTCTCATCCACCAGGAACTCCTCTCAAACAGAGACATTGCTCTGAACAAGGACTTCTATTCAATTTTGAACAGTAAGGTCAGTGCCAAGCCTGAGATGGTTGATCTGATCAACAAGAAGGAGCAGGTGGAGTGTGTTCGGGTGGAGAAGAGACTCATTTGTCCAATCAGCCAGAAGGAGGTGGTTGATCCGTATGTTGGAGAGTGCGGACATGTGCTGGAGAAGAAGGAGGCCATGAAATACATAAGGAATAGCACAAGGCCTGTCTGCCCGCAGATTGGATGCAACAAGAGGTTGACGAAGAAGAGGAGGTAGGGCGCCATGGAGCGATGATTCTTTCATGAGTCTGGGCTTTACTAAAGTGCCGGAGGACCGATACCCAGAAGAGATGAGGAGAAAGGTGTATAAGGAGAGGACGCAGCCAAAGGACCGCAGGAAGTATGGGAAGCTCGAGAAGAAGAAAGACCTAGTGAAGAGGCTTGCAAAGATCAACAAGCAGAAGGACGAGATCAGAAAGGCGAAGGAGGAAATAAGACACAAGAGCGGGCAGGAATACTTCTTTGGATACCATTCCGTAAAGAAGGATGGATCTAGCATCTACAGGGTCGACGAGCCTACTATTGAGGAGCTTGCAAAGATGAAGATCTACATTGACAATGAAATCCAGAGGTGCAGGAAGAAGTTGGAAAGATATGCTCCCATGCCGTGTGGGACACACATCAAGTTCGAGGAGGACAGCTTGGAGAAGAATGAGGCAGACATGCGCTTTGGACAAAAAGAGGAGATACGAGAGGAGTTTGAGAGGTACATGGAGGAGCTGATTGTAAAGAGAAGAGAGGTCCTAGAAAGGATGAACGAGCTAGAAGACTCAGTGTAGCCTCATATGCACAAGAATTTATTTCCTGGGCGAAGGTATTAAAAGTTCCCCCGTTTTTCTCTATTCAACAACATCCATGGCTGACTCCAGGATCTCCTTGCAGATGGGATGGCCGTTGGAACGACAGAAGTCAAGGATTGTGGAGTTTATGGATGAAGGGTAGTTCTTGTGCATCACATGGAGCAGTCTGAGATGCTTCAGGGAGATCTGACGGCTTAGCTCTTCACAGAAATACTTCTGAACAGCATCCACGGATATCTTTTTCTTCTTCTCCAGTATGTATCTCAGGAGGATTGGCGCGTTCCCATCTCTCTTCTTCACCACGACGTCTATCATGTCGTCCACATGGTTCAAAGAAACCTTCTTCAATGCGCTTCCGAGGACCTCTGCCTCTTTCCTCGACAGATCTGTCCTCAGGATGTTGTATATCCTGTTGGTCTTAACAAGCTTGCACAGCTCATGCCACTCCCTCGGGGGCAGCTTTCGACTTACTGCAAGGACATCTCTGTATGGTTGGATGTCAGAGGGCCTGTCCATGCACTTGAGCGTGTGGATTATCCTGTCTGGAAGAGACATTTGGGGCATGCATTTTAGGAAGCGAAAAATTTATCCCTACTAAGGATGGAGGAGCAGCAGGAATTCTTTGGAGAGGTTACTCATGTGCTTGGAAGGACCGGGGGGTCTGGACTGCTGACCCAGGTGAAGATGGAGCTGATGCATAACAAGAGGACCATTCAGAGAGCGGTCAAGGGTCCCGTTGCTGTGGGAGATATTATTGAGATATTAGAATGCGAGCGCGAGCATCGAAGGACAAGGTAGAAAAGGTATCCAATAAAGATGATTTAATGTTCTTTGATTGTGTTTGGCTGTTTTTGCCGACGGTGGATGAAAGGTGCTGTTAGTGCAGACCCTGGGATGTGCCATGGAGACGGGATCCAAGGATGGAGTGGAGAGAGCGAGCACTTGAACTATGGGGAGATTGAAAGGAGGCGCAAGGAAAAGGTCGACAAGTTAGCATACAGGCTTTTGGCAGAGAGGGAAAAGGCAAACAAGAGTATCGAGGAGGAGCTCCAAAGACTCTTTGATGAGGAGAGGAGCTTGGTGGAAGACGTTTCTACCGACGTGTTGTTTGAAGAGGCTCAAGGCCATGGGTCTGCTGCCTTGGGCGATCCTGGGCCGAGCACAGACATACAGAACGAGACCACAGAGACACAGACGCCGTGCCTTACAAACATACCTTTCTCCGATGAGCTTGTTTCAAGATTCATTCTGAGTAGAGCGTATGTATCCATAGAGGAGAATATTGGCAGGGAGAAACTAGTCATGCCAAAGATTGTGCAGACCCAAACCAAGATCCAGATCAACAAGAGGCTGACCCAGGTTAGTGGAAGGACGGGACAGGTGAAGAAGATATTCAATGTTCTCGAGGAATACTCCCATTCGTATGTGTTCATAGAGACATTTGTGCTGAAGATAATTGAGCAGGGAAGGCTACAGGTAAGCTCGTGCCCCGGGTCTTACAGAGAATTTGCAGAGCTTTTCTGCAGGTTCTACTCCCCGGAGCTAATGGAGTACTTCCGGGTTATTCTTTTTACCAAGGATGCCTCTGCAAGCACAATCAAGGGGATCTATGGGATCTACTTTGGAGTGCTCGAAATCCAGGAGAACTCTGACGAAGCATGGTTTTTCATTGCATCTGTGCTGAACTCAAGGCAGAATGAGCTGTCGTGCTATGTTGTAGAGTGCTTTTTTTCCATACTCGGGGACCTGCTGTTCAGGGTGTGCCGGACTCCCTTCTTCAAGCTTGTGGAATATGTCAAGAAGTACTACTTCGCAGAGATGAGTAACGAGCCGTGTAGGATAAGGCTCTCCTCGATATTTGCAAGGTATGGGATGTGATATGGACTCGGAGTCTTGGCACTGGTAGACAGAGGCCTTTGATTTAGCCTAATTTTGATGCCCCGATGAAACTTGTGACTGATGGAGTCTGGTCTCTGTCCAGAATGCACTTGAGGATACTGAGAACTGCAGAGGAATGCATGAGGTCCCACGCGATTGTTCCCTTCGATGTACTGAAAAGCAGATCTCGAATAAAAGGAAATTTCATGGAACATGCAATAGACCTATGCAAGCTCAAGTTTCTCTCCTATGTGGAGAACGGGTACAAGCTAACGTATTCTGGACATGACTGCCTTGCAATCAATACGTTAAGGCAGCGTGGGCTTGAGGCGATGGGGGAAAAGGTGGGTGTTGGAAAGGAGTCCGATATCTATCTAGGTGTGTATGGCGGCAGAGAGTCCATACTGAAGTTCCATAGGCTTGGGAGAATCAGCTTCAGAAATGTTCGGAGGAACAGGAGATATGGCGGAGAGGGGACAGACTGGCTTGAATTGTCGAGAATATCTTGCCAAAGAGAAGTCATGTATCTCGAGAAGTTCAAGGACATGGATGTTCCCGCAGTCTTCGACCATGACAGACATGTTGTTGTGCAGGAGTTTCTCGACTATCTCCCCCTGTACAAGACAAGAGTATCAAATGTAAGGACGATTTGCTACCTTATGATAGGATTTATTAAGGACCTGTGGAAGAGGGGGTATGTGCACGGAGATTTCAATGAGTTCAATGTTCTGGTGAAGGACGACATAAAGGTCATAGACTTTCCCCAGTGCATCCAGAGCAGTGACGAGAGAGCGGTTTACTATCTCAGGAGGGACCTCGAGTGTGTTCTGGCCTATTTCAGGAAGAAGTATGGATATGAGCCTGAGGACGGGTGTTCCAGGTTTATGGATGAGCTTGGGGTTGGGGACAGGTCTCATGGACCGCATAAGCCGGGTGTTGAAGACCTGTCTGCCTGCTCGACTGCTGAGAGTGGTGTTCAGAAGGAGATGGAGCTGCTGGGATTAAGAGTAGACGATGTTTCTGCCTTGGATGGCCGGAGTGCTTGAGAACTATTTATTTCCAAAGATATTTCTCAGTCTGTCTAGTAGAAGAGTTGCTCTGGAGATGTCGTTTTTGTATTCCTAAAGTTAGATAGATGCACTTACCTGTAGAACTTCATTGTATCTGTCGAGGATCTCTTCTAGGGATTTCTGTGAGTTATGCATTGCCAGGGTAGACAATGGTGATTTCAGGAAATAAAAAATTTGCCCTCGAAATGAGCAGTGACCAAGTTCTGGAAAGGTTTATGAAGAATGGGCTTATGAATGCAGAGCTGAAGGAGTTTTTTGAGAAGGCTCTTGTGAACGAGGGCTTCAGCACCATGGAGCTCCGGATGCAGGAGACGCCCATAAAGATCATCCTGAAGGTTGCGAAGCCACATGAGGCGATAGGAGAGAAGAAGTTCCGTCTGAGGCAGTTCCAGCACCTGGCAGCTCAGAGGCTTGAGGTTCCTGACGAGAGTGTCGAGATAGTTGTTGAGAAGGTGCATGAGAAGGGGCTTTGCGCACTTATCCAGGCGAACTTCATTAGGGAGAAGATTCTAGGGGGAGTCCAGTATAGGAGAGCCGTGAACATGGCCCTGAAGACGGCGAGGCATGCAAAGGCCCAGGGATGCCAGATCATAGTCAGTGGAAAGCTGAAGGGGCAGCGTGCAAAGTCTGTGAAGTTCCAGGACGGAGTGTTGATCCACAGTGGAGATGCAGTTAAGGATTATATTAATACGGGGTATGCCACCGTTGAGACCAAACAAGGGGTGATTGGTATTCAGGTTCGAATAATGCTACCATACGACCCGGAGGGAGTGCTCGGCCCAAACTATCCACTCCCTGACAGGATCACCATTCTCGAGCCCAGTGAGATCCAGTAGTTATTAAAGCTAAGTTCAAACCATTTATTCCTTTAAGGGCTTTTCCATACCAGAGACGAGGGCTATCCGTCTTCGTGGAGAAGGTAGTGGTATATGTCTCTTACGTCTGTGTCCTTCTCTGCATCGATCCAGACAAATCCATTGAGCCCCAATGCAATTCGGAACCTGTACTTCTTCCCCACGATGGACAGTGTGTCGCTTAGATAGAGAAGACGCACTTTCCAGGGGCTTAGTGGAAGCACAGCGCCCTTCAGCTTTCCAAAGCCCTCCCCAACACACGTAAGCAGTGGCTCTGTGCCCATCCTCACAATCTTGCATAGCAGGTGGTCTCCCTTACTTACTTCCGGTTTGTTTCTTTTTGTGGCATTGGTGAAGCTAAGGGAGGGAAGCGCTCCTACAGTTCCCCCCAGATCCACCTTGTGCATGTCCTGAGAAGTGAGCACAACTTTTCCTATCACAATGTCATCAATGCACGGCTGGTATCTATTGGTCTTTGACACCACAAACAGATGGTTTGACACCCTACATAACGATCCCACAACGGATGCCCTGTTTCCATGAATGCCAAGAGATCTTGAGCCACCAGAGGGCACCTCGTCTCCAGGAAGCACATTTCTTATCTTACTTAACATTGCGAGGAGAGAAAAATCGAGGAATTATTGCTGGGCTCGGAGACCCATAAATGAATCCAAGGCCAAAAAAACCCACGTCGAGGTACTCCTTTGAGCCGAAGATTCCTCAGACCCAGGAGGTGTTTGAAGTCGAGGAGCCCGTGGCAAAGAAGGAGTTTTCGTTTGAGGGCCAGGAGGAGCACACTCTTAAGCCAGTGGGCTCAGATGCACCGGAGCACCTGTTTGCTCTCAGAGAGCATGACGGACTCATACTCACTCTTCCTCCTAGCACGGAGCCGCCAAGAATCGTCCTCTACGAAGATGGAAGCTGTGGACTAAGGGTGGGCGACGAGGTGTATCCAATGGCAGTAAGGCCTGTTGGAGAATCCCTGGCAATCGAGCATAGAGATGCTGCATATGGCATCGGGAGCGCAAAGTTTCATCTGACCCCGCAAATCCAGGGGGATAAGAGAGGCAGAAGTCCATAGAATAGAATAAAACATAATGTTTAGTATCCAAATATGTTCTTGATGACTAGGTCGTAACAAATTTTCCCATCTCCGTCTGGATTCAGGATGTTCAGAAGCTCCTCGATCTCCTCGTCACTGAACCTGTTTTCTCCAGAGGAAAGAATCTGGACCAATCTCCCTGCATCAATGTACGATGTGTTATCTACGTCCAGTCTTCTGAAAGAGTTCTGCAGCTCCTCTCGTGTTATTTCTCTTTCCCTGATTCTTTCGCAGACATCCACCAGTTGGCCAAAATCAAGCGTCTCCCCAGGAATCGAGGACAGAAGCTCTCCAATGTAGCTCTCAGATATGATGTATCCTGCAAACCTCAGTACATCCACCAATCTGTCTGTGGGGATCCTTTCAGTGGTTGACTCTGCAAATAGTTGGTAAACCTTCTGAAGGCGTTTTGTTTCTTCCATCTCAATGGGGTATATTCTTGCTCCATTCTTGGGCTAGGCCTGCAGCAGGAAGAACATAGCGTTGCCTAACACTCCATGGTGGAAGTGTGGGGTCTGGGACATCCCAGCGAGAGGGCCACCATTTGTTTTCTGCATCGGATGGAAATGCTCATTTCCAGGATCCATGATTAATCGATCTGCCAAATTACCCAAACAAATCTTACACCACAAAGATTGAATGAAGAGTCTCAGAATCGCAATGGTGTCCGACTTCTTCTATCTGCTGAAAGGAGGCGTGGAAACCCACATAAAGTATTTGAGCGAAGAGTTGATTGCAATGGGCCACAAGGTCATAATCATCACACATAGGGCAGGCAACCTGGTTGGTTGTAGGATGGTGGGGAACATCAAGGTCTACTTCCTTGACATTCCTGTTCTCTGTAGGAACACGACATTTCCGAGTCTGTACTCGAACTTCCCGCTGTTCAAGGAGATCTTCGACAACGAGGAGATTGAGATTGTCCACGGCCACCAGACAATGTCGAACATGTGCATCGAAGGCCTGTTCCATGCAAGGACGCTGAATCTCAAGACGGTAATTACGGACCACTCGATATTCGAAGTGGGTCCTTTTGAGAACATTGTTGTCAATGCCCTGTGCCGCCTTGCGCTGAAGAATATAGACAGGTGCATCTGCGTGTCCTACACATCCAAGGAAAACACCCACATTAGAACGATGATTCCCCTCGAAAGGATCCACGTCATCCCAAATGCAATAGTCTCTGACATCTTCCGCCCCAGTGAGAAAAAGCATTCCGGCGGAAAGGTTGTTGTGGTTGTATCAAGGCTTGTGTTTAGGAAGGGAATTGATCTGCTTATTGGGGCGATCCCACTGATCTGTAAGGGCGATCGAAGTGTCCGGATCGTTATAGTGGGTGATGGGCCTATGAGGGATGGAATTGAGCAGGTCCTGGATGAGAATGAATTGTATGACAGAGTAGAGATAATACACGAGGTTGATCACGAGAGGGTTGGAGAGATAATGAGAAGGGGTGATGTCTTTCTCAACACGTCCCTGACCGAGACCTTCTGCATAACCATAGTTGAGGCGGCATCGTGTGGCCTCCATGTTGTTAGCACCAATGTCGGCGGGATACACGAGATCCTACCGCCGGACATGATAACATTCAGCAGAATCACGCCTGAAGATATTGCGAGGAAGGTGCTGGAGGTCCTAGGGAAGAGCGGCCACAACCCGCAGGACTACAACAAAAGGCTTAAGAATGTATATAGCTGGGAGAGAGTGGCAAGGATGACAGAGAAGGTGTACATGGAGATTGAGAAGACCTCTCTCAGCTACAGAGACAGGAGAAAGCTGTACCAGGGCGTCACAGGCTTTCTGTCAAGGTTCATGATAACGATAGAGTATCTGTTCCTTTTTGTTCTCAGCCTAAGAAATGTATAGAAATAACAGTATTCAATCCATTGGACACTTTATTGAAAACTAAAATCTGCAGGAAGCTCCTTGATCGTGGTGTTGTAGAACCTCTCGATCGCCTTCAGGTTTTTCAGCTCATGCTCATAGACAATGTTTATGGCTATTCCCTTTCTCCCATATCTTCCGGATCGTCCTATCCTGTGGATATAGGTGCTCTTTCTCTCGAAGGATGGAACATCCAGGCAGAACACCACAGAGAGATTCTGGATGTCGATTCCCCTTGAAAGCAGTCCAGAGGAGATCAGGCATCTGCCAGTCCCTCCTCGAAACCTATTCAGCGTCCTCTCCCTCTCCGCCTGTGTTAGTTCTGCAGATATAAGCTCACACTCCCACTCGTGCCTGATCAGCCAGTCATACACTATCCTGGCATCCTCCTTGCTGTTGATAAACACAATCGATTGCCCCAGGCGTTGCTTGCGGAAGATGTCATACAGCGTCACAAGCTTTGGAAGCAGATAGTCCTCTCTTCCCTTCCGGAATGGAGGCTCCTTCCTCAGATCAATGAAGTACTGTCTTATTCCCTTCAGGGTCTGGTCGTTGTATCTCAGGTCAATTATCACAGGGTTGATAAGAATCTCCTCACTGACACGGAGCTCCTCCTCGTCGTATGTTGCAGAGAACATTGCTATCTGCACCTCGTCCTTGTTTGTGATCCTTCGGAATATAGACTTCACCTGCTCCTGGAATCCGGCCTTCAGCATCTCGTCTGCCTCATCAATCACAAATAACTTAATGTTGTCCATGCTCAATTCATTTATATTGATCATGTGCTCAACCCTCCCGGGCGTCCCAACAACAATGTGCGGCTTCTTTTCAAGTGCAACCTTGTCTGCTGCAATCGGGCTTCCTCCAGAAAGAAGGGCGACCCTTGCCCCCATAAAACATCCAAGATCCTCAAACCTCGCTGCATTCTGTGCTGCAATCTCCCTGGTCGATGCAAGAACAAGAATCTGTGTCACGTCCTGGCTCATATCGCATATCTGAAGCGCCGCAACCGCAAATGCCCCAGTCTTCCCAGTACCACTCTGTGCCTGCGCTCTTATGTCTCTCCCGTCTATTATCGGCTGGATCGCCGCCTTCTGAATAAAGGAAGGCGTCTCAAATCCTATGCTGTAGATCCCCTTCAGTAGATCCTCCTTCAGCCCGTAGTCCTCCCATGTGTCAAACATCCTGATCTGAGATGAGTCGCTCCGGAGATCCTCAAACTCCCTGATCTCCGTACCACTGCTCCTCGTATCCACAAAGTCTTCTGCTTGTTCTGTTACTTGTTTCATGGGGGTAAATTTTTCTCTCAATAATTCCTTTTCTCCGCTGGTTCCAAACAGCCGGCCACAGAAAAACCCTCTATATCCCTACAAATCGGGGCACCCTTCAAATGACCCAGTCTCTCCATGATAGGAGATCGAAGGTTCTTAAAAGGCTCGAGTTCACACTTGAAAACACACACTCCATCATCTGTGATGTAAACAATAGACTGGAAAGAATGATCAGCAGCTCCAGGGTTCTCGAAAGAGTTGCAGACACCTATGAAATCTGGTCCAGGAAAAATGCCTCATGAGATCGAGCCACACGCCCAATAAACACTTGCTCCTAGCCTTCTCATCTAACCTGAAACACCCTGGGCTCAAAACGGGCCTGGGAGGTGTAAACATGGCCACGACACTGGCTTCTGGATATGTAACATTGCTCAAGACATCCATAGGCAGCGGCATCCTCTCATTCCCATACCTGTTCAAGACCTACGGAATTCTCACTGGCATCGCCCTAACAGTCATCTCGGGGTTTTTCTCTGTGCTAGGCCTCATCCTCTATGCAATCTGCAGCCAGGAGCTTGGAAGAACAGCTACACTCTCGAGGCTTGCCACAGAAAGCATGCCATACACAAGGATGATAGTCGACTTCTCTGTCTTTCTCAAGTGCTTTGGTGTCGCCCTCTCATACCTCATAATCACAAGGCAGCTCCTGCCGGTCCTGATAGAAACAATCTTCGGAGTATCAATGCTGTCAGACCCCAACATCTCTCTCCTGGCATTCATATCATGCATAGGGCCCTTCACCTACTTCAACAGACTTGACAGGCTGAAGTACACGTCGTTGTGCGGGGTTGTTGCAATAGTCGTGGTCGTCGTGGCAACACTCTACAGGTATGAGCACACCCCAGTCACCACGACAAGCGGCATAGAGTATCTCGTTCCACTGTCATACGCGTGGATGGGAGGGTTCGGAAAGTTTGTGTTCTCATTCACCTGCCACCAGAATATATTTGCAATCCACTCAGAAATGGAGGACAACTCCCTCCCGAGAATGAAGAGGCTTATATACATGGTCGCCTCCTCTGCCGCCGTGATATACATCTCATTTGGCGTCCTGAACTACCTTCTCTATGGAGAGGCCGTCAAAGACAACGTCCTTGAGAACTATCCAAACGACATCCTGGCATCGGTCGTCAGAGGGCTCTACATAGTGGTCATGGGCGTCTCGTACCCGCTCCAGGTAAACCCCTGCAGGAGCCATCTCATAAACATCATCTCTCCCTCTCAGAAGCCAGGAGAAAAGTTCCTGAGGTTTGTGGTCACAACAGCCATCATCATATCCACATGCCTTCTTGCGGTCTCGGGAATGGGCCTTGGAATCATATACTCAGTCATAGGTGCAACAGCCTCCACATTCATGTGCTTGATATTCCCGGCTCTCTTCTACTTCAACGCAAACATCACCAAGCCAAGAGGACTGGTCATTCTGTCTTACGTAGGATTCCTGTTTGGGGTCTTTGTCTTTTCTGCATCTGTCTTCAGCATCATTCTGCACAACATCTAGATTGCCGCCTGTGCGGATTGCAAAGATTTATGCCTCTTTTGTTTTTATCCAGAAATGGATTTGAAAGAAATAGAGAGATACTTCAGCAAGAGAAGACAATACTTGAGCAGGGAAGAGTACAGGACAGTCGTCGGCGTACTGAGGAAGCTTGAACGTGCAGAGAAGACCTCTAATAGATGTCTTGCCGAGGAGATGAAGAACAAAGGAAACGAGGAGTACAATAACGGAGACTTCCAGTCAGCTGTGGACTCATACACACAGGCCATTCTCTATGATCCAACAAACGCCGTGTATCTGTCGAACAGGGCTGCTGCATACTCAAAGCTCGGGATGACCGAAAGCGCAATCGAGGACTGCGAGAGCGGGCTGAAGATCGACGACAGGTTTGTGAAGCTGTACATAAGACTTGGGACGTTGTATCTTGACAGAGACAGGAACAAGGCACAGGAGATCTTCAGGAGGGGTCTGGAGGTTGATCCGGAGAACAAAACGATGAAAAAACATCTCGACCTTCTTAGCAAAGAGGCACCTGAAGGTATTCCAGAGGCCGCCCAAAGCTCTTCTCTGGAAGACATGGTCAAGAGCATTGGAATGGGGGGCTTCAAGGACAGCAAGATCGATTTCAACTCGCTCTTCAACAACAAGAGCATCAAGGACGTCCTGGACACAGTCATCAAAGACAAGTCTCCTGATGACCTGATGGACATGGTCAAGAACATGATCGGGGCAATGGGACCCCAGGATACCGGAAAATAAAGCTTCTCCAGTACCATCGGTCTTTAGGACAGCAGCAAACATTAGGTAAAAATGTGGTTCCAAAACTATGAGAAGCACAGGGGCGCCCTCAACTCTCAAGGAACCTCCATGTCCCATGTGTGTAACGAACGGATGGAATGACCAGCCTTCTGACTAAACATGGGAGGCAAAAGCCAGGGGCTACCAGAAATCCCAAATTAAACAAGGCATTTAATGGAGAACCACCGTCCAGAGTCTTGGAAACCTGCATTCCTCTTACACTAGCTCCGTAGAACTAGGGGAATCGCAGAACAAGTACCAACCAGCAAATCCCGTCATCGTCATCAGAACTCCTATTGGTACAACACTATTGTTTTCTTTAAAATCGTCTCAATCCCTTGGAACATGAAGTATTGCTTCGGTAAGTGCTTCGAGGAATCAAGGGGCCTCGTAAAGACTGGGCTTGTTGACTGGGTCTTTGGCAGAGATGCAGACGAAAAGGCAGGCAACATGTGCCATCTTCTCTGCCTCAAATTCACAAACAGCGGAAACATAAAGAGAAATGGAAGATGGGGGTTCCAGCCGATCCTGGGAATGACTGAGTTCTTCTCTGCACTCTTCTCGTTCATGAACCTTATAACAAACATCATCTGCTTCCACAGGATGCTCAAGAAGCACCTGAGAGTGACAAGGCTGGGAAGGCTCTACTACATCCAGTACTACATATGCAATCTAGCATTCATCTCCAGCACCCTCTTCCACATCCACGAAAACACCTTCACAAGAAACTGCGATTACTTCCTTGCATTCTTAACAATCCTTTTCGGCTTCTACATGGCACTCGTCAGAGTCATCCTAATAGTAAGTCCCTCAATAGAAAAGGCCACAAGAGGCCCATTACAGGCGATCTTCATCCTCTTCTATGCATACCATATCCACAGAATGTCAAACATAGAGTTCGATTATGTATACAACAAGATATCCTGTGCCATCATCGTCACGCTCACCCTGCTGTCACACCTGGTAACATTCCTCAAGTATAGAAAGCTGGCTCACACCAAGCACATCCTGTTCTTCACATTCTTCTTCTTCCTTGCAGGTGCAATAGAGATCCAGGACGTCCCTCCATATGCCTATCTTGTGGACTCCCACGCCATCTGGCACCTGATCTCCTGCATCTCAACGCCATTCTACCTTCTCTTCTGGAGTGGAGATGTGTATATGCACTGACATTTATACAATAAACATATACCGGTATGCCACACTCTTTCGTATGCTGTCCAAAACTATCAGTGGCTGGTCTAGTATCCTGTTCATTCACTTCTTCCTCCCACCTCCTTACACCCCATTGGCTACCAGATACGTTCTCACATATCATATCTGCGATGCAGATAATCTATTAGTCTGCCACCACGACTCTTATTGTGCAATTAGTTGTATATGAAAAAAGAACTAATATGTATATGGATATATGGGAACCCTATTGATGGAACAAATTAGGCGTATTAGAGCCATACTTGCAGGAATTAACTTCAATGCGGATTTCAAGGAGCATGCGGTGAGTTCCTATAATGATGCCATTGTTATATGGTCCTCCGGGTTCAGTTTCTACAGGAAAATACTCAACAGTATTCGTGATGACTTGGAGAGAAGGGGGGATTCCAGAGGTACTTCTGCTACCGATGCAGCTAAAGGGGCGCTGGAGGCCTTATCAGACTTTATAGGGAACCAGGCTTTTTGTCAGAATGCATCACATGATAAAGATTGCTGTTTTAATGATTACTTCATAACCTTTTCCAACTACTTCCAAAGAATTGATGACATGAAAGAAAACTTTCTAAGACTATTCGACACATTTAAGAATGCACTTAGGGCATTACTGCCATATGTTAGTGAAGACTTGAAGATTCGAAAGACAACATCATCTGAGGAGGTGTCCTTAAAAACAGTCCTCCTAGATCTTCTAGACATGGAAAGTGTGTATGGCTCCATGTTCTATGGTACGAGTGGTGACAGGGGGCTATCCACTTTCCTTCGGCATCTGAATGATATCCTAGGCCTTCATGTTTTTGGAAGATATTTTGGTTATGATGTTGACGATGCTTCTCTCGGATGTTTAGGGGAAGTTGGACGAGAACTGGATGCTTTGGAAAAGGAGATTAACATACGCATGCTTTCTGAGGCCCAAAGAGCACGGGTGCAAGGGGCTCTTCGTGATGTCAGGGAGTCCATTGGATCCCTTATCCAGAAGCTACAGGCCCTTAGAGCAGCATATGACCAGGCCGTTGTTGATATTAAGAAAAATGGGGCATCATTTGCCCCCAAGTTCAATGAACTAGATCAAATGCTAGGTGAGGCCAGCAGTGGCCTGGATGACCTAAGGCAGAAGATCGATGAGCTTGAGAAGGCCCTCCCTCCTCCTTTGCGACTCCACGGGCGCCTGTGCCTTGTGTTTGCAGCCGTTCTGGTGGTCCAGTGCATCCTCTGGTATCTTGAGGAGGAGGACAGTGCAACTCGGAGGGCGTGGAACACGGGGGTGTACTCGCTGGCCGTGGCAGGGACCATTGTATACCAGGTGTGGAGGCTGGCAACGAGGTACCGTGACGACGGGGTGATTGGGATGCTGAGGGAGGAGTGGACTGCAGTTGGGTGCATTGTGCCGATGGCAGCCGGGCTTCTCCACGGGGGCGTGGTCAGGAGCAGTGTGTACAGCATGACGGTGGCAGGCATTGGGGCCGTTATGATGGCTGTGCAGGGCGGTGTGCTGTGTGGGATGTCGCTGATGCAGGTGTGTGTGGTTGTGTGTGGGAACCTGGTTCTCGGGGCTCTGTGTGTTGGCGGAGACGGGGAGTGGAGCCTGTATCTGTGTGTTGCGGCTGTTGTGTTTGCATCTGTTCTGCTTCTCGTGTTGAATGTTGGCGGGGGTGGAGAGAAGAGTGTTGGCGAGGGCATTGAGAGTATGGTGTTTGTGATGAGCATGCTTGTGTGTGTGTGTGTGTCGTATGTGTGTGGACGGGACTACGACATGGTGTATGGGGGGGGGGGGGTGCCAGAAAAGTACCTTCGGGCTGGATGAGGTCTACATAGTGGATGAATGGAATAAAGACGGTATGATTATCTTTGAGTTATCATTTCTTTCTCTGAGGCATAGATAGAGTATCGCCTTTGGACACAGCAACAGGCTGGTGTTGGATAAGCAAGCCTCTATCCACCCATGACATCTCTCTTTGTGGATTCCCCATCCCTGACATCTTTCCAATGGCAATCCTCATACCGCCGAGTATGGAAGAGGCGGATCCTTTATCTCTTGGTGCAGATCCGCGCCCGGGGAT